CACGCAACTTAACGCCTAGGTTAGAGCATTAGCTCCCGCCACAGCTACCTATGTTATGAAACTCCCGAAAGCTAAGCCTTTCGATAGAACTCAGTCTAAGCTAAGGGGCTTTCTTACTTAAATAAGAATACACTTAGACGTTAACCGAGCACGACTAACTAACGAAGAAAGTAAGATCATCTTCATGTTAACCTACCTTCGCGGATAAGCATAGGACTGGTTTAAAGTCCATATCCACGAATACTATGAGAAAACACGTAACGAGTAGAGCGTAGTAACCACAGATATCTTTAGAAGTTATAGTAACTTCGTAGCTTATATAACTAAAATATTCAGAGAAATCAATATAACTATTAACATAGAAAGGAAGCTAGTAACACTCCACTAGACCACTTCCACTATAGCCTATACTATATAGTTTATATAAACCACAGCAGTACTTAGATAGGATAACTATGCCCTTATCCTATGGTACGTGGAGGGACTTAAATCCTATATAAAAGACGAACTTACGCGTATCGATCGACTAACTATAATAATAGAACTAATCGATGTGGTAATATAATTCAATAACTAGTACTTCGACCGCCAGTAGGAAAAGAAAGAGGTCAAATAGTGGAGAAGGAACCTAGGACAAGGGAACCGATTCTAACCTAGAAGTCACGGTCATAGGGCACCTAGATAAGATAACTATAGCCCACGACTAATAGAGCTCGACGTAGCGAGACTCCCTAATAAAGAGCAGAAAAGACATAGAAACAATAACTTATGTTTTAAATACGGGAAACCAAGACACCATATTAAGGATTACTAAAGTAGAGAGTAACCCTAGTAACTTAGAGCTACTTAGGAGCGAGGAGGCTATAATAAACCGCAATAACTTTAGGCCACGGCCAAAGACGAACCAATAGAAACGACCTAAAGCAACAAGATCTAAAAGGCAGAAGCGATCAACGCAAGATTTAACGCGGCCTACCAACGAGCAAAGGCGCTTAAATAAGAAGAGGGTAACGCTCTCGATAGAGCAATATAGTAACTCAAAGCAATAGTAGCTAGCAGTAAGGAGCGCTAGGAAAAATTCGACCATCTATAAGAAGCCATACAAAAGACTTAGAAAAGGATAACAGACCTATTTCTAGACGTCGACTTTAAGGAAGTCAAGAGTTAAGGATAAACTTAGCATAGAGACTAGAATAATACCAGCTCCCAGGATCTAGTCATACAAGAATTAAGATTAGAGATATAGGCGCCTAAAGAAACTCCTAAGAGAAACAAAAGTGCTAACGATAATACATCCACGCACCAAGAGGAACCATAATAACTTATAGCCACTAACTAGGCAGCATATCTTAAGATCGACGCGAATATCCTCCTTAAGACAGTTAGGGTACTCATCGATTCAGGAGTATATGGAAACTTCATGGATCTATAGTATATATAATAAATCAAAATACCAATATAGAAAAGGAACCAATCTAGACTAATCGTTAGATTAAATAAAGAAAGTCTAGGCCTAGGCATTTCCTATAAAACAGAACCCTAAACCATAATTATAAGAACCCACTTCGAAACCATTTATTTTAACGTAACCCCACTAGGGAACTATAATATAGTATTAGGAATGCCATAGCTAAAAAAACATAAACCAACGATCTAATAGAACACCAGAGCCATTTACTTCATAAGTTACAGTTATAGAAGAATAAGCTAAATATAGTCAGGCGCATCACGAGAAATAATTAAAAAGGTCCTTAGCACAGGAGTAAGAGAACCTAAGGAGGCACCACGAAGGGTAAACCTACCTCTAACGCTAATAATAGGCTAATATATCATAGACATAAGCGTTATTAAGTCACGAGAATAGCGACCAAAGATAATAGATAATAAACTTAAAGAATATATTATAATCCATAAAGATAAGGTAGCTCTATATATAACAAAGGAAGGAGCACTAGAACTCCCTAAAGAATATAAGGAGTTCTAGGACGTGTTTATACCACTACCTATTAGTCAGCTACTAGAGCATAGACCATATAACCACGAAATCAAAATCATAGAGGGTAAAGAACTAACCTATATACCAATCTACCAACTATCGGAAAAAGAATCCTAGACACTAAAGGAGTATATTAAGACTAATCTTAAAAAGAAATATATCCGACACTCTATATTATTAGTAGGATATCCTATCCTATTTATACCAAAGAAGGATAAAAGTCTATAACTATACATTAACTACTAATAATTAAATAGGATTACGAAGAAAGACCAATACCCACTACCCCTAATCTAAGAGATCCAAGATCGGATCTAAGGCGCTAAGTACTTTTCAAAATTTAATATCACAGATACCTATAACCGCCTATAGATTAAAGAGGGAGATAAGTAGAAAATAGCATTTTAAATAAAGTTTAGACACTTTAAGTATATAGTGATGCTATTTAGGCTTACTAACGCGCTAGCATCATTCTAACGATTCATCTTTAGCGTGCTAGTAGGCTACCTAGACATCTTTATTATAGCCTACCTAGATAATATCTTAGTATATTCTAAGACCATCGAGGAATACTAGGAACATATAAAGAAAGTACTCCTAAGACTTAAGGAAGCCAAGGTAACCCTAAAACTTAAGAAATACGAGTTTCACGTATAATAAACCAGATTCCTAGGATATATCATCAGCAATAACTAATTTAGCATAGAAGAAGAAAAAATCCAAAGCATCCTAGAATAGCCTTAACCAAAGAACGTAAAGGATATTTAATAGTTCTAAGGACTATATAACTACTACCAAAAAAGCATAAATGGTTTTAGGGAAATAGCTATAGGACTTAATGCCCTAACTAGGAAGGATAAAAAATAGGAATAGAACTAGACCGCGGAAGACTTATTTTAAGGTCTTAAGGACCTCTTCCAGGTAAGACTAATCCTCTATACGTTTAATATAGAATTACTATCTATAGTAGAAGCTAATATATCTAACTTCGCGCTAGGAGCGTGATTAACCTAAATCATAACTATTAACGGGGTTAAGGCACCTAGGGTAATCGCCTTTTAGTCACGTAAAATGACGCCAGTAGAACTTAACTATAATATCTATAATAAAGAATTACTAGCTATAGTATTAGCATTTAAAATATAGAGACCATACCTAGAGGGAGTAAAATATTAGGTCTTAGTCAAATCAGACTATAAGAACCTAACTTACTTCATAACGACGAAGGAACTCACAAGAAGACAAGTACGCTAGGCTAAGATACTATCGCAATTCGATTATAGGATCGAACACTACAGTAGCGCTAGTAATAGCTAAGTAGACGCGCTTAGCAGAAGACTAAACTATTAGATCAGAGTTAAGGAAGCAGTACTAGCTATATTAACTAAAGATAAGAAGGGAAACCTAGTATATAATCATCAAACCCTTACTATAACTAGCGAACTACAGGACGATACTTAGCTATAATAAATCAAGGAAGTAACTACTAAAGATAAAGCTTTAGAATAAATACTTAACCATAAGAACCACTAAGTAACCCTAGATAATAGAATACTACTAATATATAGATTAATCTATATTCCTAGACCAATATAGGAAGAAATCATCCAGAAACATCACGATAAACCTACCAAAGGGCACTTAGGAATCAAAAAAATAGTAGAACTAATCACTTACCACTTTTATATCCTAAATATACATAAGAAGGTACGAAGATATATTAGTAGAATTGCGATTTGCTGGCCCGCCGCCGTTTTCGGCCGCCCTCTCCGTTGGGTTTAGCGCTCGTGGGTCCGCCGCCCGATCCGGGATCGCGTCCGTCCACTTGGGGTTTAGCCCGTCCGCAACGGGTTTGGCGCCTAACGCTAGCCCCAACCAGGATCTGCCGTCTCCCGCCGCCCGCCTCGCGACGTCCGCCATCTATATAACCCGCGGTGCGTCGCTCAACGACTACTCTCTTCTTTCCCACGCCCCTTTCCCCCCCCCCCCCTTCCCCCTTCATTTTGTTTTACCGACGCCATTCCATGGTCGGCTGACGTGGCCCCTGCCAGCTGAAATCTCTGCGCCTTGAGCACAGCCCGCCTCCCCACTTGCGGAAATTCGAAGGGGGCGGCCTGGCCTTTTCGAGTCACCCGGATCGCCCTTGGTTTCCCAGTTCTACTAGGCTTCATACCGGCTTCATCATGATGTACGCTGTGGATGATCACTGGTGCAGCTCATGTACACATCACCTTCGGGCTACTTGATAATTGGACATGTGATTAACAATATAGAAGGGCTACTGGGCGCTCTTTGTCTCAGGCTTCGGTTCGCAAGTGCTACGCAGCGCCCCAAAACGGTCACTTTGCTTTTTCAACCGACCACTGATTGACAATCATCACCGAGTTGCTCGTGAGACCCGCTTTCGCTCACTAGCCAACCGCAAAAATGCCGCAGGAGCTCCGGCGCTGAGCTGAGGCATTGCCGTCATCCATGATATTGATGGCTTGCATGATCGGCTTGCCCGATTGGGGGACCGTAGGCTGCCGCTCGTATTGAGGGACTTATTCCCGTGGATCTTTCCCCAATCCGTCATTTGTCAGCTGAGGTGTCTTGCGTCTTGCCGGCTGCATCGTTACAGATTGGAGTAAGAGGCACCCTTGCACAGTGGGGCCACGAACCCAAGACGTCCTTCGACGAGGCAGCTCGGCTGAATTCGCCCGGAATACCCCCAAGTGATCAGCAGACACAAGCAGGGAGTAGTGGCAACGAGGCAGTGATATCGGCGTTCTCGGTTGTTATGGGGTCGTCAAAGCGGTATACTGCATGATTTCCGGCTAGCATTGCCCTGACAGCGTCTGGGGTTTAAAAAGGCTGACTGAACTCCTTCTTCTCACTCTCTGGATAGGATTCAGATCGGACATGGACACACCAGCTCAGTCACCACTGCACTCATCTCAAAGGTTGCTTTATCATCTGTCAGTATCTACCTCCGCTGTGTCTTACCACTTTCTCTTTCTCGGAGATGGGGGTGAATCTTGATCAAATCGAGTTCTACCATGGCCCAAGTCGCCAGCCGCCTTCCACCAGTACCAAAAGCGTGACCCCCAGTCACGTTCCGGCTCACGTGCCACGATATTTCCAGCAGTCTTTTCCGACTGGGTTCGGCTTCCGTCCGGGACTGTGTGAGGTACCTCCAGGACAGCCACCGCAACTCACCGGTACGACTCATGAGTGGAACATTTTTGATTTCGAGATCAATAATGTCTACGGTCCTACTCGGCCTGACGTGACGAAAGATGTCGAACCTCCAGTGACAACAAATATGCCAGCTGCCTGTGATATCCTGTTGGAACGTGGAACTTCCGCGCTGGATTCCTCAGAGCCAGTGCCATTGACAGACTCTCCCAAAACAAGCCCATGTCTTTCAGAGTCAGATATGCCGGGATATTATCTACCGGGTAAGTTGGCTTAATGTTGATGAATGTTGAAAGTCGGCCACCATTCTCTCATTGTCTGACTCTCTTTACTTTTTAGACGCCATTCCTGATACCAAAAAAACGGAGGCTTCTCCACTCTCGTGTGTGCCTTGTGTGACCGCGCCCGTGCCTGCACCCGAACAAGCGAATCGTCCCTTTAGCGACCTGTCCGTGGTGGATGATTCCCAACAAGAATCAGCCAAGCGGAAATTATCTATCACGGAGCCCTCAGGCAGTTCGCACCCTGGGAACTACGAAGATGATACGGACCCAAGTCAGACATCTGACCTAGGTGGGAATTTATGCTCCAGGGCAAACGATACTCCGGAGCGGGAAGACTCCGGCACTGCTGAAGACACGTCAGCCCCATCTGGCCCGTCCGCTCCGCCGACCGTGCGCTCTACTTCAGAGTGTTCTCGTGTTCTAAAGACACTGACTTCTGATATCCCGGTGCGCTATCCGTCGATAGCTGTGGTTGTACCATCACCGTCCTGGAAGCAAGGAGCCACCAGGACAAGCACAAGGGCGGCTGCGGTAGTATGCAAGAAGCGACTCCGCTCAGGCCGAGGCACCAGCAACCACCAAGATGGGAACACCACCTTGTATGACACAGAACAGCCGGGTCAAAAGAGGAAGAAACGGAGGCCTTCAAACAGGCCATGTTCCGACCCTTCGGACTCTTCTACTCCCGTTTCATGTCATTGCCCTGGTGCTATCCAGGGTGTACGCGGGAGTGCTCTCCTCACGATCGAACCTAATTCTGGCCTGAAACCGGCATATTTCTTCACTTTCGTACCCGACCCTAGCCCGATGTTGTCTCAACCCCACACGGCGGTTGTCCCGGGGAAACAAAGACCGTACACATCGGACGAGAATGCGCTGCTGGTGCGGCTGAAGGAAAAAGAGGCGATGTCATGGTCGGAGATTGCGAGTCACTTCCCGGGCCGAAATATGTCATCCCTTCAAGTCCATTATTCAACCAAATTACGCCACAAGGCCAGCTCTCGGTCTGGGAAACCGAGGATACGCGAATGAGAGAGTCTCTTCAGTCAGTATATATTTCGGTTCACCCCTGCCGGCCTTTCGATTTATGCAACATTCTCTGTAGCTATATGTTTCAATACCAGCATCAAGGGCAGTTTTGTGTACTGTAAATAGTTCACATACTCGAGCTCATCCGAGTCCCTCTTCGATCTGAGATACTACTAGGTAGAGCATGGGGCATTGCTTGCCCTATGGCACTGGCAGTTCAGAAGGAATCCTTATCTAACCGAGGATTTTTGGCCTCATAAAAAGAAGTTGAGCCATGAAGTTGGGGAGCAGCGAACATCACCTGTCTCTCAGGAGCTGTCACAGGCTTTTGCACTGGCAGGCCCTCGTATTTTGCCCTTCTTTTTCTCCTCATTCACAAGAAACCTGCGCCTAGCATCACGGCAGAGAGAATCCCCAGACAAATGCCTACGCCTACTCCAACTACAACAGTTTTGTGATTGTCCTCTGCCGAGCCCCTAAGGTTGTAGCGACGGTAGCCCCGCTGGAGTCGTTTTCTATGGCGACTGATGTCGCTGCAAGGTGCGGCGTAATGAGAAAGCGTCGATCTTAGCCAAGAGAGCACCGTTATAGTTATCAATGGTTGCATGCATGCAGGCATCAGCACAGTCATTGCTGGGGGAAGGGGCAGTAAGCAGTATGATACGCGACGCGTTCCGTTTGAAACATCGGTCATATAAAAAGCAATTACCTATCTGACCTATTTTTACTTCTACTGTGGATGTTGCTCGGAAATATGATAGGTCAACCCGTGCTGCAGAGCGTTGTACGACGAAATACGGGGGCACTCCCCATCTGCTAGCAATCAAGATGTCGGGAATCGGGGTGGGGGTAAGGCGGTATAGAATTTGGTGGCATGACATTGGATGTGGCCCCAGACCAAGGCTGCCGTAAAGCGGTGATCGGTATTGTATTTTTCCTCTTGCCTAGGATTTTCTTGACCCCCTTGCCTACCTAAATAACTAACTAGTACTTAAGTAGTTAGTGAGTGATCAGCAGCAAAGTGGTCGAATTTTTCTTGATCCCTAGTCCTAGCCTTTTCTTTTCTGATCCTTGTACACGAACAAATTTCTCCCCTTTCCAACTAACCGATCTTGGGTTTTTCCTCCCGGTAACTTGTTTCATCATATGGTTTGTTCCTCACCTTTGCTCGATCGGCAGCTACGAAACCATGCCACAAACTCTAAGACCGCTCGACTACGGGTGCACGGATTGGCGGATCAGTAGCCAAAGAGTCGCAGATCTGTACAGTTCTGGTACCAGACTTTGGACGAAAGAAGATCTCGAAGACATAGAACAACAATTGCGTCGTTCCTATACGATGGAGCGATTTTCAGTCCGTCGAGTCGATGGAAGCATAATCCAAATTTCCAATCCCATGTTCCAAGTACAGAATCCAATCTGGTACGTGGCTATGGTATTCTGACCCAAATTCAGCCTGCAATCTAAGTTCCTCTTAGGAAACCTCATGTCAAGTACCAAGAATATTGGCAACTTGTGAAAGCACAACCCAGCGGCCCAATTGAAACCTACCTGTGCTCTTACATTGTGGATTGGAGCAATCAGACTGCACGAAACTTCCGAGAGCTTTTAGCACAGCCTATGCAAGTATTTGACGAGAAATACTTGCTGTGGCAGAATAGCAAGACCTGCAAGCGCTTGGCAACCTTGGTCCAAGATACACTCGGTACGAACACTGTGAAGAAAGTTCTCTGCTTCGGGCTCGGTGATTTCTGCCGCTCCGCACCTGAATGGCTAAAAAGGCAGCACGGCTCTTGGGATGAAATCTCGGAGGTGGAAAATGTTATGGGTTGCATGATCCAGCATTCGATGGCTCTTACTATCGCTCAACTTTGTCGTGGCAATAAAACATTGCCATTATATTCTCAGGACCCAGAGTATACAGAGATCGCGGAAGAGATCCTGACCAAGAAGGAATTCAAAATTGTTGGGACTCACGGTGCAGGAGGATTCGCGGAAATTGACGATGAATCCATCATAATATCACCCTTTGCTGCCGCCCCAGTCAAGCAGATTATTGCCGATCTTGCTCGGCCTGTGCTTATTATTTCCACCGGCTTTGAAGTTTTCAATGGCAATGAGTAAGTTCGCTTTTATCGATCCTCGAATTTGTCTAACCATGGCACTTAACAGAAAACCATTGGCAGATGCTGAATCTCCGAGGACAAGGCAAATGTGGCTCGATTATGATGCTTATAGCCTTCCAAGCCATTCAGATGAAGTTGAAATATGCTCTGCACTTAAAGGACTATATCTGTATTGTAGACGCCAACAATCTCTGGATTCGCAAGAAGCCTGAGTTCGCATCACAAAGGATCGCAAATATGAGATCGATTTCAAAACAGGAATCTTATGTATATGTATAATTCTTGGTCTCTCCCATCCCTTGTGCGCTGCGGTGGATTTCGTAAACTGGTTCAGGACAGCCCGCGGAGTCATTATTCAGGAGAATCCTTATGACTGGTTGTCAGTCAAGCAGCTTCAGTGACAGTTCAAAAATCGCAGCTATTCACCTCCCACCTCCGATCATTCAGTCCTTTTTCTTGGAGCAATTGCAGCAAGAAGGACAAGCGCCACAATCTCCATGGACCATGCTCTTCTCCTGTCCACAGGTGCAACATTTGATCGCGTCCACGGGATGGGTTATGTCGGATTCAGAAGTCATGACGGAGGCGGGGACTATACATGTATTAGTTGGGACACCGCCGATCTGCAATAGAGGGCACGAATACTGTACTTGTGAGGACTCTTGCAATTAGGTATACGCTTGAGAGGAGCGGTTCAGAAAAGTGGTTTTTAACGATCAAGGTTTGAGAATCCAAATTCAATAGAGACCGGGCAGAGTAGGTAGTCTGTCGACCAGATATTATAGGAAACAAAGCCACGAGAGTGATTCTTGAGAAATTCAAGAGACAATCGTTACTTTCGCACTTTATACCACAGGAAAGCGGGGGAATAGATCACCTGGGCATAACATCAGGCGAGTTCATTATATTAAGCGTAGTCCTGTGAGAATTGTTTCTGATGGGTCTGTAATGCATATGGGATTACTGAGGCTGCCTCCTTGTTTACTCGAGGGTGACGGCCCCTACATTTGGCGCTAATTATGGCTCACGAGCACCAATCAATCGATATTACTGAGTGGCTTTGTTGATTATTAGGTTTCGGCGAAACCCAATTTGGGTCCAAGGCCCCCCTATCCGTGCGCTGTGGATGTGAAAAGCATGGATCAGCCCCACCGAGGGCGTTTCGTCCATGTTCAGAGCATCTGTGAAGATGATTGGCAGCATGCATGCGGCTGAGTGCGTCGAATCTCATCAGTTGAAGAGGGGAACCCTGTCATTTACCAGGTCAGTGAGGTTCTTAACCTACTGTGATCAATCACAATGCAACCCTTGGTTGACGGAGCTCTCGTGACCAACGATACTGGGAAATATTGTTTCAAAGGTAGCTCTCGCTTTCTTGATCTTAGATTTTCTTTTTATGCCGGTGGCCACGTCACCTGCAGCTACCCTGTCACGCTGCAATTCGAACGACTCGATCAGCAAAGAGCTACTCCAATGAAAACTCATGTCAGATTATGTCCAATGACAAGGGTGAAGGTCGTCATACATCATTGGACTGGGTGTGTCGAGCTGATAAGCCCAGACCACAGAACCGATGTGCATTAGCGCGAGGCTGTCCCCCTGTTTACTTAGTGTTTGACACACTCACGGGGTCTGTGCAGGAAATGCGAGGTGGAATGGGTGAATAGACAAGTTAAAATGGACAGACAGGGATGTTTCGGGCAGAATGCCCAGCTTTTGAGGAACTTTGACCAGAGCGGGGTATGGTGGATAATTAAACAGGGATGTTTGGGCAAAAGGACTAACTTTTGAGAAACATTGACTAAAGCAGGGCGCCATAGCTGAAGCTGCATGCAAAACACATGAGACACGTGCTCTTGGCTACCAAACTTTAACCCCAAGTGTAGAATGTGGGCAATTGCATATCCTATTTCCAATAGAAAACTATCTTCTGAGTTACAGATTTGTCACTAGCCAGGATAATCCCGCACGCTACGTATCTGCTTTCATGGTCGGGCTTATTCCTGCGAAAGTAACACATCCATACTGCATTCCGGAGCTCTGGAAAAGTAGAACGCGACGGCCGCCTTTCTCAGACTCATTGTTGTAATTTGGAGCTATGCAGCATATAAGTAGTGTATAGTGATTTAGAATTCAAGGCACTTACCGTCACAATTTGGATCTGTAGGTGAGGTTGTATACAAGCAAGAATTGTCAAGCCTAATAGAATAAAAAACATTCCTATTGAGCTAACGGACGCTGCCCACAAAGCTCGTTGATGTCTGGTAGTTGCGAGATCCGGACTTCGCCATAAGAATTTGAAATACCCTGTTTCTGTATGCCACGTCCTCATGCAAGTGACCCAAGCTCTAATGATTAGAGCATGGACGAAGCTGAGACTAGCCAAGCTGGCGATCATGTATGAAGAAAACAAGCCGCTGCGATGATCCTTTATTCTCGGTTAACAAAGTACATATAAACGGAAGAGCCACCACTCAAATCTCACCGAAAAATAGAAGGTAAGTGATAGAATAGTAAGTGCCACCAGTAATGATAGGACATATATTATATGTATCAACGAGGATTGCAAGAGAGAAACGCTCAAGTACTGTATAAGTAAGTCTCATACCACTCCTCCCCTCCTGATTTAACGCACTTACCTCATTCAAATTGAGTAAAGTCAATACTCCACCAACTTCCTGCTGTAGTATCTGCCAATTTTTCCCTTAATTAAAGTCAACTCCGATAAAGGTCACGGGGGGACATTGAAGCTTCACCTTTCTTCGACTTTGATTCAAACAATCCAATCGGAATAGATGCAATCAGTCCCAAAAGCGCCACGCCGCCTAGCATGACTTGGCTAGAAATAAGATACTCTCTCTTTAACCTTGAGAAGCTAAGAGCCTTGATAGACAGGAGCCAGAGAAGAAGACTTGTTCCACAGCAGAAAGATGCTATTGCGGATGTAACTAGTTGAAAAAGCACATCAGAACCCATATCTACCTGATTTTTTGATAGCCGTCTCCAAAGCATGGAGCTGCAATTCAAAAACATATGAAATTTGCTTACCCCTGGGTCTTGCTCCGGAGGGTTTTATACATTTCCCGGGCTTTGATTGACCATCTCGTGTCTCACCAAGGACTACAAATACGGAAGATTAGAATGGTGGTTCTCAGTTTGTAGGAGGGATTTAGGGCAAAATGGACAGCCTTGGAGGAATATTGTCCGGGGCAGCATACGAAGTCAGCTAACCGGTGCTTTTGCTGCATACGCCACTTGCCTGGTCATTTTGCCTGGATTATGGGGAAGTCTTGACCGCTTATTAAGCCTAAGCCGTATGCTGATCATATTACTTAATACCGCATTTTTGTTGACTGATGTCATTGCATTTCCCACACTTGCAGGGTTTGCAAATCAGAGTAAACAGATATTTTGACATTGAATAATCCCTACCAGGAGCATCTACCGGTTCGATTTGTGACTCATTGTATGCGCGAAGAACGGACGAAGCACGAAGTGTGGATGCCTAATCTGTGCCAGTAGTTATCCAGCAGCCTTAGTAATCATATGAACTTCCCCCACCTTTCTGCCCATCTCTAGTCCAGCCCAACCGACTGCGTTCTGATGTTTTCGCCGTGCGCAGTCGACGACATCAACTTTGATTCCAACATCTCGCAACCCAAATCGACAATCCTCACGTCTAAGCGAACACAGTCCGGCCAACTTCATCCCCGAGGAACGCACATTGAGAGTTTCAAAATATTCAGATTCTCCGCGACCAGACTCGATCTTCTCGGGCACCCGTGGCGCACTAATCTTGGTGCGTTGGTTTTTGCAGATGGCAAATGAAGCAACGGTCACTGAATCCAGTTTGGTATACTATACGCCCTGTCTTTTGAATATTTTTCTAATCTGAGCAGGCAAGCCGCTGGCAAAATTTCACAACCGCTTCATTTCAAGATTCCGACAAGAAAGCAGCTCACCAAATCAATGCATCCCTGACCGAAGAACAATTTTTTGCATGTGAATCTTGCGAGGAGATACTATTTCAGGATGGAGATGGCTCGACCATATTCCGGGCGGAGGGCAGTGGACAGATGATATTACCGCCGGGTATACGGGTCAGAGCAAAGGGTGGATCGGCCAAATCACGACCGATAGATTGAATTTACAAAATTGTAACATGATGTCCAGCCAACCGTCAAAGTGATTACCATAAGCTGTGCTGGATATATGTCTGCCGCCACACACCTAGTCTTAATTTCACCAGTTTCTTGATTCCAAAGTTGACTGCTCGTAATAGCTTCAAAAACGTCATCACCGAACGCTGTAGCTATCTGGTTCTTCACAGCGCAGCCTATGGAAAACCGCTCTTTTTTAAGTCAGTAGAAGTCAAAATTCGACCTGAGAGTTGCTTACCAGCAGCCATTGTGTCGCTTTCTGGACTGCCGAATAGGTTTTGAAGGAGGCTCTGGTCAAACATCACCATCACTCTGATCAGTCCATCCGTCGATCCTTCGGATGGAAGAAAAGTTGTGACATAGCCACGAACAGCTTTAATCAGCAATCGAGGGAATGCAATGTGCATGGATTCAGGCTTAACGATCGAAGTATAGCACCAGCACGGTCCTCCGCACAGAGAGTACTGGAGATTTGGGCGTAAGTTGCCATTACCTATTCGTCTCAGAGTAATGAAATCTATGGAAACGTTAGAAACTTTGCAGAGATGCCGACTATCGAACTTACTTTTCAGGAAATCTTCGTCGGCCGATGAGCTTAGGACTACCCTGTTGATTTCGTCGCATTTAGCGATAGTCTTCACGGCAGTTTGGGAAGCGATCACAGCTTGTTCAAGCAATACATCAAAAAGCTCTTTTCGCATAACCTCAATAGCTTTTTGCGTCAGGCTCAGTCCACAAATGATCAATGACACAGGGTCCAGCTCCCTGAGGGCTGCCACTTTTGGTTCGTGCCACTTATCAGGTCTAAATATCAGATGTAGCAGATGGGATAATCTCCCCAATGCAACACGGCTAAATGAGGTCTCCTTGGCAGGCAACAATATTTTAGCAGCCTCCGTTCTAAGCAGTTGTTGCTTCAGAGACGTCATAGTTCTTTCCAAATCTTCAGCCGCTAAAGCTTGAGGATCAAAGTCGTCCAGACAGCTGACCATTCGGATGTAGCCATCCATGACGTAAGATTGCCTGCTGCTGAACAGTATCTGGAAGAAAGGATGTAGGACCGAGTGGAAGTCGAGGGAGTTCGGGCAAATTGCCCGGCTTTTAAGCCATTTTGGACCAGAGCGGGGTACTCAGCTGCGCCCCATCAACAGGGGTCTGTGGATCCTGAAATGCATAGAAATTGGGCCAGAGCCTTATGGTACGGGATTCATGGGCACTTTACCATTTTTTTAGGGCATTTTGACTTTTTTTTTTCTGATATCTCTGAACTCCTCAATGTTTGCGGTGAAGGCGTCTTGATGGAGGGAAGAAAATAACAGGTAGTTGGTGCGCCATATGCATATTGCTTTTTCGGCAAGAATGAACGAATCAAAGATCCGACAGCCAGGATTGACGCTGTTGCATAGGCGAGGTCTTTGTTTATTCTCCCCTGATTGCCAGCGTATAAAGGAGCACGAAACTCTCAAGAGAAAACATAGTTCCAGCCATCAAGCTGCGCTGATATAAAAATTGTCGGCAACTTTTGTCATCCTTATTATGAGTTCTTTCAATGATAGTTCCTACCAAAGCTATTCCCAGATGTCTCTCTTAGACGTTTTCTTTCCGGGCCTCAGTATGGTCTCTGCCTCCGCACAGCATTTGTTTGCTGGAAACCTGGACAGTACCACTCGATTCCTTTGCACCTTGGGAATGTTCATCCTCTTCGCCCGCTATGCAATCTGCTATGCATGGGAGGTAGTGAGAAAATATTTTAGTTCGTATGCCTTCCATCATGATGAAATGACCCTGACATTGTGAAGCTTCCACGATTTATGTCTCATACTACGATGAAGCATACGACATGCTAGTTGATTGGATAGCCGAGCAACCGTTTGTCCACAATGCCCATTCATTGATTGCTCGTGTGAGAACCACACAGCGGCCAGGAAACATTTACTCAACAAAGAAAAAGCCTGTGACCTTCTCCCCTTGGGATGGATCATTCCTTTTCTGGTACAGGGGACACTTGCTCATCCTTCACTGTGCAGTCAAAGAGCATCGAGAAGACCTCCGTATCTCCTCCATTGGTCTCAATGCCAATATCCTGAAAGCTTTGGTCGAAGAGTGCCGCGAAAAGTATCTCAGGGACACCCAGCAAAAGATTTCTGTATTTGAGCATCACGAAGGGGAGTGGAAGAAAGCCAGGCTAAGATCCGTCCGACCGCTCTCCACAGTCATTATGGACGAACGGATAAAGGATGATATTTTAAGAGATGTGGACGAATTCCTCGATCAAGACATGCAAGCATGGTACGCAGAAAGGGGCATTCCGTACAAACGAGGCTACCTTCTTTTTGGGCCTCCTGGAACCGGGAAATCCAGCTTCAGTTTATCACTCGCGGGCAAGCACAAACTGGATATCTATACGCTTCAATTGTCAAACATCTCCGACAGTACACTGATGAGACTTTTTGCTGAGCTCCCGCCGCATTGCATTGTCCTCTTAGAGGACGTGGATACCGCTGGAGTGGGACGCAGAGACAGCGTTGATGCAACCCAGGAAAATGAGTCAAAGTCAGCGGTCACCCTATCCGGGCTTTTGAACGTGCTCGATGGTGTCTCATCCCAAGAAGGCCGCATACTCATCATGACGACGAATCATATCGACCATTTGGATGAAGCGCTTATTCGACCTGGTCGCTCAGACAAGAAAATTCATTTCAAGCTCGCCGATCAAACCATCTCGAGCCAGCTCTTCCACACGGTCTTTAAACAGCTGCCGAATCAAAAGCAATGCAATGAGGTGTATGATGATGAGACATTCAGTACCCTCGCTCAAGACTTTGCCAGCAAGGTGCCGGAGCAAGTGTTTAGCCCGGCAGAAGTTCTATCATTTCTTTTGGAGCGCAAGAAGTCACCTTCGGATGCTGTTTCTTGCGTGGAGAGCTGGGTGGCCAATACAAAGTATTGAGGAGAGAGTGGCAAAGAAGGCAGAGGGCCTGGGAAATACTGAGAAGAAATGGGTCGAGAGATGGGAGCTCATTTAATTGACGCCGAATGATTGAGCTTTTTGGAACCTTTGTCGCATGTATTGAGAATGAATTCTAGCTCTGGAGATTCGTAAATTGACTTTATGACCGAGTGCGATCGCAAAGCAGTCCACCCTGACCATTTGATGACCATTTGAAATGATCTCATAATAATAATTCGTTCGAAAAGGGGCTTTAGGTTGCGGAAAGACCTGCACAATCATTCGGTAAATCTGAAGAATATGTAAAGGAGAAGCGAAAGTCAGCTGAAAAATTATTATGGTGATCAATTGTAGGTATCGATAATTGATTTAAAGGCAGAAGGAACATTTAATCCTCACAAAACACGGACGCGTTTCACATTTGCTGCCTCCTCTGCTTGACATAGCCGTCGTTTTGTGGCCCCCGGCCGCTGCTTAGCTGGTCGGCGTCTCAGAGTAGAGCGGTGAAAGTCGATGATCAAAGCACGCCCGAGCTCTTCATTCCAAAGAACATTGTCTCGCCTAAGGTCTTCGTGTATTATCCCGAGAGCTTTGATTTCTTCGTTCGATTTGTGAATTTCGCGGCGAAGTCGCTGCGTCAGGTCCATCTTGGCGGTGCTCTCACCTCCCCAGCCCATTATGAGCATATGGCGGATCTGTCCAGCGCCATGAAGAAAGTAGATTTTTGCTAAATCAATCGTCCCCAAAAACACAGGCACGGCAGATGCTTGAGCCTTGCGCAAGACCTGATATACCTGCGCTTCGCGGGAAACTTCCTTCCATAAGCCCGAAGTGGTGCCTTTACCGATGACCGTATAGCCATATTTCGTGCACGTCAATTTGAAAGGCGCACCGTAGGAGCCACAGCGACCAAAGGGAATGCAACGATCGATGTTTTCGTCTACTTGGCTTTTCAGTGAAAGCATCAGATCTCCGACCGAGATAGAATGATGGCTCGGATCGTTCTGGCCCTCACGATGATGGTCCACGTTTGGACACAACTCGTCCAAAAACTCCCCAGTTTGTAGGCCGAGTAAACATCGCTGCGTGCAAAATTGTGCAGCATGGCGTCGGGAATGGTCTTCTTGGTCACAGCCTGACTTTTGTTGGTGACCTGATCGCCGTGCGGACGGTGAAGGAGTTGAAGGCGTTACTTTACTGATCGTCCGCTTGTGGCCAGCTGCTTGATTTGTGTCGGAGCCGGACGAGTTAGGTGACTGCGAGCGCGGTCGGATCTCCCAAGGTGCACAATTGCTTTGAGATCGTGTAGGCACTCGACGGCCATCTGAGGGAGACGGTAGCGGGGATGACGAGGGCAGCTCATAGGACGACCCAGATTCAGGACTCGGGAACTCAGGGTTGGTGCTGTCGGAGTGGGGAATCTGCTCTAATTCTTTGCTCGAAATCTGGGATCGGGCATGTTCAAAGCTTGTTTGCCACGTATGAAGATCGGGCCGCCAGCGATTTCTCCACTCTTGCCCACGAGAGGGTGATCGGAATGCCAGCAAACAGAGGCATAATACCCTCGCAACAGAGGTCTTCGATAACTGTGAAGTTATGTCGCCCGCTGGGTCCACTTCGCTGTGGGGATCGCAGAAAAAGTAATAGAGCGTGGTCGGTTCATCTTGCGGAACACGAAGTAGGATACGGGTAAGTCCATTTGTCACATAGGAATACTCGCATCCTTCTTCGAACATCGCATGGTATTCTTGGACAACAGCAGAGCAGGCTAGCCGCTCCGCATTGTACCTCAGTTTCGCATGCTCATCCGTGGGTATTTTATTTGATCTGACCATTGTCTTCCATAAATCCATTGGTCGTAGTCCCATGCGAAGAGCTGCGACAGGCAGTTTGTGAGGCGGCTTGTACTCGACAGTTGTAAGGAGGGTATTCGTGTTGCCGTCGACCCGATGGATGCAAAACTGATCTGGTCGTGGATGAGGTGTGCTTGACAGATGACTCTCATCTGCTCCAACGGTCTCGTCCCTGCTCAAAGAATGATTGTGATTGCTGAACTGAATCCCATCACCGAGGCCAAATTCAGCACATGCCGCTGGTATTTTGCATAACTGTGATATTATATCATGGACATGCTCTTCCACTCCAAACCGCTCATAGGCCTCGAGATCTTGCTCACTGCTGAGGGGCTTGCGGGCAAATCGGCGGCCGAGTCCTTTCAACTCCAGCAGAGGGGAAAACAAGCGTTGTGACAGCCCTGATCTTGGCTGTAGATACTGGCAGACAGAATTGTAGACCCTTAGCAACTGCTCTGGGCAATCATCCCAATGTTCCAATCGAGTTGGGCAAAACTTCCCAGTCGGAGCGGGTATTTTGCCAGAGGTTGAGCGAGATGGTGTCTGAACTCTCAATTGGCGGGAGATTGTATCATGACAGTGTCGTAAGAGCTCCGTGAAAGAGGTCTGTTGGTTGCGTTCTTCTGCCTCCTTCCGTCTCTCCTCTTCTTGCTTCCGTCTCTCTTCCGCCTGCAGATAGAGAGTTTTATAATCCGGGGAGCTGTTATCAGCCATCGACCTTTTGGAAAGGGGCGTCACATTTGCCCTTGTGTATGGGCCAGCAGACCAACGAGCGGAGAGTCAGCCGAGCCGGCTCCGGCGGAACGTTTTTCCAGCGATCAACAATGGATAACCGGTATATGGTTTCTCCGATCCTCGCTGGGTACGCAGATAATAATATCGTGCAAGACGAGGGTGAACTATCCCGGTGGAGTTCGCCTTTCCAGCTTACTCGGCTCTTAGCTCCAGTATATTTATGCGTCGAGCATTAAAATGATTTGGCTTTTGATGCGATGGAACACAAAGACGTTCGTTCCTTGGAATATCATGTGTGTATAAGGCATACCAGACTGCTTTTGCTGAAAGGGCCTTGAACGACCATAAGGGATAAGAATATCAGGTAGACATGACGAGGTATTTATAGGCCCGAGGCTTGTTTGATCTTGGTGGTTCAAAAAGGTACCATCACTTTTTTGCAACTTCATGGAAAAGCATCCCGCACAAAAAAAAAGAGGTTTGGAGTTTACTCACACTTATAACGATTTTCCCTTACCATCATATGGAGCCAAATTATTCCTTATAGTGATCTTACTCCATCGCCCTTGTTTCCGCGAAAAATACTCATCATTTCGTGTCAAACTGGATATCATCTCGTCCTCGACAGCCTCAACAAATTGAGTATACTTGTATGACGAACCGTTTCGCTTACATCTCGTACATTCTAGCAGTGCCTCTCATTGGTCCACACTCTGTAATACAGTATCAATATCCGACCTACTACTGTCTGGCTCATCTTTTGCTGTGCCTGACAATCTTCAAAACCAATCGTTTTTGAGTTTAATGTATATTAATTAAAGGCAGGCTTTTTTTTCTCAAGAAGCGTCTTTGTGATGAAATAGACATTTTTGATATTCTCTAATCAACACGGCACACAATGTGTGTTGCTGACTAACTTCTAGCTTAATCATCTGTATCACATGATCCATATCGCGACAAATACGTGATATCACCTGATATATGTTTAGTCATGGCAGTCCCTTACTTCATTCCGGGCAGGAGAAATATTCTCCCGGACGGCAAATACATATAGATTAAGTCCAGTTTACAAGCGCTGAGAAGATATGACTTCATTGGTAGGTCATTACGACATCAATTTTCACTCTCAGGCAGCTCTGAGTCGCAATAAAGCTTCGCTGATCAACTCACCCACTTCCATACTCAAACCAAACTTAAATCATCCTACAATGCCAGGAGAAGGCTGGCTCAGTTTCTTGCTTGGATAAGCAATATATCAGTACGCCCGTTCACTCGACTGGCGAACAATCAAGAAGCGTCTAAACAAGCAGACACGAGGTGTTAAAATGCATGGACAGAAACTGCCCGCCACAGGCAGCCCACTTGGCGGGTCCGGTGATGCCTGCAGGCCTTCAAGTCCTCACCACGACGATGTGACGAAAGCTGTTGCAGCCGAACCGAGTTACACCCGTGAACTACTTTTTAATATTTTCGAGGCAGTTCAGCAAGCCGACCATACTTATGAGCAGAAATTGCTCGAATGATCCAGCATCGCAAGCCTGTGCAACAGCTTCATGCCTTTCTCAACGGGATGTTAGCGAGTGCAGGAATGTCCGAATTGAACGACCAGTTGATCGTTTGTTCAGACCGCGCTAGGCGCCAAACTAATATTGAAAGTCATCCGCCTAGAGCCCGTCCTAGAATTATGGACATTCAATATTTGTGTGGCGTTGCCCCATACAGTGTCCCTGCAAGTCCGTGGACATCCGTCACAGACAGTGATGACCTAGTCTCGCATTTAGTGTCATTATACCTCACTTAGGGTTATCCTTTCTATGCTTTTTTTTTGCCGTGAAACCTTCATTAAACATATGCGATCTGGTCAGCTGACCTCGGACTTCTGCAGTCCTTTCTTAGTGAATGCTCTCCTCGCCAATGCGTGTGTAGGTGTCTGCATCTAACCTTTCAGCGATAAGAAGCTAAGAACCGGCTAATTTAATATAGTTCTACTTAGATTATTCGGAGGCTTATAGTTTACCCGGAGATGTGAAGAGCAAAGGTGCCCATTTCCTGGCCGAGGCAGAAAGACATTTGAAATCGCATCAATTCGAGAGCAGAGGCGATATCCGTATTTCTTCCTTGCAGGCGATGCTACTGTTATATGAGAAGTAATACACCCTCGGTTCTATGGCGTGCTTTTCGATTGCTTACTCTCAATTCGTCGTTCCGCAGATACTCTATGGATGGTCCCGATGATTTTGGCTATTCAATGCGACATAAAGCAATAAGAATGGCGGAACCATTTGGCATTGTGAATAATGCAAAAGGACTACGTCTAGAAAAGTCTTATATCTCCACGGACATGATATCATCTCTCAAGCGAACGGCGTGGGGTTTGTTTCAGATCGATACGTAGGTCTTTCCTCAACGTGGCTAGTAAGAAAAGCTCACACTAACTGTCTTGTAGGATTGTCCATATGAACTTCCTAAGACCAAGTCACATCAAGGACGTAAATTTGGACCGAATTGATCGTGATGAGATACCGGCGCAGGAATCATGAGTACCTTATCCGATTTCAAGAGCGCCACGTAACGCTTACATGAGCCAGTATTTTGATGAGTCATGCAAGCTCTCTTTTATAGCCAGGGATACGTCTTGGAAGGTGCCGCACTCCCTTGAGGATGTGGAGGTCAAGCAAGGAATTTATAACCGTCTGCGTCAATGGAAGAAAGAACTCCCCCAGGTCTTTGAGCTGAAGGAGAAACCAGCACCGTATATTCTTGTCCTCAGGTTTGTGTTGACCGTACCTTTCGCTCAGTTAGTATTGAATTACTGACATCAATCATCCTGAAAGGATGCGCTACCACACGCTAGTGATCAATTTATATTGCTACGATCTCCAAAACGGCATTACGTCCTCAAAAGCTAGCAAAGACGCCTGTGGCTCCGCTCGCCCTCATCAGGATGCCATGCAGACCGCGCTCTTCTCTGCGCGAGAGATTGCCACTTTGATCGAAGTGTACAGAGCGGAATACGGACTAGTACATTGTCATCAATTTGCTATGTATGCTATCAATGTTTCGCTATTTTGCATACTTGCGCAGGAGTCTTTTCAAATTCTGGATCCAGATTTCTTAAGCCTCACTAGTGCATTCTCCGTTCTTGCCTGCCGTTCGAGGGTGGGGAGACATCTCTTTCATGCGTTCAAGTTGTCTGTCCGCTCTAGGGATTCAATTGGATGGATGTTTAGCACCGACGATGATATCCCTCCTGGGATTAAGGACCTCTTTGGACCACGTGAAAAAACCGACGAACCGGACAAGTGGGATCACTATGCGGAAGGCTTGGCAGAGATAGCTGGTGAAGTAAGCTTCCTCAGAGAACTTGGAATGGATCCTGCTATACCTGGACTACTTGACATGCTTAAGTGGTACGAGGTGCTGAGTATTGGGAAAGAAACCAAGTGGAGAGGGAAAGATTCAGACCATGCTTTCTTGAAATTCTTCGAATGGTTATAGAATGTAAGCGTTCAATAGCGTTCTTCCTCTTGTCGCTCTTTGAGGTAATGACATTTGATTTAGCTGATGATGTACTGCTACATTTTCATGACTTGATCGTACTGCGCCTCCAACATACATGCGTCAGGTTGGTCAATCTGTTTCTCTTGCGAAAGACTGGACCTTTGTCTCTATCGTCAGAATAGAGACAAATAGGGCGTCTTAGAGACCATAAAAGTCTCGAAGCTGTCACTAGCCCGCAAAATACGTAATGGCGATCAAATATTTCAACCCCCCTTTTGCTTATAGTTGTAGAGTTAGAGGCTCTGGTGACATCCGTACTGGAACATAAATCCGTCTCGTGCGGGGTTCTGATAGGATGAGCCCCACCCATGTGTCATCAGATCCATGGACTCAGAAAGTAACCTTGCTTGAGCTTCGGACTCTTTTTCCGGCACAAAACCCCGCCACTCCTGCTTAGAGACCTCCCGTTTTTCCAAGACTCTTTTTCATCGGGACCTCTCCAATTTCCAAGTTGATTCGAGGTGCAACACACAAAGCGTCAGAGAACCTATGCTCATTTGTGTTCTGTCGAATCGACGAACACAGCATTAAGACGCATCCGCGTTTCAGATAAATCAGTATTGAGAGGTTGTCTCCCTTTCGAAGACGTCATTTCATGATGAGGAAAAATGAAAATGCTGTCAATTCTCCTGAGAAGGGCCTAGTGTCACAAAACAGCATGCAAAATATCCTACCTGAAGCTCTCAGTCTTCATTCCTTCCAGCCAACCTCGGTCGCCAACACAAATTCAGCACTTGGAACGAGTTGGGTGAAACAGGCTGTTTCTACCAATAGCAAAGTTCCCATCCCCCGCCATCGACCAAGCACTGCGCCGCGATACAACCATCGAGTGCCTCGAGCTTGCGAATCCTGTCGGCAGCGCAAAACGAAGTGCAGTGGCGACACCCCGGTGTGTCAGCAGTGTCAAACATCAAAAGGAACATGTCTATACCCTTTAGCGTCGACGGAGAAATTAAAAAAGTAAGATTTCTAGCCTCTTATATCTCTTGGCTCTGGATGAAATGATATGTGGCCGGCTTTTTTCTGATTCATAAAATCACGTAGACAAGTCAAAAAACTGTCCGAAAAAGCGCAAGATTACGAGAACATGTTGAAGGATTTGGGAAACCTCGTTGACACCCGCACTACGGAACGAATCACGAACTTACTGAGCAAGGTTCGATACGACTCTGTCGCAGAAGGTTACTGCTTACTAAATCATTAATTTCTAGCATGGCTTAGATGCCCCCTCGTCTCATAGTGTAACATTACATGATGAGCTTCCCAATGAGCCAAGCTCGCCCTCGTCTATTGGCTCACTTGAAGAGATTGACCGAGTAGAAGAAGACCTTAACCGCAATAAAATCTCAAGGGCAACTGGGTTTATGGGAAAGTCCTCCGAGGTAACTTGGATGCAACGTCTCCAGAGAGAAGCGAAACGTCACGTGCAAGGATCGTCGAGCTCCTTGGAGCATGGCCAAGGCAAGCTGCAAAATGACCTTGCTCTTCATACAGTAAACTACCATCTAGACGAAATGGGCATCTCTATTCCCGAACCGATGGAAATATACGCTATTCCACCTCGTCAGCTAGCCGATAGACTACTTGATGAATATTTAAGGACTGTTCACCCGTCTTTTCCTATCATTCGCCAAACTCTCTTCACCGCGCAGTATCGGACGTTTTTTGACAGCAATGAGCACCCAGGTGATAAATGGCTTGCTATCCTAAATATGATATTTGCCATTGGCGCACAGCATGCCAGTCTCATTAGGGCTTCATGGCGCGGGGCGGATGGAGATCATGTCACATATCTTGCCCGTGCCAGAATTCTCAGTATGAGTGGCCATGAGTTATTTAATCATCCCGATTTTCAACAGGTCCAAGTGGAAGGCCTAATTGCATTTTATCTCCTATCTTCGGGCCAGATAAATCGGTTAGTCGAATGCCTTTACCAGTGATAAGCCTTGATTCTAATTCGAGCTTTCTAGCGCATGGAGAATTTCCGCACTGGCAGTCCGATCCGCTGTTGCGTTAGGGATCAATATGAAAAACAGTAGTCCCACAACACCTAATATCGATAAAGAGGCCCGCTACCGAGTCTGGTGGTGTCTCTACACATTTGAGCATCTTTTAGGTATAATGACTGGCCGGGCTACCTATATTCTGGATAATATTTGCACCACTCCTCTGCCACTTCCTTTTGAGGATAATGAGCTCTCTAATCCAGTGGCCGCGGACATCCTCAATGATACGCAGCTTAGAGATGAGTGCATCAACAACGTCATGGCGAGTGCATCAGTCCGACATATACCTCTCAACCCACTCAAAGGCACAAAAACCTCGCATCTAGCTCACGTCTATGATAGCTCATGGGTGAAAAGCCTACCTTTAAGCTCTAGCCTCTGCTATCTATACTACTGCGACCTAGCGCTTATCGTCCAGGAAGTCGTGAACAGAGTATATTCCACGGATTGTGTTATGGAGCCTTGGGCTCATATTTTGAATCGTATTGGGGAATTGAGGGTTCGGATTGACCTATGGTACCAAAGTCTTCCAGAAAATTTCAAGTTCTCAGAGAGGAAAGATGGCCGCCCTGATTTGCTCCGTTCCAAGTTGGCTTTAAACCTCCACTACTTCAGTGCACGCATCACGCTTGGACGTCCATGCCTCTGCCGGCGCGATGCGCAAAGGGAAAGTTCAGCGAACAGATCGGCTTTCAGCCGCGAAATGGCAGAGCTGACTCTACAGTCTGCAAAGCTCATGCTTGAACTCATCTCGGATGAGCCAAATGTCATCGAGCTCTACGAGATCTCCCCGTGGTGGTGTATCCTGCATTATTTAATGCAGGCAGCGACCGTCATCCTTTTGAAGATGTCGTTCTGGAGTGACAAGATACCGGAAGAAGAGACACACTTTGTGATCTACGCTAAAAAGTCAATGCGATGGCTTTATGCTATGTCTGCGCACAGCATCGCCTCGCAGCGCGCCTGGCAGCTTTGCGACATCAGTTTGCGGCGTATAGCGGCCGGCGTGGGATTCAATGTCGACGATATGCCCTCAGCTTTCGAATGCCAGCCCACGCCTACCGCTACGCTCGCTCCCAAACACTACTCTTCGCAGAGATTCCAGTCTGGTTCAACCGAGCTTTGGGATTCATTTCTAAATGACCCCTACCTAGCTTCCCCTGATGTGCCCTCCACGGGTCCTACGGCATCGGTAATGGCTGACCTCCACTTGTCTAACGATTTGTACTTCCCCTATGATCCCATCAATGGTGAGTTTATTCGTTCTTTCTTCCCGCATTCGGGTGAGGACAGTAAAGAGATGATGGAAGAAGGCTGGTAAAGGTTTCCATAGTAGAACCAGTTTTGCTACCTAAGTAAAAGGTAGATTGGGGTTTTGAATTGAAACTTGAAGCATTGTTGGTTTTCAATTGACCCCCCTCCCCTCCATCTCTTTCCCCATAACTAAGACATCCTAGTAAGGGTTGGAACAAAATCTTTGTTCGAATTGTTCAATTAGATCATTGTAGAAGATTTGAGGCTGGTACCGATCTTCTTTCCAAATTTGGAAGCCAGCCCAAAATGTGTGGATTTGAGTAGTTTTTTCGCGGGTTGTTAGATGACGAGACAGCTGTAGATCATCTTGAATTTTTGGTGCTGATGCCCAGCAAGCATGCTGGGGCATTTCAAAATCGAACGGGCCTTTGTCGGTAATAATAAAAGTGAAAGATATCACTAAGGTCGCCTTTTGTTCTTTCGATATGTCGAGAGAATAGATGCATTGTGTAGCGAATGATGACGGAGTGTAACCAAATTCCTCTTTGCATTGTCGTCTGGCAGTATGGAGCAAGCTATAATCATGATCTATGTCATGACTTCTATGCAGAACTCCTCGGGTTTTGGCATTGTATTGATAGATAGATTCTTGTATATTTTTTTCATTTTCCCTGACAAACATATAGCCTGCAAGGTATTTCATACTTTGCGGCTGGGGGAGCTCAGGAAGTTGAATATGCTTTACGCACTTGTTGATGTTGATTGTGGAAATCTTTGATGGGTATTTTCGGGCTGGGTGGCGTATAATGGTGTCGACTGTATCCATGATTGCACGGTATGAAACGATTCGCTTTCTTTATTCAATATATAAGAAGAAAAGGCGATATGTAGGACTCCTTGTCTCTTCTAAATATTTTGGATGGAACGTCCTGTTTTATATGTCTCAGTCTTGATTAATTAGGAAAGATATCTTTGATGATGTTGTGAAGCCATATCAATTGTGTTAAGCCATACTGGTTGAATTATATGGAGTGATATACCTGGAATAGTGCACTAAGTGCGCCTGTGATGGTATTGGTAATGTAAGTTAATCATCAGAGAGCTTATCTAATCCGCTACCCTAATATCACGGATTAACCTTTCTCCATCATGCTCTACTCTTTTGAGTAGGCCCTGTATTGATATTGATATCCAGTATTGATATCCAGGTTGTTCTCATGCGCTTGTGCGCTGGTTCTCAGGTCCTCATGCGGGCCTTGTGTAGACGTGTAGTAACAAATGGGATGGCTAATACGAAAGACTGTGGCGGAGAATTCTGGCTTATCCTTCTCCTAGTATTACAAGTCTAAAGTGCTCAACTAAACTTCTAACAGATCTCTATTACATAAGAGGCCCAGCGCCTGGCTTTATACCCACCATGTTAATAAGCCGTCACAAATTTATTGTAACAATTGAACGACTTATTTTGATATGTTCTAACATGAAAACCCGGCATTCCGAGCTTTGTCTAACACCCGCCAGATATATTTTGAAACGCATCGACGACTCATATCTCGCTATTGAATCAATAGTACTAGGGGGTCAAGTAGAGCTAGCAAGCTTTATTTTGGCGGTGGAGGAGGGGCGCCCGGCTTTTTGACACCTGTGGTCTCGTATGCGCCACGCCTATAAGTGTTAGCTTGGTAGGAATCCTCTGTATAGGGAACATACCTAGTATTTGACATGTTTGCTTTGAACTGAATAGCGAACTGAATATGAAATTTTCCGGTGGAGATCCAAAGGGTCCGGGTATCTCTATATATGGTGGATTTTGATGACCTGATCTGTAGGCCTCTCTGGAAAAGGATAATAATTCCTGGCGAGATGTTACATGATTTCAGCGCAATTTTTCATGTATACTTTACCTTGTACTGAACGCGGGTCCAAAATTAGCTCCAACAACTGATGAATGGTTCATGCATGGTTTTAAGGGCAAATTTTCTTTTTGAAATTGGAAAAAAACTCGATTAGGTCATGAAGAATTGTAATAAGTGGCGAGATCTATCTCCAGCTTTATATCAATGAGAACGGATCACGAAGGTGTAATATTATGGCAGAATATAGCAGCGCCCCTCCCCACTCAAGTCGATATAGGTACATTCTAGATAAATGGGTAACTCATGAAGTTTTCCGTCATTTGCCACCAACTCAATCAAGTATCCAGGCCAGCCAAAGGCTTCATTTGCATGACTGAACAAAAGCTCAAGTTTCTTGATTGCGAGTTGCTCAGTGGTCCACACACTCTCCATGATGTTGTCTGTGGGTGCCGATTCCGCAATGTTGTTGCTGTATAAGGATACATGGCTGACAATAGTGTGTAAAGATTGTGTCACGAGGCAGGGGCGTACCATATGTAACAATGACCCATGTGTCAGAGCATGAGAAAACATGGTTTCGCTTTCCTGGTGCTGAGACTTTCCTATTGCCATTATTGCTTGGTGATAGGTTCCATGATTTTTTATGCGGCTCGTCAGCCAGTTCACCGTTATGTGTCGATTCAATTCAAGTGCCCCAATAAGGATATCGATTCCTCTAACTGGAGCTTCGGCGGTATAGTCGTCTTTGACTAGGAGACTGAGGATTGTTCCGGGATCCGCTCCGAAACAAATAGATGCATCTATAAATGCAATGATGAATCTCAAGGACGCTTTGTATTTTATGTCGTAGTTGCTTTTCATAAGAATCGTTTCCAGTATTTGAATATCACTCTTCCCAAGAAGGTAGATAGTGGGGTTGGCCAGAATGTGACTTATTAGAAGGTTCAATTGATGATTTGATGGGCACTTTGCAGGAAAAGGCATCTGATAGTTATGAACGCGAGGATTTTATGATTTAGGATTCGGATAGTTGATGTGATATATATGCGAAATAGCTTTTGAGGCCCCACAATCTAAGTAGGGTCATTATGTGGAGAGGCTAGTGCAGATAAATATGGCACTAACCGCTTGGTCATATTGAACACCTGTAAAGGATCTGCACACGCGTCAATTGGGTCAAAAAATTCCACGGATGAACCAACCAAAGTGCGTATAACGTAACAGATACGGTATGATGCGGGAGATGCCTAAGCCCGCTCTGAGTGGAGGTAGATGGCATGTGGTCACCTGACCTCACCAACCCTTACTTAATGGCGAATAGGGGCGTAGCACACGTATATGGCAACAATTTTTGATACCTTAGACTTTTATATTTTTCCTCTCGTGGAAAGTGACTTTAAAACAGGCTAATTAAGATGCTAATCATGAGCGGGTACGAACAACTAGCCTGCAATATATCTTCTAACCTTCTAGAATCCTCAAATGGTATCATGTGAAGGGCAGATCTTTCGCTATCTTTCAAATGGCAAGCTGGCACGTAAAAGCCTTCTGATTCAAGACCTTGCTTGATTGCTGTCATTGAATAGTAGTTTTTGGCTCTATGCAGTAGCTTTAATGCTGTTAGTAGGGCCGACATTTCGAGTTCAATGTAATCATACCTTGATAAGTTTCATAAGTTTATTTCTCATCACTGGATCAGAAGACTTTGATTTTGCAGTGGAGAAAAGAAACTGCCACCGGTGGTTCATTCTTTGAAGTGATTGGCGAATGACGAAATCGTTAACGTAGCAGTGATGAAGCTCTTGGAAAATCCGATAATCTGCTTTGACCATTTCTCTGGCAATCGTTCGCGCTCCCGTTTGGTGCAGTTTCTCGGGTATCCCCCAGTCGATATCAATCAAGTCGCGTAGACTGACTTCAGAAAGTGGACAGTTGAGATTGATGTAGTTCAGCTGTCGAAGCACTTCCTTCACAGGCAATGCTTGGTTAAGAATCCCTTCTAAGGGTCCCTTGATGATATCAAGGTTACTCAGCTCAAAGGGCGAGTACTTTCCCTCAATAATACAGCCTACCGCATGTCTTAATGCATCATATATAAACCGATGAGTTTGGTGACATTTCTTACACCGGGTATTAGTATTTAGAATCACAAGGTGCGAATTTCATGATGGCCTACCAATTCTATGTCAAGCTTATATTTCGCGAAATTCCCGCTCTCGGTATCAAATACCAGACGACTCAACTTCTCCATCTCTTGTTTCAAGGTATTGATATGCACTGACGGCATCTCAAGAGATAATTGGATCCATGCAGAGAAAGGCACGCGATCAATGGCCTCCTTGCCTTTTTTCCTATGCTCCTCAAAGCTGAACGGTATTTTAGTATTCTGTTCTGGTGATAAAATGCTGGTAGAGATATCACATATTGGCAGTTGATCTGGAAGTTCAATTCCAGCTTCATCGAGAAACTGTTTGTTGAAAGGGCGGAACTTGTGAAGAAGCTGTTTTTCTTTGGTTTCAGGGCCATTTAATATCGGCAAAATATCTCTTTGGCGCCAAGACATGGCGAAGTGAGGACTTTTATCTTCCATGGCTGAGGTATGATTTGTGGATTGGCGTAGACTTAATATCTTGTTTAGTAACACCTCGTATACTCAAGTGAGGCCAAACTCTTGGATTGTTCAAGCGTTGTTCAAGCTGGGGACATATTACCTCCAGAAGCCTTGACACCCTGCATGGACTCCCTGCATGCTAACTAGCCAACCCAACGTCTAGACTCTTTTTGAATTTTGAGATATTTATTGAAGGTGGCTGGGTAAGTGCCGCCTTAAGTTCAGATTGTATATGCTAGCCTCTATGTCAGAGAGTATATGCTTTCACGAGCACATCGCCCGATAATGCGTGCATTACACCAGAATGCCAATACTATATTGAAAATAAAGTTTTATTCTCTCATATTACTTACAGAAGATAACTGGCAGAGCTGGTAAATTACACCGGGTGATATCTCCCTTTTCATTTGCCTCAGCAGGCCCGAATTCTAAAAAGATGAAATCCTCATTCAGCATTCCAGTGGGCAACTTTGCGGAATTCTTCATGCCTCTGTATCGCTATCTGGAACAAAGCCACCTGCGAGCTTGGGACAGGTATCCAAGTCCACGTAATCTCCCATTAGAGTTCTTGGATTGATTTTCTCCTCAATTCTCCTCCCAAATATGATGACACTCAAACAGTCTCGGGTAAAGCCAGTGTTCTCAAAATGGGCGGCCGCACATGACCATTCCATGGCAGGCACCCGGTATCGCTTTTCAGCGAGCAATCGGTTGATTTGCTGCTGCAATATATTGTCCAGAGCGACGTACTGGCGGGTTGCAGACACAATACTTGCTCGACTGAAGACAATCGTAGACAATTCGTTCTGTGGCATGAATTGTTGACATCTCTCCGCTATTTTCCAGCCAGACGCGCTGCTGGGAAAGCCTAATTGGTAGAATATGTAGGCCTCGAAGGTCTGAGATGGCTGAAAGTTCGTTCGTGGATTCATATTTGAGACGACGCAATAGTGAGGCCGCGGGCTTTCTTAGTTTGCAGGTCGTTGAGCTTTTTAAATGGTTTTATTTTCAATTTTGATGTGCAGAAAAATAGGTGTTCTGACTTTTAACGCGATCAGATCCTTTTTATGGGGTGCTGGTGTTTTGATTAAAGGGGTGTACATCTAGGACAGGTACTCTAACCTTTCAAATCGGATCTTCTGCGCCTACCATTCCCTTGAGGCTTTTAATGAATCTTCCCATTAGTTTAGATGCTTCGTTTACTAGGCTTTAGATGACCTTTCTTGCACTTCGATTTAGATGAAATGCAGCACGTATTATGGAAATACAAGGGTATCAAATTTAACACTCCCCGTCTGGTTTCAAACGTAAAGGGCACCGTATCTTTCTCTCTTCTCTCGCTAATGGCAATTAGTTGCGCTTCGGGATTAGGGAGAAACTAGACTTACGTGGCGTAAGGACTCTTGGATAGATGTGCAACAAATAAAACAGGCTATGATAGTCACATAGAGTATCAAGGAATGCCATAGAATAGCACCAAAAAAATCGAATTCTTCGTTTTCCATCACGAAAGCTTGTTGGTTCGACATTTCTGGCTCTGTCGAAAGATTCGGTCTGGCATTCAAAGGTTGGCTATTCTTAGGTCGGTCACTAGGTAATGACTTTTCGGATAAGTTTCAACAAAGCATAGGTTTAGGTGGGATGCATTGGTCGTGAAATAAAACAGGAGAGATAGAATTTGAAGCCCTAGTACCTTTAATATATGACTAGCTAGTTAATGCAAATTAGATACATTAGCCACTGCCTTGAATGGGTCATCGCTACACTGCAAAAAGTATTCTTGAAGAGCAGCTGGTGTAACCCTTCTATGAGGAACTTCGTTCGCAAATTCGGTGGCCAGCTTAACAACATTTTCTTTTGAATCGTCAAAAAAGTGACAGAAATATTCTGTTATGGTTGATGCATCAGGATTTCCAAATTCAAATTTTCGGTCCATTCGACCAGGTCGAGTCAGAGCAGGGTCAAGTTCTGCTATGACGTTTGTCGTGGCCACAAACAAATGACCTTCTTTGGTACCGATCCCATCCAAAACGTTCAAAACAGTTCCTAGAGTTACCCCCCTCTGATGGGATGTCGGCTCCATTGTGCCTACGTCCACTGTACTTACTTGTCTTTTGATCCCTGCACTGTCTATATCCTCAAGAAGAACCAGGCAGCGTTCAGGAGCGGATGGTAGTGTGCGAAATAGTTCTTGAAGACCGTAACTGTCAACAGTGGCGAGGTTGATTGTGTAGATAGAAAGTCCAAACTTAGCAGCAAGTGCGCGGCAGAGGCTGGTTTTGCCAGTTCCCGGAGCGCCATGAAGGAGATAGCTTCGCCGATAAGGAACACCGCGTCTGCGATATGATGCAATGACATCTTTACTGAGAAATAACTCCATATCCGACACGATGTCTTGTTTCATACTTTTGTCCAATGCTAGACTTTCCAGCATTCGTCCGTTTTCTTCACTCATTTTTCGCCATTGCACGTCTGCCTTTGACTGATATCCATTCATAATCCTCACTTTTCCGCTTTGGGAATCAATGTTGACCTTTTGAATGGTTTCCATGAGATCCGTAAGGGCGCCTTTGCTCCATGAGAAATAATACAGTATGATATTCTCGGAATTCCGGCTAAACGGATCATTGCGACTATCCTGCGGATCGCGATATAGGGCAAACCAATGGTTTTGAAATCGAAAGAAATGAAGACAACTCTGTCCTGGGGTGTAGCGAACTTTTATCACTTTTCCATGATACACTGGATCATCGATATCCGCAAACTCAGGCGCAATGTCAATGTCCCAAAGATATCCGAACGGATCGTTAGTTCCGACGATCCGAGAGCTTGACAAACTGTGGAATTCGACAGTCGACATCCACTTCGTGATTTGAGGGTACAGGTTGTTGCGATATTTTATTTCAGCGGAGGAGATGAATACTTCAAAGCATGGTTTTAGAGCCGCGAAAGTCCTTGGAAAGATGAATGTCAAAAGTGCAGGCATGGCCAACAGAAGGCAGACGTGAACAGAGTAGGAAAGCAGGTCAATTCCAAGCATAAATGAGATAAGTCGAATCAGCTGCAAAATGCCTGGGGAGAACGTATGAATGATCGGTGTAAGTGCATCGTAGATATTGTTTTCTTGGTGCTCTGTCATTGTGGTGGAAGGAATAATGGTTTTTGAAGGATTTTTAAGTATGATTTGGAACGGCATTCAAAAATGAGTGGGGTATGTTCGACTTTATACCCACACTTAGACTCCACAAACTGGGCTACTTTGATAAGTTAGGAGGCCCATGCTGACAGCGCAAGTTCATCTGAGGATCTGATTCTTTCTTTTTCCTTCTCGATGGAAATGTTTGTAACTCCAGGCTCCTCCATCCATATTTTAATTGCCTCTTCTATTGGTCAACGATACTATCTTATGCTTTCCGTTTCTCTTGATATACATTCCCAAGTAGTGGACAATTTTGTATCAAGTTGTTTTTCTATAGAGCTACTGTTGGATATCAGGGAATAGTAATAATGAAAAGAACAGGGCAGATTATATCTTATTTGACGAGCCCTGCTGAAAATTAAACCAGGTCAATTGCCGGTAATTACGTAAAGTTCTCCTTCCTCTCGACGGATTCGGTAAAATTCACGCGCAAAAGCACTCTCGATAGGGCCACAAAGCTTGGCCGTCACAAAAACAAAGCTTCAATGACTATAGTGGATTTTCGGGTCGACTTGGGGAATATCAGGATTAGAAGATGTGAATGAAATGATGATTTTCATAGTGTTGCAAGGAGTGGCTATTCTGAAACTTGATTTATGTTTTCGAATTAGATGAACAGCTATTTCATAAAGTAATTTAGTGCTTGTGTCAAACTTTCTAGGTCCATGCGAGCGGGAAAATGAAACCTTCATCTATACATCTCAACCATTCTTCGTCCCTTAACAAAGTCTGGCAGCTCAGAAGCTTCCACTTGTCTTCCTCTGGTAAACGAACTCCATGTATTGAATGTGCGTACCTGACTCTCATAGTCGTACCGTCGTATAATTCGGCAGAAAGCAATAAGCAAATTTCCCTTTTTCCTTGTGAGCATGGTTCAATGGACCAATGTAATCCAAAAAACTCCTTGAACCTCGAGATATCATTTAGGATCCTCACAGTGAGCCTTAGAGAATAACTCTATGTGGAATAGCTTAGTATCTAGAATAACAATGATAGTTGGATTTAGCTTACCAACTCATTGCAATGGGACTTCTTTTCGATATTTGAAGACGGAGGCATCATGGAACTGGGCCCAGAAGGCAATATACTATCAAGACTCGAGTTGCCGAGTGAGACGACGTAAGCAAATTTATAATGTAGGTTCCTTGGGGAACGGAAGTGTCTCTTCAACAAGAAACAAGCACAGCATCGATTCATGGAAGACGCGAGTAAAACCAACCTAGGATACAAGAAATCGCGATGCTGCCATCGATATCGATGGCAACCCGGTCTTTTATATTATTCTACAATATGCTGGCCAGTCCTGTAAGAGACAGCACGCTAATGCAAGCTTCAGGCAGGAAGGGATAGGTGCCTGGATGCGGGAAGTGCGCTGTATGATAGTATGATCATAGTCAAAAGATGGTATTGCAGAAAAGCATGATGCATTAACCATTCTAGCTCTTAGACTTGAGCAAATCTAGAGGATATGGCTTACACCTGGTATTCTCATTACGCAGAAAAGAAAAAGAATATATCAAAGTATTTAGATGAAATCATGTGGAAGAATACAGGGGAGTTCAATCATGATCTGATATTATTTCCAAGACTCGTTCCTGTCGCTCAGTTCGTTCTATCAGCTCATGCCCGATGTCTGGAAGGGAGAGCTTCAAGTCCCAATATTTCCAGGATTCGCGATGAGGTACGATGCTTTCAATCAGTGCCACCGTAGGAGCACTACCACCACCACTTATTCGAACTCCATGATATCGAACCTTTCGGTTCAAACTAAGCGCCATTTCGGTAATATCTTGTTCGTCTGTCGACGAAAAGTCGCCACTGCGCCATTGCTGCTGAAGACGATCTAACCAAGACGGCCCAATGTTTTCACGCAACCCCTGGAAGCCAGTACTCGCCCACATAACAAGGTAAATTTCAGCAAGATGAAACTTAATTCCTTCTCGCTGGAATATTTGCCTGCAAGCAGCAAACAAGGTAGGTTGAATTGGGATATATTGTCTGCCCGATGTGTGGGGTTGGTGAATAAGAACAGTATCTAAATTTATTTAGTATAAGTAATTGAAAGCATATAATATGTGCTTACCTGGAGTGACTGGTCTTATCTCTCGAGAAATAGTAAAGTGATCAATAGCGGATCTCGGCTGCACAGGCGAAAAAAGTGTTCGCGAATAAAATTCTTCCAACATAGGAAAGTCCACGTCTGTGCAATAGCTTGTTAGTTTCTATGGTATTTGCATAGTATTTCCTTACCTTGAGCTTCTTCGGTCTCTGCGACGACAGTGGCAGTATCATCAAATTCGTTCGCCTGTGAATGGGGATATAAAGTTGACGTAGTCATCTCTTCCTTGAGACTCGCGTCCAGGAGAAGTCCTGGTTCCTAATGGGTTTAGAATGACCACTACTCTGGTGTGGGAGCGACTGGATGAACAGAGGGTGTGAAGCTCTATTAAAAGAGACAATGAAATTATCAAGTCGCTAGTCAATTAGTCAATGTCAATTGACCGGCATATCTATATTTAGCAAAAAGGACATCCCAAACAAAAACAAAAAAAAAAAAAAAAAAAAAAAAAAAAAGATTTTGTGGCTCTCAATCTATCGATTCCGGAGCAACAAAGCCAGCGCTATCAGCCACTTATATAGCATAAAGTCATGTACTGGCTAGATAAGAAAATTTTACGGTCATTCTTACTTCGGTCTTTACTCCCTCCGTTACCGATTCTTTTACAAAGTGGAAGGCTCCACTATATGTTCTACACAAATGTTAGGATTGGCAATACTGGACGGGACTATGTAAATAAAAAAAAAAATGTTAAACAAATGCATCTACATAATGGATTCAATGATGAAGACCACCAGGATCTATCAGTGTTTAATGGGAGCAATTTCATGTCCCCATGGATATAAGCCGTCTGTGATTTGCCGAACCTTTTGCTGAAAATTTGTAAACCAGGTTGATTCACGGTATCGAGCAAGCGTCCTAGAGGGAAATAAGCATAGCGATAGATTATAAGGATTCTCACGTACAGCTTTCCCCCCTCTCGACGAACGCGGTAAAATTCATGCGGAAAATCGCCCTCGATAGGCCCAGAAAATTTGGCCGTCTCAAAATCAATTACAACGTGAATTTTTGGGTCGATTTGGGGAATATCAGGATTAGGAGGTTGAATGTGAATGAAATGATGATTCTCGTCCAAGTGTTGCAACGAGTGGCCCATTTTCTCTAGATACAGTCGAACAGGTTCGTAAGGATCGTTGTAGTTCATATCCGCTTCTTGGAGTCGTAGGATGACTCGCTTGGCTTGGTCCAGGTCCATGTTGAGTAATAAAATAATCTAAAGTTCAAAGCTGTGGGCGCCAGCCGTAGTTTATAAAACGGGGTCCAGGGGGGCGGTGTAAGTAATGCCGAATTTTTCAAATACGCGTTATACTAATCAATTAGTTGGTTACACGTGAATATTGGGGCGATTAGTCATTGAGGACGTGAATAGTTAATTTGAATAGTTAATTGGGGTTGAACCCCTTAGTTGAGGAATACGAAATCCATATACAATATGACCTGTTATGCACAGATAGCCTCGCAAAAAGAAGAAAAAATGGATCTAGTAGTTGATACCAGAATCTTTAGGTCGTAGAGAAAGTTGAACCAAGCAGTCAGTCATCTCGATGCCAGGTAGATACAAGGCCTGAATCAGATTAGCAACTTGATTTTATTACGTTTTCAATGAACGCTTACCTCAAAGAATTTCCAAAATTTCAGAGCCCTGAGAGCTTGGTGGTGTTTCGCCCAGGCAAACGGCGCATTTTCCCTCAAGATCTCGATCTTGCTCATCAACGTCTCGTTCCAGATCTCGTAGGTGGCCTGAGGGAGGTAGACATGGAGTTTGGCCAGGGCGTCGAAAGGCGTCTCCACATCGTAGAATTTCTACCGCAATAGCATGGCCACAGCCCCTGGGTGCAGGGCGATAGGTTTTGCACCTATTGGAGCACATGTCTGCGGTCGCTGAGGTTGTTTGACTTTGATGGCATCAATTTACCTGCTATCATTGTATTATATATGCGAAGATGGGTTCAGGCAGCCAAATGGAGGATATGTTCCAGAACAGGCCTGCCTAAGCCCGATTTTCTCGAATACTGGAATCACACGTTGCCAACTATACGATTTCTAGACTTGTAGTTGTCGCACCACGAACAACGCGGCTACAGCCCCTGGCCAGAGATAGCTTCTTTAAATAGAATTCCACATGTTTCCTGCCATCGCAATGGCACATCGATCTAGTCCTGAATTATGTGGATAGATAGCCCGAAAATATTGTTGCAGCAAGAGGGTGTATGCACCAGAAAAACCTTTAGTATACTTTGTTTACAGGTCGTATTTCGAATTCAAAACATTCAGGTTAGATTGCTAAGGATCTACTAGTATGACTGGCTGTGAAATCACAGATAGCTCGGGATCGGCAGTTTATCTTTATGTCAGCAATCTAATCCCACACTCGATAGTCTCTCCCTGTGGCGCGTTCGGACTTCTAGTCCTATTGTCATATGTCATATTGTAGCTTAGTAACGCTAACCGAATTCGAAAGTGCCAGATTCTGGCCCTTTTGAATCCGGTTAGCGTGCTCATGATATCAGCATTCTCATGCATCAGGATCAGAGACACCTAGCTGGAGAATCGTGGTCGCCCTCCATCGCCTTATCAAGACAAGAAATAGTCTCTGCCCACTATGGTATAATGGCTGCAATGTTGTCGAACGTGAATGGGAGCAAAAGGATCCTAAAATGGTGCATAAGCGTGTTGTAGAAGATGGAAAGTAATATTTTGTAGCAGATGGTGCGATGGGTCCTTTAAATGTGATGAACGTGCAGTGAGGGGAGGAGGGGGGGGAGGCGCATACCTCAGCGCGTCGCACGGACCCGCCCTTTCCAAGCTCTTCCGTCTCCTTTCCCCTCCCCCCGGATATCCAAAGCAGCTTTCTACAGCTGATGGGGATTTTGAGCTCTTCCTGAATTGTCCCAGCTTTTACCTTTTATTCTCAATGACTCATGAGCGCTTGATTCGATGTGAGGGTGACGATGCTACCTATACTAAGCACCTTGAACTACGAGTTGCTGAACTTGAGAGCGCCCACGGCACTTCCTGTTATCTAGAGCATCAAGAAAGCCACCATCGTATGACTGGGCAATGTAGACCATGCGAGGTCTGTCAAAACCCCGCCCGTTACACCAGAGACATCCGTATCAGTTTCCAAGGCAATTGTGGCGACAGGATTGGAGTACCCTCTGAAAGTCGTGAAGACAGTCAATCGAGCCAACATGATAATAGTGACACATGGCAATTTATTCCATATGAACCAGCGGGTGGAAACGACCCAGCAAATGGAGACGACCCAGCAAATGGAAACGACCCAGCAAATGGAAACGACCCAGCAAATGGAAACGACCCAGCAAATGGAAACGACCCAGCAAATGGAAAGAAAACCGCCAAGAATAGCAAGACCAAAAATCTCGAATTAGAACGTTTATCCTCGTTCACGTCCTCTATCAATGATCTACCCAAATCTGACGACTGGAAAGAGTGGACTTCCGTCCAAGATGCCAAACGAAAAGAGATCGTCCTTCACTTAGTATCAGGCATTGTTCCCTCAGAGGACAACAACCTATCATCATCCGAGACGCCGCCTAAATCTTCCGTCGTGCTCGAATACGGCATGTCCATGCGGCCTTCAGGAACGGAAACCTTGACGGACACCAAAAAGCGCCCATTTACGTGCTTCCGAGAGCTTGTCTTTTGTTCGCTATGTGCAGTTGAAATAGAACTCAGTCGTACCAAGAAAAAGAAACGTGAAGCCAAAAAAATCGTTTTCGAAGCTATGAGAATGGCCTTTGGGACTGATGGCGGCAAAAGGCCTCTAATGGCACGACTTCGTGGAGCCAAATGGGCGAACCGTGTCATTGATCTTTTACTCCGGACTCAGTGGGGTCTCCGTAGCTGGGACATCGTTTACGTTGGTATGAACCCCACTCGAGAGTATGGTGGAAAAGCTAACTGGTGACTAATAAGCTAAGCGTCAAGTCAACTTTTTCAAAGAACTCACCGATTTTTCTATAAAACCCGATGAGTTAACAAAGGGGTTGAAGGACCCAAATAGTCTTCCAGAGACATCAGTCCCCCTCGCAATTCCTTCCATCATACAAAGGATCTACCAAGGTCGAGTACCGTATGCCATCTATCTAAAGTGGCTTGCTATTTTTCGTTAACGTTCTTCACTATAGGTTAGATTCTATTTGCAAATGCCTGGGATACGAGCCTTCTGTTTATAAAAGGCTTGAGCTTTCTTATCTTGAAACTTTTCTCGCGGAAAACCCTAAGAAACGAAAGAAAGGCAATCCTGATAACTCTTCGAAAAGGCGCTGTCGGAGCTCGCCACCTGCGTGGTCAGAAGGTAAAACGCCTTGAACTATATTTCAATCTCAGTTTTGACGATCATAGATGAATCTTTCGACGTTCCAAATGGACTAGATCCTTCAAATGAAACCACATCCGGATTTTCCGAATCTTCACCCCCCAACTCGCTTTTCGATTGCAATATTGATGACCGCTTCGAAGAGTATTCAGCCAGTATATCAACTTCCACAGAGAATCCAGGTTCTTCTAGCCCTGTGACGAGTACCGCACCACCTGCTCAGTCACAAATTAGTCAATCCTGTTATTTCCGAGAAGATGACACACCAGATTCTGCTTCTTTTTCTTCTTCTCCGACGAGTGATATAAGGCGTCATTCATCTCCCATAATCACCGTGGCCGATGATTTTTCAGAAAATGAAGATCGTGAACCAACCGCAGCAAACCTTCCTCCTGGGACATACGGAATGCAATTTCTAGGCTCTGAGATACCTCCGGCCATGGAAATATCATCCTCGTCCAACGATACTGCCGACAAAATTTTTTATCCAAACAGTCAGCAGCAAGGGAACAACTCCGGTCCATGCAACTTGCAGGGTGATACGTGTTACATCGACGCTGAAAGTAATCTCTCTAGGAGAATGGAGACGTCTGGCTCGAAAGTAAGTCTGACAATAGTGCGTTGAATGAACCAAAAGCTTATAGGAATGAGCAGACCTCCCAGGACATACTCCTGTCGCCTGACCAGGGACAGTTTTATACGTGGACTATGGACAATAGCTCTCGTCTACCTGAAGAGCTCCCGCAACCCACCTATGACCCGCTACTTCCGTCGACTGGTTATGAGCAATTTTATACGTGGGCCATGGACAATAATAGCTCTCGACTACCTGAAGATCTCCCGCAAACCACCTATGACCCGCTACTTCCGTCGACTGGTTATGAGCAATCTTATACGTGGGCCATGGACAATAGCTCTCGACTACCTGAAGAGCTCCCGCAACCCACCTATGACCCGCTACTTCCGTCGACTGGTTATGAGCAATTTTATACGTGGGCCATGGACAATAATAGCTCTCGACTACCTGAAGATCTCCCGCAAACCACCTATGACCCGCTACTTCCGTCGACTGGTTATGAGCAATCTTATACGTGGGCCATGGACAATAGCTCTCGACTACCTGAAGATCTCCCGCAACCCACCTATGACCCGCTACTTCCGTCGACTGGTTATGAGCAATTTTATACGTGGGCCATGGACAATAGTAGCTCTCGACTACCTGAAGATCTCCCGCAAACCACCTATGACCCGCCACTCCCGTCGACTGACCGGAGGCATTTGTTTACGTGGACTATGGACAGCAATTCTAGTATGCATGAGGGCCTTCCGCAAACCACCCATGACCTGTTACCACTACCTTCTGATTTCGGCCAGGATTCGGATGATATTTTAAAGAATTTCGATCCAGTCAGGGCTGTGTTTCAGTTTCTATCGTCAATAGAAGCCAGTCGCTCCCGGGAAATGGAGAGCAATCAAACTTCAGAATTTTCAAGCGGATTTCAGAATGCTTTTTGTTCCCCCAGCAGGACTGTTTCAGCCATTTGAATAATAAGACAGGAATATTCGAGCTATAATAATGACATTACCGATAGATTCGGTTTGAAGAATATCACCGGGGCGCAATAATTAGAACAATCGTATCCGCACCCACCCCCACATCATTATTGACTTGTACGAAGAATCCGTCCTTCAACAACCAACCGTTCACTTTTATTTCGCCAGGTATTGGAATGAGGTATGCTTGACTTCGAAGATCTAGTTTCGTACGCTTCGACCAATATCTCAAGCGTCCTTCCCAGGACTAATAAAATTAGTGTGAATTTCTCCGGGAATAGATAATAATCATGCCTACCTCGTCAATATCAAGAGCGGCTTTCATACGAGTAATTAACTCCAAAAGCGCGTCCCCGCCATACTTCTTATTTCCGCTCTCATCCTCTTCAACTGCGGTGATTCGTGGTATTAATTCCTTAATCTCTTTTCGGACATCATTGGCCTCTTTAGGTAACTCGCGAGATTCCATCGGACGCGAAGATAATGGTTCTTGAAAGAGCGATGACGGTTCTAAAAATGAGTGTCTGGGATCAATATTAGTAACATTCCAATATGGCATGGCATTTAATCACCTCTTGTAAAATTTTGGTCGCATTCATGCTGCGGTCAGGAGGGGTAGAAGTCCAAGTGGGACATCTGTAGCCGGAGTTGGGCACAAGTCACATGACACCGAGAAATAACATCTCCGTGCCGTTTTTCTAATCAATGTAGTCAATGATTAAGACACGCCCGACCTCCTTGCTCCAGAGCATGTCCCGAAAGTCTATGGATCTTCTGCAAAGCTTTACATCCCGTACTTGACCATATTCTAGAGGAGCCTCGGCATCGGCTCTTCCGCTGTACTCTTTCTTGCCTAGCCATGACAAGCGTGGCATTGTGGTTCATATAGAACTCATAATTTCGCCAACCCAATAACACAAGGCTAGCTGATTCTTGAAGCGCTCGTGGAGTCTGCGCTTGGGAAATTTCTCCCACAACATATCGTACCTATTAATATCGAGGGCTCCAGCGTGCGAGCCAAAAAGGACAGGCTTGATGTTGTTCAATAGACAGTGTCCATAAGAACGATGATGAAATTTACTGTTATCGAAATCGATTACCAGGGTATAATCAACAATCTATACTAGACACGAAACAGTGAGGACGTCGACATATCCTTAGAGGAAAATTTGTCTATTCCGATCATAACTTGCAGACATATATGCGGCACGAGTTTAGTGTTGTCGAGCTACCCACTAGACGAAGAGCTCGGGTGAAAGTCGCTGCTGTGGCGCCCACGTTTACTTTTTCTGTTCCTCTCAATATCTTCTTCTGAGCTTAGCTGCTCTGGAGGGGTTCTGGGCCGGCGTCGCTTTAAAAAGCCAGGCGGAACCTGGTTGGTGGAACCTTGGTGTTGCGTCAGTGCTTGCTGCCTTGACTCGGCGCTTAAAAGAAAATCACAAAGCTGCTCCGATGTGATGAGAATCTCTTCATTAACCCCTATGAGACCTTGTGAGAGCTCCTCCGTCGCGAAGTCCCTAAGTGATAGTCGCAGTGCTATATCCTTAATTGGACTTCCAGTCTCTGTCCGAAATGGCTAATGGCTATTAGCACCATGATTCTTGATATGGAATGAGATATCTCATACCTCTGCACTTATTACGGCAGTTGCCCGAAACTCTTGCACCCCATCCACCATAATCTTTTCTGGTCGCCAAACAGTAATAGTCGCTCGCCTAGACCCTTCATAGTCGATATTAAAGGCAACCACAACATTTATACTTCCATCAGTATTTAGAATGTATTCGTCTGCCACGTAGGCAACACGACGGCTTTTTTGCGAATAGCATACTTCTAAAACTACGCCAGGGTAGTATGCCTGGAGATGTCCAAAGGATGCATCGGGTTCCCGTCTAATATAAGTTTGCTTCCCGTCTTTTGTGTCTTCGGGTAGAAGGATTCGGGACGTGGCAAAATGTTGGACTTGCTGCGCGAAATTGGCGATTGGGCTATCGCTTTGTTGATGTTGTCTTAATTGCCTCGATATTTCATCGACTATTCTTGCGCAAAACGTATCATGGAGAGGACTCGGCGTTCGGATTGTGAGGCGAGAGCGATTGGGGTCGTAATCGTATCTATTCGTAATGCTAAGTATATATCAATTTATTTAATGAATCGATATAACGTACCGTAGTTTAGTATCAACGTATTTATGAAGGGATTTATTAGTATCTAGTGCATGTAGAACTTGTGTGTAACCGCTTGGTTTGAGTTGACCCTCCCACCAAGGGGTTGGGCGGTAGCCTTTGCGATGACGGCGGAAGCGATTCACTATGGTTTGAGCACTTTGAGATAACGGCTTCTCTACCGTAGGCGGCGGTGTGGGAGGCATAAACACACTCCCTGGTGGGGTGTTGCTGGTTGCCATAGAGTAGGAATTAGAGATGATTTGTTTACGTCGCTGGGGAGGGAGATACGCTAGCGGCTTAGAGATCACGAGTTAAGGGTCGTGGGTCACGTGCTTGCTAAGTTTCAAATATGCTAGATAGTCCCGTGTGGGTGATCATAATTCTTAGGTGAGCCTTACTACTATATTAGGTGGTTTATACGAGTCCTTGCTTCGGGCTCATTTTATATTTTCGCCAGTGGCGCCTGATGAATGCTTTTACAGTAGTTTTTGAAGTTAGCTTTATTTGGACTTGATTGCTGGAAAATAGATCCGAAACGCACTAATCTTCTTTTAATCACCGCTTTCTAAGATCGGCAAAAGTGTATGATATGGCTGTACTATAGTTCTGGAACCAATATAATAATACTGTATTGTCTTTAGAATTGCGTAGAATCACTTCAAGTTTGATCTCTATGATTGCTGGCTTCCACCTGTGAAGGGGAAGAGTATGTACACGAATGGGGGCTCAGCGTCCACTCGTAGGTCACATGGGCTTAGTCATATATTCTTTCGTGAGCTTGACAACTCGTTCCGCGATCAAACATTCTGCTGCAGGATGAATCAAGTTTGCGCTTAATGGGGTCCAAGATTAGCCTTATGCATTTGGCTTATCCAGGCAAGCCCCAGTGGGGTTCAACCCGTTACACCTTCCGGTCATATTCATATGAGAGAAAGTGGAGAACGATATGCTAAAGTGATAGTTGCTTAGCGTACCATAATGAACCCTGGAAGGCTAATAAGGAAGCATACTACCTCGGTTGACCTTACTGAGGTACACATTCTAAGCTATAAGACTCAGTGAACAGGCCCTCTGATGATGTAAAGCTCATCTGATAGGGGTCCTTTTGCAACTCCTTCTCTTATACTATCAATGAGACGATCGAATAAATCATGGTCTCTGCCTGTTACCAAAAAATTTGTTGATATATCATGATCACCCTCTCCAACCCAGATATCATAATCATCACTTGTGCGGCAACAGGACATTCCAAAAGATGCAAGTGAAAGCCGATCGCGAATTCCAGCCACTAGTGACTGCCATGAGCCTCCGTTTTGTTTATCAATCGCAATAGCGTCCAAACTAATTTCTTTAAGGGTATTGCGATGAACGTAGAAGAAATCTAAAAGATCCTCTGGGTAACAAATGATATTCGAAAGCTCGAGATTCCGAATGCCTGGTACTGCCAATATTCGCTTTAGTGCGGCAAATCCTGCTTGTTCCAAGCCTGTGTCGAAACACAAATGTAAACTCTCTAACCTTGGAAATTGCATGATAAAATTGCTCAAAGATTTGGCCCAGAGTTCCGGGTCTTCGTCGTAGCTAGAATCCACGGCAAGGCTCAATGTTTTCAATGAGGTAATCCAAGGAAGACCTTTATCCCAGCAGAATTCAGGTAGGTCTAACATGTCTGGATGCATGTGTACTCGCTCCTGCACGGTGCCAAAGTCCAAAGTAGTGATTTGGGCCTCGCTGGCAGCTAAAGCTCCAATTATGACATGAATTGCTCGTCTGATGAAGGATTTCGAATCGTCCCAGTCGGTGCTTGATGTAGGAAAGAATCCTGTCTCCCTCTTCGCAATTCCGGCTCCCCAGGGTCTCTCCCACCCATTTAGGCCCACGGTATGGCAGTTGCTTGCTTTTCTTAAGGTTCGAGCCAAACAAGTCGCTTCCCAACCCATTTTCTGGAAATTCTCCTGACTGATCAAGTAGCCTTCGCAGCCCGTTTCCGCGACCGTACCCTGAGGAAAGGAGCACCAGATGGGTCGGGGAAGGAGATCTGCACACACTGCAGGAAGACACAAATAATCTGGAACCAAATGGTCCGGGCTAATATAGATGGACTTGATCAAAGGGCCGAGATCTGGATGACATGAAATGTTTAATAACGTCATCAGGCCTTCAGGACTCAGAAGGTGGACACGTTGGTGAAAATAGCGCTTGATAAATAGCAGGTGAGAGCATGCAGTAAGATATCGAGAGGCTAGACGATAATTAAAGAGGTCGTCAACTTCAAGGTACTCTGCAATAAGTGCAGCAATCTCTGGGCTCAGGTTGTGTATATTTGCCATCATGGTGAGTGTGAGACAGATACCACGAATTGCGGGGTTGGCTTTGATCCATATCCTCTTAGTCATATATAGATTGTATTATTACATACCACTCTGAAATGCTGGATTGGATATGGAGGTGGGTAGAGGTATTGTAATTTGAGTATTGAAGTTTCGTGAATACATTACACTAACGGCTCCATTCTGTTATTTAAAATACACCGTTCATTTTGGGAATTCATCTGGAATGGCTGATCAGCAACTATACCATTACAAGACTAGTAATATGTTTTAGAGTAGAGTTTATGAGTCAATTGTGAAGAGTGTAAAGGTAAAACTGATTTCGAAAACTACATACTGTACTCGGTCTGTGCCCCAACACCTAGATCAAGTGCAGCACGATATATATTGTCGATGTACCGTAAACTGAATCCAAGAAAGACCACGTCTATGTATATCTACCGTAGATGAATAACCGGGCCCTATAACGGCAGCACCGACACTCAACTCTGAGCCCTCCCGTGCATTGATACCCAATATACCCACTTCGAATAAAGTATACATAAGCATACATGGGCAAAAGACATAGGTAGTCATGTCTGACTTCGCTGGGAATTTCGTAGTGATACAAAGCAGGACAAAGCCATTGGCGTTGCCCGGCTTGCATACTAGGCCGGGAAAAGAGACGTGGGTGGTTTGAAGAAAGGTTTCTCCAGCGATATGGGAGAAAATACAATCTGGCGTTGCATATTCTTGTGGAAGATGACCCCGAGTAGCGGACCCATTGGTGTTGGTGGTAATGAGCGATGTTGACAGTTCCGCCCACTCTGCGCATGGCCTATGCCCATCACCGTTAATGAAGCTTAGTATAAAGAATTTGATGACAACATACGTATTCATCCTTCATTCGCAGATGTGATATTCTCTGCGGGGTTAAAAAGCCCCGGATCGCCCGTATTGGCCAACAATGTATGTCAGGTAGTGAAGCATTCCGGCGTTCCTGAGCTGATGATCCCACAACTATAGTTGTTGGAGCAGGTGCTGCATTCATGGCTGCAGATAATTTTCAAAATGTTCTCAATTTCTGCAAAATGGTGACTTTGCAAGTTCAATAACACTCAGGATCAGTCGAGGACGATCAGTCTTTTATATCACACTATGGGATTGAATACTGGGTTTGGAATTTTTTTGAGGAATAGGCTTGAAAAAGCAAGTATTGAAGAACTGTCTAGAGCGCGTTTGCAGACTATTGGACTAGACAGATACCGAGGAGGAGTGTGCAGCCAGGGAGAATATGTCTCGGATAAAGCGATTGAGACAAGCCAGGCACAGTAGAAGATATTATTTAGAGATCATGATCATTTTTCCCGCTTACTTCTCAAGCGCATTTGCAAGAGATCTAGTATCTGAAGCATCCCGAATTGGCTATATCAAATTACAAGTCCTGGAGAGGAAACGATAGTCGACGGCCAAGTGCGAATCATTTCTTTCCCGTCATTCAAAATCTGTACTAACGGACGGTTGGCTACACTGGCCAGTTTCCAAACGCCAGACGCCGATGAAATCATGGCATACAGTATGCTGGCATCATTCGTCAAAGTGTGGCCCAAACTTGTGGCTTCCAACGTGGCTTGCTCGAATTGTTGTTGCACCGGGAGAAGATGAGATTCGATGTCCACTGCCGCACCAGCCGTTGTCCGAAAGGCCGCTGTGACGATCTGAGCTGCGCGTCTCTGGATCCTTTGGATTAGGCTACCGAGCCTTTTGATCCGTCTCTAGGATTGACGAGAAAGCTTCTGGGCACATTGTTGCTCCTGGCATCACATGCACTGTTCCTGGGATCGACACTGTGATTATGTGGGTTCATCACCTCGTGCGAGTCCTTAATACTGATCGAACCGCCTCTGAAGCCGTAAGCCAGAACTCCACCCAGCCGAAGTGGCTCTAGGAACGCATCAGTAGGCTCCGGGAACCCGATTGCTCGTAGAACTACGGGCGCAGTCCTCAGAGTCAGCCGATCGATGGTACTCCAGAGTGGAGCCGGGAGTGAGGAGCATAGACCAATCAAAACTTGGAACAAGTTCCGCGCGGAGCGCCGTTAGCTTATAAAACAGCTTTCTTTTGTCTGCATGCAGCCTTCTCGCAAAACCAATCACATCTGAAGTTGCATCTGAAGTTGTAAAAGACATCAATTGATGACCCTATCCTAGAACTAGGGGCGCATGTCGCTGTCCGTAGGCATTGTGTTGCAAATCAATTAGTAGTCTTCAGTGTTTTGTTTCTACGTCATACTACGATAGTCTTTCTGCTAGCGACCGACCGTGTTTTGTGATCTACACCACAGTAGGCCCGCTTTTAGCCCCATACCAACCGGGGTCGCAATTTGAACGCCTAGAAGGGACCCAAATTTGGACTCTCGACCTTTTTGAGGGTCACTGCCAGGACTATTTACAGACAACGGTGAAGGAATAAAGACCTGTGAATCGGGGTGCTTCGACACCGACTGGAGGATGACGACCGGAGATCCACTTGGGTGAAAATGAGTGCCTGAGCGCATGTACCGCGTTGTCAAATAGGTTAGTTGTTTGCATGCACATAAGACAGAAGCTGGTCCAGTGTTCTTGGTAATGGCTTGGACATCGTGACATGTTCATTGGTGAAACGGATGTCTCATGAGACATCTATTTTGACCTTGTCAGAAGCCCCCGTATTATGTGACATTGCAAGGAAACAATCCAGGACTATTGAATACTGCGTCTCTTATAGGTATCCAAGTAGCAGCGGAAACAGCTCACGCGGTATTTATACATTCCTAAGTGTGCACAGAACTAGCGATTGTCTTGAGCTTATATATTGGACCACGTGTACCTAATTTCAACTAGCCAGAGTGGTACTAGGTAGGAGTAATAAGTGAATGACAATGTCCGAATAACAAATTCTGCAAGGATGTTGAACTCGATCTGAAATAAATAGTTTAATTGACAATTGTAGAGATCGACGTTAAACCTTCATTCGGGGGCCTTTGAGCGCTCTCTGGGGGCTCCGTATCGGAAGTGCTTCGTGACCCAGGTGATATGTGTTTGTGGTTATCACAAACATGATGGCTAAGGGCCCAATTGGCAGGCAGGATTGCAGTCCGATTGTGAGACTCTGGCTCAAAAGGGAACTTACGGTCAGGGTGTTTTCTCTTCAAGTGGCCGACCAGTGAGCTTGTTGTCTTTAAAGTCGTCTCACATCCAGGGATCGGGCATGGCTGGGGTAAAGCGGCTTGCATTTGCTGTGAATGAGGAGCATCAATAACGGGAGTTGCTTCATTTCGAGGTTCGCGAGTCACACTTGTCGGTCTGATAGGCTCAGTCCTAGGACCCTCAGGATACCAGGATTCCTTGAAAGGTTGCAAGTGGGCCCAGTTTGCGCCAGTCCCGAGCGGTGATGGTTGTAAAAGGGGCCGTGTTGGCTGTGGTGGATGAACAATAATATATTGGCGGATATTCTAAAAATTGTTCAATAATCATTTAACGGTCCGGTAAAGTCCCACTTACAAATTGCTCATCTTGAATTGATCTCATAGTGCGCTCGTACTCGCAATCTTCATGATATCGATTGCTAAGGGTATTCTGCCTGATTTTCGAAAGCCAAGTTTTGCGCTCGTTCAGCCAAGCGAGACGTGCCTGGAAATCGGCCGTGTCATCTTGTATTGGTCGACCGAAGGATTGAGAGTGGATCATGGTCACAGAATGGGCGGGCTATTGGGCTAAGTCCCTCATCCGAGCCGAAGTCATCTTATAAGTAGGAACATCTTGTCATAGTTCAACATCAAACTTTGGGACACAATGATGTGTCTGACGTCACCTTACATTACAATTTCAGTGTTCAACAGCAGAGGATTCTGTTACCGTTCAACGTTGTCTTACTCATATATCACAATTCTCGGCCACCTCATATAAGAGACTGTTTCAAGCTACTTGTATCACAAATCGATATTCTGGGATGGCAGCTATCCGAAGGCAAAAACAGCAATTGCTACGTCGAAGAAGATGTCTGTTCAAGAAAGCCTGTGAATATAAACAGGACTTTCCTGTGGAAGTATTACTATTGGTCCAGCTGCAAACCACCGGCAAAATATACTATTTTAATTCAAGCTCTTCCACGCAATGGCCCATAACGGAGGCGGAATTGGTAGGCTTATACCTTGTTTTTGAAGTTCTTTCTAACATCAGTAGGCACTCTACTACCCAAAGCCCGAGCAGGTCAATTCCCAAGTCACGCCACTAATGAAACAGACTGGGGCAGGACTAAAGTCCTAAACAAAAAGGACTTGAAAGAAGGAATGTCGCAAAGTTAATTTAGCCTATCATGTCAAACATGGACCAAGTCCCATTCATCCACTGTCTACGTAAGACAATATGTACATAAGGGCCGAAAGTGCCCTATTAGCTTTTGTCGACCTTCTAGATTTGATCATCTGTGAAAACAATTTACCAATGATCTTGTCACCAATATAAGAAGAAACAGAAAATCCTTTAGATTCCAAAGTCATCAAACCCCTATCGGTGTGTTCTTGACTCTCCTTCGTGCAAAGGTGCTCGATTATAGTTGTAATCAGAGGCGATATTGATTTTCGCACTCGTCCAACTTTTCTAATCTTCGAATTACGAGCGAGGCTCTGATTATTTTAGCCATATGGTGTTAGGAACTACGAGGCTGTGAATGCTTACGTCATGTTTCCCAATTCGGAATTGGGAACGAAGTTTGTATTTGGGTGCATTTATAACCAGTGCAGCGAGATACCGCAGACAGAGACATCTCTGGATCTGTGTAAGGGCCAATGTATGGTCTAGGATGATTCGTAGAAAAAGGATCGAATAGGCTTGTTGTCTGTCCATGACCATATGTAATTTTATATCACTAGAAGCTGTGGCCTTATTCACATTATAAGACCAACGATTTCAATTGATTGTACAGGACGAAAGGTATTTTTTATAGCTTCACGGCTGGATGGATATTATAAATTGAGAATACAATTACCCTGTTCATTAGCGACCCCGGTAGTGCAGACGTGGGACTTCAATAAGCCCTTTGGTAGATACGGTGGCAGCAATTAGCCGGGAACCAGCAAAAAGGAATAAGTGCACAATTCTGCCATCAATGCAAAATTATGGAACTACCTGGACCTAGCAAAAATAAATGACGAATTATTGCTGAGTCTTTGTCAACCCTGATATCTTGACCGTCAGATAATTTCGGAATCATCTCCCTCTAAAGACACATTCACATATAATACGCCCATTCATTTTCAGGGGACACAAAGTATATCCTCTAAATCACTGCCGAGCACAAAAATGAATGTGTAGCATGCATGAATGAACGTGAAGGTGGCTAAAGCACTGCATACTCAATGTAACTAGTACAGTCAGTCACTGGCTAAATAAGGTTCCTCCCTCCAGACAGCTTTTTTTTGTCGGGGCCCGGTGCCAAGGCCTTTGTGCAGATCGTGTATTGATTGGTTCGTAGCAAATTGAGGACTGTCGTAAATGCTCCTTATTGAGTATAGAGTACCGTAGTCATCTATGGTAGATATATCTTGAGGACTCACCAGTCAGGAAGATAGAGATAGAAAGGGAGTGAATGGTAAGGAGGTAAGGGACTGTGTACGGAAGTGTTGATGTATTATTCAAATAACTGTAACTGTATAATATCTAAGCTATGGGGGAGTATATGTGAGCTTACGCTGTGAAGGCAGTGAAGAGCCTAAACCTTCGGCCGAAGCCCCGAGCCCAAGGCATTGGCGTTCCTAGGCTCGGGGAGTTCCACCGCCAACATCATCAACGTTTTCCGCCCAACATTCAAAGCACCGGGTCATACACGGCACACAACATAACAGCCCTCAACTTGGTATAGCGTGATCAATAAAAGTCTTGCGCTAAGACCTTAGTAATGGGGCCCGACAAAAGAAAAGCAGTCTGTACGGAGGAAGCTGATTCGATAATGACTACGCCATATTATATAGAGACTTTGAAAGCCCAGAAGACGCAAGAAGTTGCAATAGCCCCATTTGATGGCTTTGTTTCATTCCACTATAAACAAGAGCCGAAAACTTTCTCATTCTTAGCGTTTCTGATTTAGGCATAAGCATACGATTGGAATTGATTGTCTGTTGCGTGAAAAGGAAAAAGGCCTGCTCAGAGTAGCTGCTACTTGGAAAGAAATCCATCACTCCAAACGTCTAGCCCTTTTGAGAGGCATTGGATATTCCCCAGGTGGACTAGAGGTACTTCGCCTTTTAGGATGTTGCATGCCCGCTTTCACGATATCAAGTATGGTTTCCCCGAGCTTTTGACCAGCAGCTATCATTGGTTCCGATAGAGTATCAGCACAATCGAAAGTCTCGATGGATCGTGGATCAAGACACGATGGTTCCCAGGAAGCGCGTTCCTCGGGTAAGGTGCACAATCCGGCTCTCAATTGAACCACTTCATTGCTTGCTTGATCAAGCGCCCGAGGATCGGTGCCAGGCGGCGCGACAATACCGACAAAGATCCGTTCTGTCTCATCAAGGGCAGAGGGCATCATCTTAAGATGAACTGAATACTCCTGACGTAGCAGAAATAGAATTTCTTTCATCAGATTGTACGTTGCGAAGGGGTGCAAAATGGCTAGCGGTAAGACAAGGACGAAAAAATCCGGCCTCTGCGCAGAATCGAGAATTCCTCTGACCATATTAAAAGGGGACAAGATTTTGTCAAGTGAGTTATTTTCATCATCATCAAGCTCATTCGGTGAGCAATCAGGCACCCAGCCATCGGCATGAAGCATAATCAAGGTCTGTTCGGCCTCGCGTGGTAAAATCCCCTGATCGCATTAGTAATACTTTAAGAATTCGCGAGAGACCGCGCGGCTTACCTCCTGACTATCACTATAAATTGAAAACACTCTCTTGAGTCCAATTTTAATCAGTTCCCCAATATGTGTTATTTTTTCTGGGCACATATCGCGAACCATTGGTACGGCAGAGAAACATGGCGGTGGATGAGAAAGCGGGATTGCCCCTTCATGGCTCGGGGCTTGTAGCAACGGTATCCAGGACGCGGTCAAAATTTCGTCTCCTGTGATAGCAAAACGGCAGACGTGACAGACTGCGGAGACTTGGTATGATCAGCAGGAATGGTCGTTCAACATCAATGAGGGAGTATGCATACAGCTAGGCTGATCCACGAACTTCACTACCGTTGAGGGATCCCACGAAAGAAGTTCTTCAAATAGGATTATATCGGCATCTGCACTTTCACCAATGATAGAAAGGTCGTGGAAATGGAGAACGACCTCTCCAGGGAGGGCAATATCGGGGGATGTCGTGCAGCAATCCGACAAAAAGGAAAATCTTGTTGCCCTCAGAGAGTGCACAAGTTTGTCTTCGCCAGGCTGAAATATTATCTCGTGAACGAACAAGACACATCTTTGTTGGCCACCCGAGCGGCTAAGAGTTACCCCAAGATACTGCTGCGTTTTTATTGTCCCTGCAGACTGAGGAGTTTGCAAGGGTACAGACTAATGTGGATTAGATTCAGCATTCTCCAGTGTAGCTGAATATCTCACCTGTCCATCGCACACACTTGCGTGAGATGGCCATAGCCCCTGTAGTCCATGCACGGACCCACAAGTCTCCCAATCCGTGAGCCTTTCTCTTTGCGTCTCTTCTATCATCCATTTCTTGAGTTCAATTACCCGCGATTCCGCATGTGACTGGATGGTAGGGTCAGGCCAGAGACTGTCTGTGACATCTAGGCTAGTTTGTTCCAGAAAAACCGAGTCACTCATCGTTGAGCAATCCAGATCAGATGTCCCTGTCGAACTGTTCGCAATTTCCACTATGGATCCATGCGGGGTATATCGATTGTTAACCGGCACTTCAACCATGTCTTTCAAGTCGGATTTGCTGTTCGTTGGAACAGGCGCTGGCGGTATTCCACAAATGGAACCCTCGCAATTGCGTGAAATGACAGGAAAAGTGATAGAAGACTCACAAGGGTAGAAAGCCACGGTCTTGTCATTAAGTGCGACGTCTTTGGTGGGGCAGCTGCAGTAGCTTGAGTTGGAGTATAGCAAAGAGTCTCTCTGAACTAAACATTGGATATCATGAAGAGTAACTCTGTACTGGATGTAGGCACCGTAGGCCTCTGCAAAAGCATGGCTATGACCAACATCCCACTGGACGATAACGGAGCCGGAGGTTGTCTTCGCACGGACAGCACGGGGCATATCATGAAGTCTTTGTAGCCCCCTACGACGAAGGACGGGAACCTCTGTGCTGACGACAAAGATGTGTTCTTGCAGCAAAGACAGAACCTCAAAGTATGCATCCTCAATAACATGGTCACAGAAAAACCAGCTTTCAGCATCCTGTTTACTGAATAACGGACAAGGACTATCTGCATGGGAACTCTGCGGATCCAGCCATTGCTGGTGCACATAAAGTGCACCTTCAACAAGGGTAAGAGTTATTCCGCCCTTGCATCCTTGCACGTAGACGATTTGGATTTCCTGCGTTTGCGCTTCTGCTGCGAGAAGACCCCTTAACGCACGATCGAATTGTCGAGAAAATAGCGTGTCAGGAATTTGAATTTTGCCTGAGCTTTTCAGTCGAGACGCCAATTCTTCATCCGTAGTGCTGATGAGCTTGAATTGCCTTAGGAGTCTCCATAAGGACGTCGGCATCGAAGTAGGTTGTAGCTCCAGTCGTCTTTGTATATTCTGTATTGCCTGATTTATATTAAAAATAACCATAGAAATTGAGCTGAAAAGCTTACCGGCTCGCCAACATCAGGAGGATGATAGAAAAGTCCACGAATCTTGGCATCTTCTCGCAAATGGACCCATACACTTCTTGCGGTGCTTTTATTGACCAGTTCTTCGAAATTTCTGACGTCCATCGCGTCTGGAGTTTCCATCAAGATTTGAGAGTAGAGTGCTACCACATTCGCAGCCCCTTTTTCAATAGCTCGTGCCCAAATCTCAGTAATACAACGCTGTGTCGTTGGACACATGCCAATGCATCGCTCACGATGAATGAGTCCGGTTCCTAAATTGTATCCGATTCTGAACTCTCCGTCATAACTCCCACAATCAGCATAGCGTATGCCCTTCACGTATATATTCCCCCGGTACCCCTCATCAAGGATGAGATCCCCTACCAGAGTGCGAATCAAGCCGGGCGGAGGTTTTATATCAATTGTGACCTGCATCCATCTCCAAAAGTCATATTCATCCAGTCGATGCACTGCACTGTCTCTTTTAATCACCACAGAGACATCCCGCCAAATATTTGCGATGAGTTCCCTGGGTAGGTTTTCCTCTTCATTCTTCGCAAATTTGGCCTTTAGACGGTGGGTCTTTTCCCGACTTGCCGGAGTAATGGTGCAGTAGAAATTTCGGCTTTCACGTCCGCGAAATGTAAAATTCCAATAGCAGCTGTTTGCGCATACTTTAACATGGTATTGTTTCCGAGAAAAAGCCAGCGCGGCCAGCTTCAACCCTTCTCCGTGATGACCAATGAGGCGCACATCCCCTGACTTAGCCGAGTAACCAATTTCAAGGCATCTGGTATCCAGAAGACTATCAAAGTTCGTCAGTTCAATCACTCCTGTCGCCTTTTTAAAGCAGATGAAGCCTGCATAGCTGGCTTGGTTCGTGCTCCCCGTCGGAATTGGTTTGGGAACAATGAGGAGGATCTCTTTGTCTGTCTCAGTTGTTGCCACTGGAAAGCCAAGTGGTGGCAAATTATGATCTTGCATGATAGCGTCCTTCCTTCGTCCGGTTAGTATGTGCCTTTTCAACACTTGGGTCCCGTACCAGTTTTGGTAAAGCTCTCTGAAAGCGTCCTCGTCGCTCCAACTTGCCACACAGGCCGATGTTAGACATATTGGCTGCTGGGTTGCGGAAGGAAGTATTTCCGCCATGTCGATGTGATTGGATAGTTTGAGCTAGATAAAACCTATTGCGGAACTTGATCAGATGGAGGTCCTGAGGAAAGCGAAGGTTTCCACATATTATATGTAATTAGTCACTCGCTGCCATTGGCAACCTATGTTGGCGCTGAAGATGATATTCTTCTTTGGCGATAGTGCGCTCCGTGTGAAAGTCTATTTGCAACAGAGCGTTGAACTAATGACCTTCAACCCCTTGCGTAATCTTTTGTCTACTATGGAGGGCGCTCGTTCAACAAGTCGGCCCACCGTGTTCAAAGCTAGTCAACTTGGCATTCTAATACTACCCTGGGCTGATACCCATTTCTCTAGGAGCATCGAAAAGTAACTTTATTTAGAAATGGAAATATAACTATAAGCAATTGAAGTCTTCAATGCCATTCACAAATAGGACGAGAACTACTCTCTAGGTTTATTCGCGTCTGAGTGCATAGTTCTTAACGCCGCAATGGATAAGGGGCCCCACTGGATCACACCATCAGCTCTACCGAGTATTCTCGAGCTTGCTGATGAGGATGGCATTGATATCGTTCACACGGAAGACGAGAGCGAGTCTGAATACTCTCAAACGGAGTCGGATCGTGTTTTCGTTGTGCCGGATGAAGGATCTGAAGCCACGGGGGACAATGAATATGAGCCCCCAGAGATTATTTCTACAACTTCATCCGACGAAGAAGACGTAAGTTCAAGAGTGGACCACAGGAGCCATTTTTCTCATGTAACATGCAGGATGAACCTGCACCGGAGATACTCGGCCAACGTCAAGTCGTGCGTCGTCGGGGAATTGTAACCCAATTCGAAGTAAAAATGTGGATTGATAGTGACCACTGGAATTTTCTATTGGAGCTTATCAGGGCTTGCGCAGAAGCCGATGAAATTGAATAAATATTGTCCACTTCTTGTAGATTTCTGAACCTACGAATAGAATGATAGGTTGATTTCCTTGTGACAATTTATCTTGTTTCCGTCAGAGGGTTTTTTCTGTTCTTTATTACAGTACTCATGACAAATTCCACCTTGTATTAATCGGAATGTTCAAATCTGCTTATGTAGTGTTATCTGATTTGCAATAAATGTAAATTTCTACTTTAGACTTTCCACTTGTGTAAGTTTACTCAAGTTGAGCCAGTCCATAGGTAAATTGACATGATCAAAACCACGACATGGGTAGCATGGCCACACATTCCACACCAAGAACGCTAGAAAATGTAGGTACTTTATACGTAGCTATGTAATTCAATGTTCCAGACTTTTGGAGACAGATAATGCCCCAGAACCTATTCCCTAATTTAGCAAATTTATGTTTGGTTCCTTCCCATTAAGGTCCAATACCCAAGACACAAGAAGGAGATATTCTACGTAGATAACTTGCAACATGAACGGAAAGTCAATTGGTATTATATCTACCTCGAGCAAGTAGCTATTACTTAAGACGACATGTTTAGGAGAAGGATCTTAAAGCATTTCACAAACTAGGACGAGTATACATAGACTCTCTCGAAACTAACTCAAATGATCACTTCAACAAAGACAATCTTCCCAGAGTTTGCCACAACACTAATCTACATCCAACTTGCTCGCAATTTTGGACATAAGCCCCGTAAGTACATCAAGGCGTTGATTGAGCGAAATCATATCTGTTCTGAGAGATGCGGTTTTTTCCTCTACTATCCTACATATTTTGTCATCGAGGTCTTTATCTCCACTTGGCAACTCCGTCGGCAGTACTGTATAATTCCTTGTCGATCTTTTGGGCTTTTCTGGTCTATGGCAAGCAGGATCTCTGACTTTTATTACCTGAGAGTGGGTTTTCCAGGGAGCCGGTGTCTTATCTCGTTGAGATGTTGCCTCGATATATTCTTCGGCTCTTTCTAATCCCTCCAGCCCCACAAAGTTGGTAAATGTCATGACGGTGAATCCATCTTTACCGCTTATCTGCATAATGCACTCGCTAGCAGGACTCCTACAAGGTCCTACATATCGCTCTTTGGGTACCATGTATGCAGTACCCCAATACTTATGCAACCCACCGTACGTCTCCTTGCTAACGGGATTTCGAGTCGCCGCTGTTATGATCATTCTGCGCTCCAGCTTATCCCAATCATCGACTGCAATGCTGATTTCGAATTTACTGACCATTTCAAAACAATACTTACCCCCAATTCTCCTTTGTACGCCGTAGTGTGATTTAGACCCCCCTTTGTATTTAAATATTTTCTCGAAAAGAATGATAGTCTCCTTGGCATCTCCCTTGATCCTAAGGGCGTCATGATGCTTAAACCATTCATCCTCAATTGAACGGTTGTCTTTATCATACTTCAGACTCTGGTCACCTGTTGACGGGGGGATGCCAATGGAGTCATCCATTTCGTCCTTAATTGAATGATTATTTTCATCATACTCGCCGTTTGACTGTGGAATGGATGATGTCATCGGGTCACCAAGGGGAGCATCACCAGGTGCGTCGGGCAATACTTCATGAGTGAATTTCTTGATATCTGTTCAAATTTTAGTCGTGGCCAGCCATCACATATTGGCCGTCAAATTGGGCACTAGGTTGTCTATCTCACTTTCAGAGGCCTGGTCTACACCATTTATTTTCTGGCTTCGAGCATATTCAATCCAGTTTTCACGCTCACTCCACACAGCGTCGTATTGATTCGCAACCTCGCTGATATTTTCATTGCAGAGGTTGATGATCTGACTAAGTACGTCATTCAATTTCTTTCCCTGATTTGCGGTCAAGGCAGCCGTTCCACCCTCTATGCCAGCCGAGAGAACATTTTTACCTGACGGATCTTCGTGGATGAGAAGATTGCTCTTTTGAAAAAGTCGATATAGACAAGTGTCAAGTCTCAGAATAGGGGCCATTTCCACTCAATACGCGTCTGGTTTCAATACCCAAAGTAGATTACAGTGATCTACAAAGTGACATTCGTAGACACGCGTCAAGCTGCCGGCTATTCTCCAATATATAGCATCACTGGAACTCTTAAATTAGAGAGATCTTTTACCTATTGCTTGACTAGAGTTTGGGACCGTTGGAAATTAAAATAGGGGCTTGAGTGATATTCACAAATCTCTTTTAGTCTTTATTCCATTCCCGCTGGTGAACTTTATGAATCCTAAATGAACCTGAGGTCCGTCGAATGCATCTCTTTCTTTAATTTGTACCTACCGAGATTAATTCTTTATCAAAATCCCGCGGGTCAAATAAGTTAAATACTGTTATGTCTCCAGCTCCGGATAATAATAAAATTTCATTTTAAAATGTCCACGTCGGTATCTTTCGACCACGAACTTGCATTGGCTCTGGAACGTCATAGCAAGTATATCGGCACGGCAAAAGTCAGTTTAGATCAGCTTCGCTTTGTGCCAGCTCTGCCCGATGGAATCGATTCAAGAAAATCCGAGCGGCTCCAAGAAATATTTAAAATTGGACAATGCGCGCGGCTCGACGTACAAAATCATATACCAGCAATAATTTCACATGACGCCATTGAAGGCTCCTTGGCATTTAGTGGAATTACACGCGCAGACCTACTGAATGCTAGTTCAGACAGACCGCCCCTGTTGAATTTTCCTAATGGTCAATTGAAGGCACTACATGGTCGGCATCGCATTGAAGCGGCGAGCAAAGCATTATTTCCCGATGACCGTTGGTGGACAGTGGATCTTTATCTTGATGGTATTACTTCTATCCGCATACTGATTCATGCTCTAATATTCGCAGATATTGGGGAAGCTCTACGGGCTACACTTTTAGACGAGTATGCCAACGAATCGTTGCCCACAGATGGTCAAATTTACCGAAAAATTAGACAATATGAGGGCGAGGGAAATGTTTATTTTCGAGAGCGCTGGTATCTAAGGCTTTCTAAGACAGGTCGTGAGCGATTAGACCAGCTAGATAACCCTCGAAACCGAGCCTTGAGAGCCGGTTTTGATAAATTACTTGCCATTCCTGGAGTGTGGGGCCGTGGTATGCGGATCAGTTTGCTGGCCCGTATTATAGCATCCGACTGCATTGATGTGAGTTGATCCCCGTGTAGCGGCCCATCGATCTAATTCCGTTTACAGGAAATAGTCCATTATCTTGAGGTGATATACACGACATGGCTATATATCATGGGCTCTGACACAAACGCACTTTGTAAAGTCACTGATGGTGATGTTCAGTCTTTGCAACTCTTAAGACCCCATGCCCTGTCTGATGAGTTCCAATTGGTACAGGGCCGTGTGCTTAGTGGTGCAGCCTTCGGTTCCTTCACAGAAGCAGAAAGAGTAGGCATAGCCCAAAGACTAAGTGAATTCAAGGGTCTTGTTCCATCACTCTACACTTTCTTTGAGGATTTCAAGATCCTTGAAAGCTGTTCATATTGCTTCAAGCGGCTCTTGTCCCATGTCGACTACTCAATTGCCAGGACGATGAGATATATGTTTCAACCCCCACCAAATAATGATTCCGGCCAAGCTAGCTTCCAAGTCCAGATGGATGCATTCAGATTACAAGAGATTAAGATATCTGCTAGTAAATGCTTTGATCTCGCGTACAGGCAGGTTTGGCTCTTCGTCATCCGAAATTATCCCCACATGCCTCCTGATCCAAGAGATGAAGGTGAATTGTTAGCAAAGCCAAATCGAGTGCCGGCAAATCAATGGTCTGTATACCAGTTAGCCCTGCTATCTAAAAACCTAGGATTCCAGTCACCTGAAATAAACGAAATACTAGCTAATGATCCCGACGTACAAATTGCGCGCAATGCTTTGCTTACAGCCCGTGATCCATTAAACTACGCATACAACGCCCCTGCACTACATGTCCTGATAGGGAATATAGCGGAAAGTTTTAAGACGGCTAGTAAGCTTGATCGTAGTGGCATTAAGCAAATGGAATACCCGGCAAGGGTGGGCATGAGATGTGGAATGCCCCAGAGCCGTACTCATAGCCAGGACGCCCAATTGATCTACTTGTACTCTCTTCATCGACAGGGACTAGACTTGACAGGATCTGTGACAACTGCGTTCGTGATTCGATGGATGATTCATGCGTTTTTTGGGAACTGTGATGCCATTTCGTATGTAACAGAAAATGAAGACGTTCCCATGGACATAGATTCCGGAAAAGGCAAAAAGAGGGACAGCAGCGACCAACAGAAAGCAGTGACAGAATCGGTCTCAAAAAGACACAGACCAGGACCTGATGAAAATGATTCTAGCTCAGAAGATCTATCAGTTGAGGAATCTACCGAATCTACCAGCGGGCTTGGCGCACCAGTATCTGAACCCACGTCGGTCATATTTCGTATATATGGGAATATTAAGACACCCCTCCATTTCACAGATAACAAAATCGCCATTCAAAAAGTCAATAGATCTGCATTTCGCTTTATGGGGGAAAAAAAGGGTTGGGTCTTATGTGACAAAGAGCTCAACTTAGTCCAGCCAGAGAATTGTTTAGAGCAAGTCCGGCGGTCAGGTGAATTTATATTGAATATTATGAAGCGGCCAATTTTTGAATCCCTATTGGCTATCAGACAAGCTTAAGACGAGAACCATTGGGACTTGTCTTGAATTAGTGAGGTGACTTTAACACTGTCGGCCTGTGGTATTGTATCGGTCCTTTAGAATGCACAGCCATACCAAATGCAATTGTACCTTCCTTATTCCTAAGCCCTCGGCCAGCTTGGTAATGACGCTATGACTCTTGCCGCCAGTACAGTCGATAGTGGAAAGGTGGTACAGTCGGTAGCGAAATCAGCTTCCTCCTTACACACTGCTTTTCTTTTATCGGGACCCACTGCCAAGGTCTTAGCGTAGATCTTTCATTGATCAGGCCGTGCCAAGTTGAGGGCCGTTGTAAACTGCGCCGTGTATGGTACTGTATATCCTTACGTAATAGTACATCCAGTGCTCTGAATGTGGGCGGTAAACGTTGTTTGTTACGGTACTTGACATGGCGCATTTTACGGTAGGCCTCAATACCCGATCTGCGCTAAGGTTTTGGCAGTGGATCCCGAGAAAATAAATGCTGTGTCTAGGGAGGAAGCTGATTACGCTATCGACTGTATCATGCCGGCTCATAGTATATTTCGATGTTTTCGTTCAGTTTAAACAGCCATAGAGTTCATACTAATCGATGATGTCTTGGTGCTGGGGCGCTTAGCGTGATTCTCAATTTTTGGGCGGAAGCTATTTTCGCCATTGTATTCGTGTGCCTTCAAATGATGAAGGCATATGCGAAAAGCTAGCGGTCAAAATTGGAATGATAATAAAGACCAGCCATGTTTTTCGTTAAAGCTTTTACATGCCTAGTGTTCAACTGGACTTCAATTTGGTCTTTGACTTAAATAAATATCACAGATTACCCCCTCTCAATTTTGTCAGCTCATCGACAGTTATGATGGAGAGTCTACCAATTGAGATTCTTTACCAACTAGCTGACAGCGTGGGTGCTTCAAGTGACCGGTCAACGATACTCGGATTACTAAAAATAATAGATGGATCAATCCACTCGTCGCCAATGTAGCGTGGTATCTAAGCTATTGCGCCAGGCCGTTGCCCCCCGTCTATTTCACAGTATCACTCTTTACGCGGAGAGCGAATGGGCATTGTATAGATTTCACATTCCGAAAAGTGGCCTTTCCAATCAGACACGCCAGTATATTAGGGTGGTCAATGTTCAAGCGAATAAAAGATTTGTTCAAAACCGCTGCGGTTTTCGCACAGTCCTCCCATTTTCAACCACAGACGTTCCACCGCACTGCCCGGAATATCACCAAGATTTTCTTGACCAACTATTGTCAGAGATATGCCCAGCTCTACTTAGATTACCTAGCAAGAGCTTGAATCTATTCAAGTATGTCTGTTTGTGACTGCAGATCTAAGCACCACTCTGACCTTGATAGCTGGAGCCTCGGGTGCTGTGTACCCCACCAAATCATTATATACCTTCAAAGTATTCCAGCGTTACAAAGTGTATCATTCTCCATTGACTCGACCTGTCCATGGGCTGAGAGGACAAAAGAAGACATCAGTTTCTCTTTCATTGGCAAAGCCGTAAACGTTTCATTGATGGAATGCGGGCCTCATTCAAGTTCGGAAGTATTGATTCAGTGTCAAGCCACAGAACACTAGAAACAGCAAGGCTATGCGTCATAGTTCAACACAGCAGATATGACAGCCTGGTCAATAATCAACGGAGAGAATGTCTTTTCTAAGTCCCTGATCTATGAGAGATTCATACCTACACTTCAAAGTTTGAATTGAGAAAGCCTTGTTGTTGCTTCATATTTAGTTCCGTTGGTATACATTGGCAGACTTGCCGTAGTTTGCTTATGTTCCTTGGTAACTAGACAGATCCCGGACATAATTTCCAAACAATGGGAAAAAACCAAGTCAATACTCGGAAAATCTTTTGGACATCCTTTATAGAGTCGCAGTCCCCGTCGATGATGATAACATTCGTACCAACTTTGAGCACTAGGGATAATGAAGACAGCAATGCATTCAATAGTCCCACATCTCCAAATAATCCTCCGTATTACACCCAAACCTCAGCGTCTCCTGTTTCTCATAGGTTAAAGACCTTCGGAATAATTGCAAGCACAATATTTGGTGCCATCTTTTGTTTTTTATTCATTTTCCTCTTCTCTCATTGGAAAGCTAGACAGCGTGCCAGAATTGAACCTCGAAAACATAGGGACCCAGCTCGATCCTACTTTTCTGCAGATACTACATGAGAGATCAGAAGGAGCCATGTGAAGACCACCGTTTTTCCTTAGAATGGAATTTTTCTAGTTTACGAGGCTCAATCCATCAGCCAGAGCATTAGGTGGCAGCTTGCATATCCACAGCTATGTACTATATCGGACTGAGAACAAGAAGGGCCGACTCGAACAAGAATTTCGTTTGAGAATTACTATTTCTACTCGATTACACTACGGGACGGTTCACGGCAGGCCGAAACCAGCCGCCCTAGCACATTAGCTAATACTCCATAACAACATGGCATTTACGGATATCACGTGAGAAGCAACCCTCAGTGATCAGGCATCCATCTCATCCCATGATAGGATAGGATGGGACCCCATCGAAGGATAGGACGGACTAGATATATAAAGAACGGTCATTACCACACATGTATTTAGTTCTTCGCGTTCAATTACACATTGTTACTTGGAACCTACAGATCTAGCTTCACACTTGTTTCGTACCTAAGCCAACCCACCCTACTAGGAGAGGTATACTTAGTCTCTTGTCACTTGACACAGATCCTAAGCATAGCTTGACTAGGCGCACTACCTGGCACAGACCAACAAGAGTCTAATCTATAGACCCGAGCCCGTGTAAAGCCTACAGGCAACGGTACGGTTGCGATTGAGACTTGAGGACGAGCCTCGACGTACGTATAACGGACCATACGAGCGATACTCATTGTGACCAGTTAGCACCGCGTAACATTAGGATACAACTTCCGGGAATTAAGTCCAAAGAATGTCCGGTCAAACTGAATTCGAAAACTACTGTATGAATGTCAGAAGCTGCTTCGTGATTGTATAGAAACTCAATAATGTCGAGGTGGATTGGAAATAAAGAAATAGCGCGTCGAACCCCAGCTTCAATCTATTGCAGGTAGCTAGGGGATACTGGATGAATGGCAGGAAAAAAATCGAGTAATAACGGAGACGAAGGTAGCTTTGTCTACTAGGCATATCTTAGGCTATAGAGTCATTAACACCTGCTAGAGTTTGCTTTATGAGCGGCCAGCTAGCTCGAAAGGTGCCTTAATTTGATAGACAGGTACGCAATAAGTCTGTATGTGATCGCACAGACGCCGAGTGAAATGAGGCTGATCTCTGGCTCAGCGCTCAAATGATATCTAGCAAGAAGTTCTGTCCCTGATTGATCGGAGCATGAGGAAGTTGGTGACTCCGTACAGTGAAAGATTTGTCCACGTAGCATAAAACTTGCTAGATTAGCAGTTGAGTATTTGAGAGGCGATAAATAGCTCAGCCCGCGGAGAAATTGAGGCAAGTTCGGATTCATGATGCCTGCGATAATCCATGATAAAAACAAGACCACAGATGAGATACTAACCGATAGCCCTTGGTTTGGGCATATGCTGAAGAAAGTAATTCCAACAGATTCGCCACAATTCACTATGCACAGAGCATTGAATGAGGACACCGCAAAACTGGGCCATGATCGACCTAAACCGATAACCCATGTAACCAGAGCGCTGAAAATGGCACTCGAAAACAGTTCCAGGGGAACTTCTAGGCATGTATACTGTAGCACAAAGCATTCCTCAGTGTAGAAGCCGTCGGCATGCTCTTGGACGAATTGACCATATTCACTTGGATATAGAGCCATGCTTTGAGTCAAACCTAAGTATTGGGAGTGTCAGTCGTACCCGAAGAACCGTACCGTACGGATTGCTTAACGTCTAGCAGAATGGTTTCCCTACCAGCATAATAAAGTGCCCCAAATTGTTGTATTAGACCCAGACTAGTCTGGAAGTCCTGCATGCCGTGTTGCAAGCGTCCAAAGAAGAGCGATAGGACGATACCAACGCCAATAGTCTGCGTGATGCGGATTGCCATGAGAAACGGCTGCCGCCAAAGATTCAATGCAGCTCTGCGGAGGAAAATATGGAGTACTGCGTAAAAAGGGCTGGTTTGCCGTCCCCGTCTAAACCCCACGTTTCCGATGTCATTGGAGACGTTAGCTTGACTTCCAGTGCCGAAGTCCTCCGAAAACGTATCCCAACCACTTATAAAAAGATTTTCACGGGAAAATTCTGTGCTGTTGGTTAGATCTCCGTGAACGGCCAGGTCCATGATAAAATCGGCCGGATTAATGCCTTGCTCGAATATTTGCCTGGCGGAGTCTTGGATGCGAGCTAGAATGGATGAACTGCGACCAGCACAGATCATATGTCCATCTGACGACAAAAGCATGAGGTATGTGAAGTGTTCGAACAATTCCTGTTGCGGCTGATGAATGCTGAGGATAACAGTTCGGCCCTTTGAAGCATATTCTTGGAGCATACGAATTATCGAGAATGTGGTGAAGCTATCAAGTCCAGAGGTTGGTTCATCCAGCACCAATACCTCTGGGTCTGTCAGAAGCTGAATCGCAATTGAAAGCCGTCTCCGCTCTCCCTGACTGATTCCCTTGAGCCGGACGCTGCCAACGACTGTGTCTGAGCAATGCGCAAGACCCATGGACTGGATCAACTGCTCCACTTCCTGGACTTTCCCTCCGGCCGGTGCCAATTTGGGCAGTCTTAGTGCCGCGGCAAATGCAAGCGTTTCCCGAACGGTCAGTGTCGCCAAAAGTGAATTGTCGTCCTGAGGCACATAGCAGCTGATAGTCCGAATCTCGCGAGGCAGCAAGTTCTTACCGCCGTACAGTACTTCGCCATAAGTCCGGTAAGCCGTAGTCCATGAGGGAGTTGGTGAACGACCAGCAATCACATTAAGGAGAGTCGACTTCCCACTTCCAGACGGGCCCATAACAATATTCAGCTCGTTCGACATGTATTGTACATTTAGGGACTGAATCACGTGACGCCTCTCAAGATTCCTTCGATACCATAAGTTACGTGGTGACCTCTTCCGGACAAGCTCTAGCCCAAAAGAATGGAGCTGAACTGTCATCTGTGGCGAAAGCTCTGCGACCTGGGTGTTTCTGGTTTGATTAGCAGAAACAGTCACGATTGGCCGCTCGATTGCTCCTGGTCCCAGAGCCACTCGAATCCCTGTCTCATGGAAGTATTCTAGTGTCATTGTGGCGATAACATGGAATCCAAAAAAAATGATAAGAGAGCCACGATAGGTTGCCATATCCAAGGTTGAGGAAACCCAAGCGCTCTCATTACATATTTCCCGGTGTATTCTTGGCATGCGGTATTGAAAGGGTCGTGGGAATAGGGACAACCGTAGACACGTCCCTGGGCCGAATGGCGGTTGAGGCCAATGAATTCGTTTGAACATAGGGCACCAAAGAGATAGAAGTTCGGTGTTACCCATTTGGTCCAGGCAACATAGGCAGGGATTCGACGTACAGGAAGGAAGTACCCACAAGCCATCGACTGAAACGTAAAGAAAATATTACCGATGAGGCTGGCCGTAGCAAAGTTGCGGGAAATGCCAACGCATATCGTGGCAACGGCGATTGTGATGTAATTCGTGATGGTGATTAAGCAGACGAATATCAAGAACTCTCCAGTCTCCTTGTGAAAGCCAACCATAAAGTAGAAAATCGATGAGAAGAACAAAGGGGACGGGATATCCTCCAGTAAAAGCTTAGCCGCTCTTCTGCTGATCAAAAATGTGAGAGTGTCAACCGCCCCTTCCAACCTTTCCTGGTCATATACCTGGACGTCAAGGGAGAGCCTATAAATTTCGAACAGAAGCACAAGGTAGCCATATAACTGGCTCGCAACGAAAAGACCACTCTCCCGTGACCGGATGCCTTGTAGACTCTCATCTACTTGATAAAATGTTAGGCCAGTAAATAAGGCTAACGTGACAGACATGAGTAAAACAGCTGCCACACCCAGTGGTTCACGGCAAGTTGTCTTTATCGTGCGCATTGTCAATGCCTTGAGCTTGCGAGGGAAAGACAGGTTATTTCGGATTGAAACCTCGGAGGTGAAAGGGTTGGGAACATGACTGCAAAGGTGTGAGATCTCCCAGCATTCTTTCAAGTACCTGACTGTTTCCTTGGCAGAAGCATTCTTTTCGGCCGTGGTGGCATTTGTGGCAGACAGTTTGATCATGAAATCCACAGGGTTACTCGTTGAAGCCATAGGAAACCCACATGAGCCAAAGTGAGCGGATACTTGCCTCAAAGGGCCACCATAAAGGAGGCATCCGTCGGAGAGAAGTAACACTTGATCGAACAAGTCGCAAATTTCTCTCCGAGGTGAATGGATGGAAAGTACCACAGTCCGACCCTGCTGAGCAAGCTGTTTCAAAACCCTTATAACCCGGTAGGCGGAGGCAGAATCTAACCCTGTTGTGGGTTCATCGCACAGAATACATGAAGGATTTGCGAGAATGCGAATGCCAACATTCACTCGCCTTTTTTCGCCTCCACTGCATCCTTTACCAGACATGGTCCCAATTTTAGTCTCTGCACATTGGCTCAACCCGAGATCGTGGATTACCTGCTCAACAATGGCGGCTCGTTCATGGGGATCTGGTAATGGCAGTCGAAGATCCGCAGCAAACGTCAATGTCTCGCGTACAGTGAGAGTTGGTAGTAGTGCTTCGTACTGGGTGGTATACCCTGCTCTGAACGTAGCACCTCTCAGTTCACCTCTGAATGAGACCGACCCTTCTACCTGGAGCTGTTTGGCACTCAAGTACCCAGTGATACAGTCCAACAGAGTGGTTTTTCCACTTCCACTTCCTCCGATAATTGCAGTCACGCTACCGCTGGGGATTTGGGCATTTATCTTTTGCAAAAGCTGTTTTGTTCGTGGCGGACTCTGTGCTTGATGGTTGAGAACTTTGTTCGGGTAATCCGTGCGCCGTTTTGTGGTTGCCACTGAAAGGTTCGAAATCACTATCTCAACTGGTAACACCGGCGGAAGGAGGGAACTGGTCCCTTCGAAGTGTACTGGGTCCATTATTCTGCTTGAAGAGCTTGTAAGGGTCTCCCGACGGATGATTCTCAACTAGCGGATAATGAGGACGTAATACGCAACCACGGAGGTTTCGTGATTGATCTAAATTAAATAAGGGAAAGAACCTTCACTGTCGGAGGGTCATAGTTACGCCAATATGGATGATTGCGTAGGGATAGATAGCTGATATGCAAGGGGTGTAAGGTATGTACGTGCGTGATCAAATGGTGCATAAAATTGGCCGCGTAATATGACACCCTTCGGTTCATAAATTCTGATTCTCTAGCCCTCTCTCTTTGGACGTACAAGGATGGAAGATATTCGTAAACCATTAGCATGTCCTAGTTTCAGCCTGAAATGACAACACAACACACCAGACCACATCCTTTTCGCTGATTCAATAAGGTTTTCGCGCCACGATCAAGAAAACGGGCGTAAATATCTCCTTCTCACCACCCTCTACAAGGGCAACGTTCAAGTCCGCCAAGTTCAGGAGCACCTGGATTGTTGCTGGCGGCAGAATACCAAACCACTCGCCTAGAATGGCCAAATAGTAGGCAAATCCCCCCACTAGCAGCGAGCGAGTCAAAACTGTGATATACGCACAACGAAGAGTATCACTGAGTGAAAACATCCATTTGAAGGATAGTCGGAATGGGTAATACCATGGAATGTCGCTGTAATGATCTGCAAGGTCTTCTGCTATCTCAACCTCGAAGCCCGCGCGCCTCAGAGCATCGACGGCGTCAGACGTACGTACCATGTTGGGAATACCCATGCCTTTTTCAAGATTGAGATGAACTGCACAGTGCGTGGGATTATTTTTGTCGAACCTTTCTGTCATAATGAGCTCGTAAGCAGCGAACTTCCCCCCTGGCTTCAGTACTCGATAAATCTCAGAATAGACACCTTCGAGGTTCGGCGCGTAGGATGTGCCTTCAATCGAATAAGCACAGTCAACTGACTGCGACTGCAGGGGCATCTTCATGAAGTCTGCTTTAATAAAGTTGACTCTGTCGCTCAACCCATCCCGTTCGGTATACCGAATAGCGCGGCCGATCTGGTACTCATTCAAATTGATCCCCAGGACTCTTGCTTCTGTGAATCGAGCGATCTCTCTGGCTGGGCCTCCAACTCCACTCCCGACATCGAGAACGTATGCGTCCCTTATGATCCCAGCGTAACAGGCTAGGCTATGCTCATGACGACGAGCAGCTTCACGCATCGTTTCACCTTTTTTGAGGGTAAAAAGATGCAAGGAGCTTGCCCATAGATGCTCGATAATATCCGTGACCGTATCATAGTAGCTGGAGAAGTATTTCAAAGTAAGGCTATTGGTCGTATAACATTTCTATTGGATGAAGACAAGGTTTTGTTCTATTGAAATCTGGAACAGACAGCGGGGGCATCTCTTACCACTTTGCTACGGCATCGTAGTTTGCGCTCCGGATGGCCCTGACGGCTTCGGCGCCCTCTGGGCTGCTATCCCAGTACTCAAAATACTTCGCCACCGTTGACTTATGGGTCATACGATTTTTCGCACATAAAGCAACGATACCACCGCGCGATTCGATCGACCTCTCGTTGAGAGAGCGGACCGACTTGAGAAGCGGGGCTTCTTCCGAAGCCTTAGCCTTCATTGGAAAAGAAAAAGGTGATTGATGGTAGAAAGCTTCGCTCCTATGACCAGACTACTTCAATGACCCAGCGAGGCGAGCTGCGAGGGGATTTATATGTTGTCTGTCTCCTCGAACCGAGAGCTCGTGCTGCAAGTGTTCGAGAAGGAAACCTCAGGGAGTTCCGCCACTGTTGAGTGATTCGAGGTAGACTGTCGTCTAATTCCTAGACCGCTGCTTTGCACAGCATGGTATTCCGTCGTCTATTTGGCTGAGGTGACAAGGTCTTTCCATCTAAAGTTATGGAGCCCTTGCTTCGAGAAGCAAGGGTCTGAAGCGGTTTTCTGCTAGAGCTTACTTTCAATCACCTTGCGTCAGTAAGGGTCTGTACAATGCACCCAATTACGCGCTGCCAAGGTCATTGAAAGCTACGGTTAGTGAAGCGATACGCTATTCAACTGTTCAGTTGTGTCGTTCACGCGCGGCTCGATGGACCTTACCTTGCTGTCTACTATGCATATTTGACTCTTACAATTGTGGCTGTCTTCGCAAAATAGTCAATTTTCTAGAACATCCCATGTAAACAATAAGCACACCGCTTGCACTTAGCTTGAGTGATACATGAAGCAACCCTAAGCCTCCAAAGCCGTGTGACGTTGATTATTAGTGTAACAAGTCAAGGGGACTGCAAATCACCCGGCCGAATGGACGACCAGTGATTATATAACTACTACAGAAATAAACTATGCTTTATTAATAATCTCGCGCAGTCAAGGGGGACAAAGAAGTATACTTTGGCCGTAACGGGTCACCTGCCGCTGCGGTCTTAGACCATAGCGTCAGATAGAGCCCCTCCGGGCTCCTTTGTTGGGAGTCAATGTGTCTGTATTGAAGTAATTTCTATATACAGAGGAAAAAAAGGTGGGAGGAACAAGTTCGAAGCTTGACTGCGTGAGAAAATGACGAGCTACCACTAAAGGCAAGCAACTGACTCTCGTGAGGCAGTTTCAGGAGAGAAAAGGCCCTCAGGAATGTCGGTGTAGATATCCGTGAGGTGACGATGCGCAACCGTGAGGCAACCCCAATAAAAATACACTCTATATGACTAGCGGTCAACACTTCAATGATATGAAAAAAACAACCTTATCGCTGCAGACAGACTATGCGATAATGCAGTAGACACATCACTAATTGTCGATCGAAACGAAATTCACCACGATGTCTGTCTGCGTCATCATTGGCGTCAGAATATTTAAAGTCCTCGTATCTTTCCGACTCAGCAGATTCTGCTCAAGCACTTGCAAATCCTGCTGCTTTTACTAAAGCTCCTGCTCACCTTGTTTACTTTCAAGAGGCATTCATTCTGTCAGCAACATCATCACTGATACCTTTTTGGCTGTGGGGCGATGCTATATGATCCGAAACAATATGTCGCCCACTGATATTATCGCAACTCTGCCACGAGTATATCTAAAAGGAGGCGGCAAGCGACCCCAAATAGACAACGCGCTCTGGGGTCGTCGAAGTCATGTTTCGACGATTTCTGGTCTTCTTAGCATGTTGTTTATGAATGTTGTGCAGTTGTTCGTGATATTCCTCTGCATCTGCTTCGAGCGGTTTGACGGCTCATTACAGCATGGCTTGTTGGATCTACTAGCCTGTCAGTCCTTGAAAGGCTTCTTCCAACAATATCTTCCTGCTGTATTCCTCCGCCCTGCAATTTTCTATTTCGGCTGGGTTGCTTCACAGGCATTACTATATTCCGTTCTTCCAGGGAAGATAGTGTACGGACCCTCGACACCTGGTGGCCATACACTGTCGTATTGCTTGAACGGGCTCAGCTCATGGCTTGTCACGATATGGGTAGTCTTGGTAGCTGCGTATGTTGGTGGTGCCGAAGCCATCGCGAGCGCAGCCCAAAGTTGGATGACTATAATAGTCGTCGCGAACCTGTATGGGTTGACGTTGTCAGCTCTGGCGTATCTGAAGGCTCATATATGGCCCAGCCATAACAGTGACCAGAGGTTCAGTGGTAGGCTCTATTCACCCTTGGCCGGCTCATGGCCTATTATCTCCTTGTGCTGGTTGGAGAGTCATTGAAGAAACGTCAAGCTAATTAGCTTAGGTTCCATCTGTCATGACTTCCTAGCAGGGATTGAATTGAATCCTCGACTAGGGCTCCATTGGGACCTGAAAATGTTCCAGGTTGGTCGACTGGGGATGAACTCCTGGGTGGTAATGTATATCTCACTTGCTACTTTGTATAAGTTGAGTATCTCACTATAACAGTGACATCTCGTTCATGGCTCGACAATACAAGAGTTATGGTGAAGTATCCAATTCGATGCTGCTGGTTATATTCTTCCATGTTATATATGTGGTGGATTTCTTCCTCAACGAAGAATGGTATGTTTTCATGTTGCGGATCTGCTTCATTTTGTGTCACTAAAGTCCATAGGTATCTAGCAACAATTGACATTGCCCACGACCATTTTGGCTTCGCCCTAGCATGGGGTTCCGCGGTTTGGCTGCCCGTAGTATATACTTCGCAAGCCCAGTACCTATCCTCGCATCCCATGCGGCTCTCACCTTGCGCAGTTGTCATAATTCTTATTGCTGGCGTCTCCAGCTACGCACTATTCCGACTATCGAACTATCAGAAACATCATTTCCGGCAGACGCACGGAAACTGCCTAATAGATGGCAGTAAGGCCCAAATGATTCGAGCCCAATATTCCACAACGGATGGCACAAATCATGAGTCACCTTTACTTTGTTCGGGTATGTAATCACTTTCGATACATGCATATGTAGCTGAAAGAGGCCCTCTTCTAGGCTTCTGGGGAATTGTGCGCCACCCCAACTATGTTGGGGACATCCTCTTCTCCTTCTGTACATGCGTTTGCTGTGGTTGGACACATTTGCTTCCCTACATCTACTTTCTCTGGATGGCTACTATGCTGGTTCACCGGTGTTACAGGGACGAGAAGCGGTGCTCTGCCAAGTATGGACCCAGCTGGGATGCTTACCAGCGAAGAGTACGATGGAGGATGGTACCTGGTATATTCTGAGATTATACTGGGGCTAAGTCAGCAGAATAGTATTTTCAAGAACACACAGATTCACAGACTTATAACGCCATAATGTTTTCTGACTCCCACTGTTAAGACAATAACCCAGCAGGAATTGCCAGCCCTAAGCCACCTGGCTTACAAGCTCGGAAGGCCCCTCGCCATGATTACAGTTACCGGGATTTTGAAAGCATGATCGTGGAAGCAGTCAATGAGGGGACGGATACGACGCGGTCACGCAAACGCAAGAGAACTGAAATGAAGGAGCCGTTTGCTTCGGTACTAGTTCCTCAGAAGACCTGCTTATTTTCCACGTCGGACAGGGTGCTGCAGCCAACAGTAACTGCGCTCCGGTGGGCGCCTTGTATGGTCGGACCTTCTGTAGACAGTACTGGCCGAGAACCTAGATCATTCAAGAGAAACGAACGACTCACAGCATCCGCTGTAAATGAAGGCTGGGCATATCGGCAATTTGAAGTCGATAAGCTCTCTCGCCTCTGGTGGATAGTGGAGGGTGACAGAACAGGGTTTTGATTGGTTTAAAGTCTAGGCGCTAATATTATTGGTAGGCATCGGCAAGGCCCACTCATCATCTCAGAAACAGCCAATAATATCAGTATGTTGGTCACATTTCTCGACGTGGTTTTGTTGTGGAGACTGCATCTTCCGATCTTTTCTCGGTTTGTCGTGGAAGGTAAGAAGACACATGTCCACGTATACTATTTCGGGCTTTTCAAAGTTCATTTCCGGAAATTGTCAAGTATCTCGAAAATCGACATATTCTTTACCATGCACGTTAATTCCGAGTCACATCCAAGCTGGGATCGCACGTCACGGATATCTGGATGGCTTGCCAGGATTGCGATAAGTGTGGCTGCATCTTCACAAGGTGGAGAGAATTGACCTATTCTCGTATCGGAACCGGACTGGTGTGCTTCAGGAAAGGTTTCAGGCATGTTAGGACCGGGTGTTGATAGTCGCTCTGTTTCCAGGTCTTCTTTTGGACCTGACTTTAGTGGAGAATATTTAGCCGCGCGGGGACCACGCTCAACTAGCGGTATGACGGCCTTTTTATGGAGTTCTCAGGAGGGTAAACTCAACAGATATCAGAATGTGCTATTACTGATTCTTCGATCATTACTCCGTTTGGGAATATAGTGATCAAACTGCAGCTAAAGGAAGCACGAGGGAAAAGAAGAAACAAATGTTCGCGGATCACTCATTCCGGGTGTCGTATTTACGAAAGCTAGGGGTGATAGACGAGTGTTACATTGACGCAAATAGCAGATGCGAATGCTGAAACAAGATGAAGAAGCTTTCTGACGATGAAGCATCAAGGGAAGACAATGGAAGTGGAGAGAGGATAATAAGGTGGCTGTTGAGTTAGTGCTACGTTACCAGAACGTTACAATAGCTGAGGAAGTCAGTCTGTTTTTGACTTGCAACCTTCTGGACATCAACTGGCTTCCAGGAAATTTCCCATTGGGAGGCCAGGGCCTTCTCGTCATCCTCGCGGACGGACACCATTTTCCCCGATCTAAGAAGACCAACGTCCTTATCGAACATGACTTTTCGGAGATCACACGTGACATGCCCAAGCATAAGAAGGTTAACTACTGGCTCTAATTCCCGGAAGACGCGAATAGTACCAGGTGGAGTCTTCTGGACGAATATGACAAAAACCTGGATCTGAGGATAGTTGAACGTGTGATTACACCTAGTAAAGGTCAGCCAAACCACGCGATGATTTTGCTGGTATTCGTACATAGACATCGCCAAAACCCACAAAGCCCAAAGCCCACAGTGGGTTGGGCTTTGGGCCCGACTCTGGGCCCATTTTCAGGTTTTGGCGATGTCTACTCACAGTGAGTATCGCTCGTAGTGGTGCTATACGTACGTCGAGGCTCGTCCTCAAGTCTTAGTCGCAATCGTACCGTTGCTGTTAGGCCTTACACGGGCTCGGAATGTGCTAGATAGTAGCGCCTAGTTAAGCTATGCTTAGGATCTGTGTCAAGTGACAAGAGACTAAGTATACCTCTCCTAGTAGGGTGGGTTGTCTTAAGTACGAAACAAGTGTGAAGCTAGAACTGTAGGTTCCAAGTAACAATGTGTAATTGAACGCGAAGAACTAAATACATCTGTGGTAATGACCGTTCCTTATATATCTAATTCGTCGCATCGCTCGATGAGTCCGGGACTCATCGCCCGATGAGTCGGCACGTGATCCTTTCCTAGGATCCCTGATTTCCTGAGACCCTGAGCTCCTCAGGATCCTTCATATCGTAGGGTACTCATGGTTGTTAGTAACCATGGTCCATCGTAGGGTGTTGCTGATCCTAGGTAGACATCGCCAAAACCTGAAAATGGGCCCAGAGTCGGGCCCAAAGCCCAACCCACTATGGGCTTTGGGCTTTATATATATCTTAAGCCCAACCCACTATGGGCTTTGGGCTTTTTATGAGGGCCCATGGGGGCCCACAAAAAGCCCAACTTTACATGAAACTGGTCTTGGCGCTCATAAATCTGCTGAGTAATACAGGAAATGCATAAAAAGACTGTATATTTTGCTTTTTTACTAGAAATAGTAAATGTTTGTCTTGTTTGTATACTAGTGGGCCCCCAATGGGCCCCCAACAATGGGCCGAGCAACGGGCCCAAAACCCGACCCATTTGTGGGTTGGGTCGGGTTGGGCTTTGGGCTTTGTGGGTTTTGGCGATGTCTAGTCCTAGCTCACGCGCTCGGCTAGAGCAACGTATTAGACTATAAACATGGTCCCATACAGGAGGCTGCCTAGTGGCCTCCTCTATAGCATTAATATCTTCATGACGTTTTAGCAGCATGCGCTAGGGTGCAGATGAAGTGCCTCTTTTATCCGTGGATCTTAGGCCGGACTTAAGGGCATTGCTGCTGTCGGTATAGTTAAATGACATATTTAGCGTTAGCTTCTTCCCTTCTCGGAAACAATCATCCCACGCGAGGAGTTGTTTCTCCACGACAGACCAATCAACATCAGTATTAACACAGGAAAGGGTGAGATCCGGTTGATTACGATGATTCACCGATACAATGATCGTTGTCTCGTCTAGTTCAACACTCTTATGGTGAAAGTTCTTGCCTACAAGTTCGTTTGACTTAGGCTCCAAAAACAAACGCCAATAATACCGAGCCAAAACCAGGTCCTGTTCCGTGTTTTTTCTCACGGGTTTGTTATTCAGGGTGACCTTCCACACAATCGAATAATGGAGATATTTAGGTGGTAGTTCATCATATAAACTTCCTTCTTCCCACTCGTTTAATTGAAGTAGTGGAATCTGGCTCAGTCGTGAGGTTTGATGTTGCGAGAGAAAATCGTCATCTGGGCGATGAAGTAGAATCTATCAAAATCAACTGGCACGAACAAAAAAGATTCTCCAGCTGATCCTTCATTTCGATCAATTTCCGTTCAACCTTACCTAGACAGAGCGACCGCGAAGAACAGAAGGGGTGAACAGCCCGTGTTAGGATATAGATGAGATTGAAAATTGACGTGTTGGGTCGTACAGTGTTCTGTCAGCTTCGTCGAGTAGTGACAATGCCCTAGAGAGTGCAATGTAGTTGGAAGATCAGCAAAGCCGCGGTCGCCCTAACCAAGCCAGATCGGTTTCACTCCTTGACGTTTGTGTTGTTTGCATGTGTGGGTCTTTGACATTCCACGGTATTCTATTAACATGATCCACCGCTATTCCCGATTCAGGGTAAATGTCAGCATCTAATCTTGAGGGCCCTCACAAACTTGCGTCTTCTTCCCAACAAATTTAGAAAGAATAGGATAATATGACGACAAGTATGTATCAGTGCCATGACAATGTAAAAGTGTTGATTTGCACAGCGCTTTCAAGGGTTTGCTGTCAAATTATGCCTGCAGTCAGTAAATTGAGGGCCGTAACTACCGGTGGATTTTAAAAGCCAATTCCACAGAGAGGAACCTGGTCACGTGCATCACCCAGTACTCGAGTTGACCCAAATCGAAACACAATTTAAATGTATTGTACTTTAAACTTGGAACCGTAACTCTAAATTTAAATACCTGTTAATACCTTGAGCAGTCGACTTTGTATTGATGCCCGTTAAATAAATATTCACCCTAGTGCCTTGGCAGTGGGGCCTAAGAAAATAAAAGATGTCTTTAGGGAGGAAGCTGATTTCGCTATTGACTGTATTATGTATGATAGATTGACGCCAAATTGGTATTGGGCGGTCAATGTAAGATCTACTAGGATCTTAGAAGTGGGTTGTGAAAAAAGGAAAGCAGTCATTAGGGAGGAAGTAGATTTCGCTACACGACTGCCCGGCATCAATTTCATCAGTAAAAGCTAATAAATGACAAGAAAGATCAGATGGTCATGATTGCTTCCTAATTCTTGATTGTCCTGCTTAGCTTAAATCTTCGAACTAGCCGCATGATTTTCGGAGACTTCAGTGCTCTAGATCGCTAAAATAGATACAAGGCGGCGTTTGTATTATAGGATGATCAAGATCGGCAGTTCAGACGTTCACCGGTGTGGATTGGATTTCTCAACACGGTGGGTGCATGAACCATGTATTAGCTGTTATCTTATCTGAATGATAAACCCGAACAAAAATTATATGAAACCTCGCTCGACCCGATAAAATGTGATGGGCAATTGCCATCCAATATGAGTGAGGAGATTGCGTTAGTCCGCGAGATTGGGCGGCAGCGGGCTTTGAATCGATTTTTCAGAACATGTTATTCAATCCTACTTGAGTTGCGTCATAGGGTTGCCGACATATCCGATGAAATACTTCTTTTCCTCCAAACAGAGAGACGGGCTTCTCCTGAAAGACTTGTTACAGTTCAGGAAATAGCCAATCAACTGCGGGATGCTGTGTTGGATGCCATGGAGGTAGAATCACAGGCCCGCTTGGCCCTGGAAGAATTACACTTCTCAGAAAGCCCAATATCCCCGCCATTCGACCACGGTCCAGACTCTAGAAATTAGATTTGGACGATAAAGGAGTTTCTATTGGCTTCTAGTCGCTTAGCGGAGCATGCTCGCGTGATAACCACGACCAGGGTTCAAATTAATCCTGATCCCCTGCCGGGGATTCATGCCCCATAGCTTGTCGCTGTGCATTGGTGTCAAAAATGGAAGTCAGGAAGCAGCTTCCGAGTTTCTGTGCCATTCTTTGACAGGACTTTATCCCTTGGGTTTTGTTCTTCATAGAGAAAAAAAAGAAAAAAGCAAGGCTATGGGTTAAATTTAGCCCCCACCTTTTTATATGCATACGGCGCTTGGTCAACAAGATCGACCGCCTATCATTACTACTATAAGATGGCCCCCAAAATATGCACTTCTAGCACATGCCTATCACCTCCGCCCTATCCCGTGATTGGATAGTAGGCATGCATCAAAGACTACGGCTCGGAGAGAACCAAATGTGTTTATAACCACGGATTCCGTAGCCGTTGCCCGGTTTGAATCCATTCCACTGAAACTCACATCATGCAAGATCACCGCCAGCAACAGCTCTTTCCGAACGACCGTGAGGAACAAGAGCTGCTTAACATACTGAACCGGCTTACTCGAAAGATGGGCGGGAAGTCGAAAATGGTAGGCAAACTCCTGTTGCACGAAATTGTCAAGCGCTGACCGATTAGATTCAATTTTCAAATGATCATAGACACTGCATTGATGCCATCTCCAAGCAAAGCTCGAATACGCGTACAGTGCTCCAATGTGTCGATAAGGCTCTAGAGCGCTTGCAACTTACTCCCGAGATCCGCAAATCGCTCAGGGTTTTTCAAATCAAGTCTCCCCTAGTGGAAGAGCAGGTTGCTAAGGAGGCATACCTAGCTCTCAATCCTGAACCTGAACTTGCCCCTTTTTCAGACGATGAGATGGACAAATCTTCGTCCAACGAATGGACACTACATGACGATATCCTCAATACAATTCTTAGCGAAGATGAACTCCCGGTTGATAGGACAGCGTACCTGGGTCAGAATACGTCAATGTTGGAGAATTCAACAGAAAAATCTTTTTTCCACCTGCCGGCTCAGTCTGTTCAACGGAGACTCAGATGCATAATATGGACCAGGGTGAACCCTTAGGCCCAATATCAGACCATGACCCCTCATCAATGGACATTTACGACATTGACGATTCCTTCTGGAACGAAGAGGACTTGAACTATTTAATGGACATAGATTCCCACTGGCAAGGTCCCTGATGTTTGAACGAGTCTTTGTTAATATAATTATCTTGGACAGACAAAATGGAACCAGATGCATGGCTGGAATATTTGGATGAGATCACTGCTCTAGAATCTACAAATGGTCTATCAGAATGGGAAATCGAGTGTGTAGCTCCCTCATCAGACTTTCTAACTAGGTTTGTTCCACCTTCGTATACCAATACCGTTACACTAATAGTGAAGAAAAGCGAGATAGAGATAAACACCCAGAGGTCGGGCTAATTGCTACCGATTGCATTCTTTCAAATTTAACCTTTAACAGAGAAGAGCGCGAGAAGTGTATCGGTTCTCCGGTTCTGCTACCCACATTGGAAACCCCTTGTTGTCCTTTGAATAAAAAAATCGAAAGGTAAGACTATAATTACGGAGACCTATGATTTACGCATAGTCCGATTAACGAAAACCAGTCTGGAACGGGATATCGGGTTTGTTTCCGTGATATCGATCCATGTTCGGTGCTGACAGAACTAGTGTGCTAAAGGAAACGTCCAAACGGTATGTTTAATTCATTTTGATCCTACATTCAACTGTTCGTTCATCTAATATTTTCTCGCACCAGGCATGATATAGACTTACGGTATGAAAGCCTCAGAAGCAAATTTCGCGGCAGCTAACATCTAAAGCTTTTCAGTCAAGTTAAAGAAGAAATATCTCGAAATTTGGAATATATAGAGAGCTTAACAAAATGGTCTAAGGAGTTGTTTACAAAGGTTAATGGGGTATTTGCAACGCGCCCGAAGGCTCCACACCCGAATTAAAGGGTGCAAAACATAGTACAAATAACGTTTTGTGATTGATATGATACTAAAGAGAGTCGTATGACAAATGAGTTGTTCACCCAAGAATGCTTTCAGCTCAAAATAGGGACCAGCTTCAAAATACGGCAAGAGAGGTCGTGCTGGGAAATATTCTTCTACATATCATTATTTCTATCTTTGAGATTTAAATTATAAATTGAGAGCTACGGCTTGAAATACGATGAGATCAGTTTTTTATATTTCAAAACCGAATTTGAATGGATGAATGGACGGATGTCATTTATCCTAATAATCGATCCACATTGTGACGTACGTTTTACCTTCGATCGCAAGAGGCGGGCGTTTGTCCCGGGTCTCTGCCAAACCCTCCCTACAGACTGCCTTTATTTCTCGCGACCCACTGCCAGGGCCTTAACGTAGATCGTTGTTGACTGGACCGCCGTAAATATGCTCCCCATCGAGTACCGTAATTATCAACGTTTACCGCGCAACGTTTGAAGTACCAGGCGGAAGATTACAGTGGGGATACAGTATTATAGATGGCGCATTTTACTCCGTCCCTCAACTTACTGTTGCAAATCAAGATCTGAGCTAAGGCTTTGTCAGTGGGTCTTAAGAAAAGAAAAGCAGTGGTTGGGAAGGAAGCTGTTTTCGCTACTGACTGTAACTCCAAGTGTCCCAAAACGCCAAAAGTAGGGGTATGTGTCGTTAGTTAACCAAACTGATTAGTCACGCGGTGTAAATTTGGTAACTATCCTGTTCGTGTTACAATTTTTAGTGGCTAATATGCCCGTCCTTAGGAATGCTCAGTCTCCCCCACCACCGTTTTTCTACATCTTACGTAATATATGAACGTACAAATAACGTAACCGGTAAGCGAGTCGGCCATGTAAGCCAGCCGGCCACCCCAAAACACATAGTTAATATGATAGATTACAGCCTTATATCTCAACAACCAGAGCTTTGGCTGACTTCTCCTCATGACATGATATTCTCTTTTTCATTTGAAGTATACTCCTGAAATTTGAATAGTCTCCTTATCGGGTCAAGTCAATTGTATAGATTTGAAGATTAAATTACCAAATCGTGGTATATTTTATGGTAACGTTGTAAAATTCTACAAAAAACTTAACAAGACTTCTATGTCGAATTATTATCATCCTAAAGCAATAGTTCCGAGAGTTTGGTATAGTCTAAAAGCGTTGTTGTTGAGATACAAGGCTGTAATCTATCATATTAACTATGTGTTTTGGGGTGGCTGGCTGGCTTACATGGCCGACTCGCTTACCGGTTACGTTAGCTAATGGTGTAGTATTATAAGCAGCTGGCTATATTCATGTCGATGTGCATTCCGTCTTGGCTCTCATATGGTCTAATAGATGCTTGTCACTAGCAATTTGACTACAGGAAGTGAACGATTGCTGTAAACATTTTTGGTCAATTAATAAAATATACCCTTTTTTTAGCTAAGTCTGTAAGCATACACACTAACGGGCGGTTCGCGTTCAACGTTTGGATTATTAGGAGCCGAATGCATTAATGCAATAAAGTCTGTGATTATAGCTTGCAACTACAATTTAAAAGAGACATCCTTATTCATCAGATCTAAGGGAGACCTACTTCACAGAAGTCAAAGTTTCCGCCTCTCCCTCCAATTTTATCACTTAAGCCCGAGAGCCGTTCATAAAATCAGTCCGAATGCCGCGCCGGAGCAAAACATATTCTACTTCAGGTCGCGGTACAAAACCTCAACCCCCCTGCCGCGATGGAAAATACGAATGATCTATGATATGATTGTCAGCAATAGACTGACTTTGGCGGATATGGCCGAGGCAGCTCAATGCAAGAAAGAGGCAATAATCGAAATTCAGAAACTTTTGCAAGTTTTGGAAGTTCGAGAGAGTGACATTCATCTCCCACCATACCCAGCAGTAAACATCAGTACTGTCCTGGTAGATCCCTCCACGCCTCCATCAGTGTCAATTTCTGCGACATCGACGGGGTTGAATGTCTTCGTGACGAACAATGTCATGTTTTCTGCTTTTATGGCCGGGACAGCAGGAAGCCTATAATGAATGTGACTTTATGCATTACTTTGGCAAGTTTTGGTTGACTTCATGCTAAGACGGTTCCTGGTCAATGCATAAATCTAAATTCTGCTTACTTGAGTCCACCGTTTTGTTTAGAGCTAGCAAGAGTCTGTTTTGACGTAGTACCAAGCGTGGTAGATCAACGGTTTTCAGAAGAGTGAATGAATGTGCGGCTAGAATCCGACATGCCCTTTCACGAACCATAGGGTGTCCGTTAAAAATTTCTCAGGTTAGGATTAACTTATATCGATAATAAGTTTATCACAATATGCTGGTTCGATGATGAATAATAGGCGATCGTGTTGAGCTTACAATACGCGCGTCTCCGTTCATTGTCTGCGAACGACTTAGATAGATCCGCGTTCTTAAAATTGGTGGGATGCTGCGCACTACTCCCGTGATGCTGAACGTTGATGAAGGCGGGGGGTGGTCAAAAATATCTTTATTGTTGTATTCCATCGTGTATATATCCCATTCACGGCAATGATCAGCCGACATCTCTCTTACTTCCAATATGTGATTGATAATTTGTTTCGGAATTTAGATAAAACCGGTTAAGATTGGCAATGATACAAGCCTATCATTCTTTAGGACTTTTCAACATCACTTTTTGTGAGCGATATATCTATGAGATAAAGATAAGACAGGTGATATTTTCGCCGCTCTATAATGATATAGATTATGACCATCTAGCCCGCAGCAATGTCTAAGAAATGGTATTCACCGAAAATGAAAGATGTCTATGTAGGACAATTCTATCAATTCTCAAAAAGGGTAAATAAAGTGATTTGCAAACAAGTTGAACATATCTCCACGTTTAACGGAGACCCTTGTCAGATTCCTAATGAGATAAATGATATTTCACTACCACTATATACCAATTTGCCTTGGCCCACTGATACACACCCGAGACTGCTGACGTTACCTAGTATAAGAATGCAAATTCCGTGCGGTTGTTTCCCTAGCGAAGCCCAGTAGAACGATCCACAAGGACACCCTGTGAAGTAATTATTATGAAATCATCGTGATCATCTGATTTCCAGACGTTCAGGGATTCCTGTTTTATATAACGGCCCGCCACTGGGTTGGGGATATGTAATGATGACTGATAGTGAATGTTACACTAATCAAATCGTGTAAAGAATAAGGGTTTTCCAAAAAGCAATGTGTATGTCCTCTATAATGCCATCAATGTTTAGTAGAGGCCCCGCTTCCCACACATAGAGATAGAGATTGTTGAACCGAATCAGGACTTAGTGGATCCATTTAGATGTTTGACATCTTGAACGGAGATCCCTGTCGGTTACACCCTGGGATATTGACTATCGACACTAGTGATGTACATCTACCTGCCCCGCTCGCGAAACAGTCAACGGGCACCCCGGTCGGTTACATCACGGCATATTGACTATCACTCGTAGTGATATAGATCGGCTCTACTTGTAGGAAGTTCAACGAGGACCCCTGTTGGCTCTTTAGGATGTTGAAATCTACCTCTAACCGTATTTATGTGGATCTACCCTGCTTGTAGGACGTTCTGCAGGAACGCCCGTCTATTGCGTTGCGGGACTTAAATTAGTAATAGAATTCATCAGAATATCACATGTCCTATATCTTTATTGTTAGGAGGTGAACATCGCACCTCTCCTACGACGTAAATAATAGTAATCTTTGTTCAAGGCTAAAAGCGGGGTTGTTCTATACCCTACGATTGGCGGTCAATATCCCGTGATATGACCAACAGGGGTTCACGTCGAACGTCTAATAAGTGGGGTTGATCTATATCCTACAATTGGTGGTCAACATCCCGTAATATAACCGATCGGGGTTTGCGTTGAACGTCTGAAAAGCGGGGTTGATCTACATCCTACGATTGGTGGTCAACTTCCCGTGATATGACCAATAGGGGTTCACGTTAACCATCTGATCAGCGGGGTTGATCTACATCCTACGATTAGTGGTTAATATGATATGACATAGCTAACAGGGGTTTGCGTTGAACGTCTGAAAAGCGGGGTTGATCTACATCCTACAATTGGTGGTCAACATCCCGTAATATAATCGATCGGGGTTTGCGTTGAACGTCTGAAAAGCGGGGTTGATCTACATCCTACGATTGGTGGTCAACTCCCCGTGATATGACCGATCGGGGTTTGCGTTGAACATCTGAAAAGCGGGGTTGGTCTACATCCTACGATTGGTGGTCAACTTCCCGTGATATGACCAATAGGGGTTCACGTTAACCATCTGATCAGCGGGGTTGATCTACATCCTACGATTAGTGGTCAACATCCCGTAATATAATCGATCGGGGTTTGCGTTGAACATCTGAAAAGCAGGATTGATCTACATCCTACGACTAGTGGTTAATATGATATGATATAGCTAACAGGAGTTTGCGTTGAACGTCTGAAAAGCGGGGTTGATCTACATCCTACGATTGATGGTCAACTTCCCGTGATATGACCGATCGGGGTTTGCGTTGAACATCTGAAAAGCGGGGTTGATCTACATCCTACGACTAGTGGTTAATATGATATGATATAGCTAACAGGGGTTTGCGTTGAACGTCTGAAAAGCGGGGTTGATCTACATCCTACGATTGATGGTCAACTTCCCGTGATATGACCGATCGGGGTTCGCGTTGAACGTCCTATAAGCGGGGTGATGTACATCACTGCGATTGGTGGTAAACCGACCCCTCACGTCGTCTAACTAATAGATATGTCTATTCTATGCTCCTAACTCGTTATAATTGCCAAGAGTCTCTGTCAACATTGCGGCAAAGGTGGGTCCACAAAAGAATCCCATTCATTCTGAAATGGAAATGATGTGCTCACAGATCAGAGAGTGGATCCAAGCCGCTCGTTAGATTGTTGAACCTACCTTTTCTTCCCATGATAATAGACTGATGTAATTCATCTCTTAGGACGATAAGCAGGCCCCTTGTTAATTCCAAATTTTAGCTACCACTAACAATGGTATGATCTAAATCTACATACTTGGTTTCAATGTGCAATAGTGGAGAGGATAGGATCCATCCCACAGCCTTCACGATGGACCCTCATCATTTCGTTTATAGAAGAAGGGAAATTTTTCGTACCTATTCTGTTAACCCCGACATGCCGCTAGTGAAATAGAAGCTACATCAATTATGCGAATCTACGTTTGTGAAACTAATGTTGAATGAGGTTTCGATTAACGGAACGTATTTAAATTTAATTACGTGATAGGTGCGATGTTTACCACTAATGATAACTTGTATACACTTGAATCACGGAACCTTTCAATCCAGGAATTTGCCATTCTACATGATTTGAAAATTACTAATAATAATGCAGGTCAACGCTGGACCGGGTACCGCTCAAGAGAAACTCTAGTTTACTCTAAGATAGGATAACCGAGGGACTTTGATGAGTAAATTTATCTTCCTCAGAGCATGAGAGCTTCGTAACGCTGAAAATGTCAGCATTCATGATTATTAAGAATGAATCGCACATACGATTCGGGTTACCGGCGACTTCCAGGCAGAATTGGCAGCGATAAAGGGCTCAGCGTGCTTGACAATGATCTGTGTTGTCGGCGGAGTGATTGGGAGAGCAGACACGAGCTTTCCAAGGTAAACATAATTCACGTAGCCATCAGGGAGAGGAGTGAGCACAGCGCAAGCGTAAGAAATAGACTTTAAGCTGGAAAGGAGTTCGATCGCGATTTGAGAACTGGTATGCATCCTAGCATGAGACTGTGTCGCGTTCTATAACAGGGAGTATTCAAGGTTGCCTAACGATTAGTTGTTATGGAGACCTAGCGACCAGACGCAGGCGGTGACGTCAGCCATGACCCCGTGACCTGACCCTGGAGCTGGGAAGGGAAAAGCTGCCTTGATATCACGCTCTTATTCTTAGAAATCCTTCATTAAAAGGACAATTATTCTCTTATGCAATACTAGGTTTCGCTTTTTTGAGAGCCCAGCTGTTTACCTTTTGCGTCTGTATCCAATATGCAGTGGTCATATTTAACACAGGTTCAGCGACTACTTATTCAATGTGGAAAGTAATACGAGAGCGATGAAAGGCTAGCTTATGAGTGATGCTCATACATTACGGAATGTCTCATCGTGTGATTCTCCGTTACAGGACAGTCAGTAATATAAAATCAGTTTGAACCATATTAGAGTTTCAAAATAGATATTGGGAAGTAATAATAGAAAACATAGTCCAGCTGGCGTCAGTACGAGCGAGCAAAATTCCATCTTGGCAATATGCAGGTAAAATCTGGTACCTGGTCACAATGAAAGTTGGCTACCCGCAATGGTGCCGTGTAGATCCCAAGTAACTTATCTCTGTATTGGATTAACCCACTCTGGAGAATTATGGGTCCAGTCTGACTGCAGAATAACAGACTTCGGAACGGATCAAATGAAGATCCGGACTCATGTCTTTGAGGAAATGACTGCCTGGAATATTAGTCACATGACGCTATCTAGTCGAGGTTCCAGCCCGTCGAGCAAATCTCCTTCTCGTTGATTCCGCGAGACCCAAGTCATCATGTCGCTTCGAAGACCTCATCGGAAATCTCGTAATGGCTGCACTGAATGTAAGAGACGCAGAGTGAAGGTATTCAGCCTTGGCCCCTTGTCCTTGCGTCGCTACACAAGCTCATTCATCTCTCCCTGCAGTGCAATGAGCAGCAACCTTGTCACAACTGTTTAAAGTATGAGAGTAACTGCGTCTTTGTGACGGACCTGAAGCAGCAACGACGGATCCCAGTTCGCCCAAAGTCATCGATGTCCAAAGCAGGTCAAAGCCCCTCCACTTCAGGGATTGGCGCGGTTGTATCACTTTCAGGACCCCCTCTATGTGATTTGGCTAGAACTGCAGGCTTTGAACCTCGGGACCTTGAGCTCATGCATCACTTCAGCACGTCAGTCGCCAAGACGCTCTCTTATCGCAATGACATCCAGGATGTTTGGGCTATCTCACTTCCCAAGGAGGCTTATTCATGTGACTACCTGATGCATGGTCTGCTCGCAATTTCCTCTTTACATTTGAGTTTCCTGAGCTGCAATTTATCGGAACGTGAGAAACGGGACGAGTACGCAGACTTGTCCACATATCATCTGCACAGATCTCTTGCTCGCTTTAGGGAGAGGCTCGCTAGCATATCAACAGAAAATTGTGTGCCTTTGTTTGGACTTTCCTCTCTAATAGTTATCAATGTCTGCGCGCAGTCTGCCTTGGAAATTGGCTCACAACCAGGTCGGGGGCACTTGGCATCCCACATTGAAATGCTAATGAAAATTTTCAACATGTGCCGAGGGGTAGAGTCTATTCTCGCACCATACCATAGCGAAATTCATCAGAGCTCCTTAAGCTCCTTACTTCACGATGATTACCGCCTCGTGGGTGATCTATCAAGGTACCATTATCACAGCATGTGCACAAACAAGTCTGATCTGGCTCCAAGCTAACGCATACCGAAGCCACCACAATATCGATCGAACCTTGGCCGAAGAACCGCCATTTGCTGACTTGATAAATCTCATCCAAAATCAAGAGAGAGGATCCCAGGAACAAATCGAGTACCTGGATGCGTTGACAAAGCTGAGGACGGCATTTCGCTTTATGCGTACCGCGAGCCAACCATTGGAGCCTGGGGCGGCTTTTGTGTGGCCTATTTTGCTGCAGCGGGGTTCCATTCGCCTCTTCATGCACCTGACACCTCTCTCATTGGTGCTTCTAGCATACTATTGTATAATTTTGCAATACCTCGATGGCTATTGGTTTTTGCATGGTTGGCACAAAGCACTCCTCACTGAAATTACAGAGTCCTTACCTTCAGATCTCAAGACATGGGTTATTTGGCCAAGGGCGGTATGTGGCTTAAATGATGTGAGTGAAAATTCAGGAATGCTGGGCAATTGAAACTCTGGGGGTCAATAGGTTGTCTCTGGAAACAGTCTATATAAAATAAATTTGGATCCAGAAATTAAAAGCAGAGACAAGCCTAGTCAATGGCACAGAATGTACACAGATCCCTCAACCTTCTACCTCCCTGAGCGCTTCTCTTAACGCTTTACTTCGCGCTACTCTTCTCAGAATTCTTGACCCACTGGATCATTTTTAAGGTCTTCACTGTGTCCGCTAGAGAGATCTCAAAGCCTCCATCGACCCGCGACCAGCTTTATGGGTCAAGGACAATATCACGGACGGGTGAAGCACATTCATCGCCACCATCGCAAAGAACATCAATGTCGCGTCAAAAACATACATGAATGCTTCGTGGCTGATAAGATAGCCATCATTTCCTTGTGCATACTCGATGAGACGAAAGACCGATCGTATTAAAATCAGAATGCTGGCAATGTACAGTCCCCAAAGAACGGACTCCCAGCTGCGGACGATACACAGGCCGTGGTCTTGTCTCGCTTCAACCGCCTGCTGCGTCGGACCTGAGCGGATGCGGACATGGAAAATAACCGATGTGAGCACGAAAAATGTGAAGAATACCAGTTGAACACATAGACCACCTATCGTAATATGTTCTCCGGATTTCATTGCATCGATCGTACCGCTCGCCATGATTCCTCCTCCTATAAACACCTTTTTGTTAGCATGTTATATTGGGAACAGTCTTAACCATGCTAGTGTGGGACATACCTGCTGCCTGCATCACAAATGCTATCACATCACCCGTGACGAAAATGCCAGTCATCCATTTTAATGGTACCATGCTGTAACTTTCGGCACGAAGATGCACAATCAGTCTCCCAAGAACCATATAGATAGATGCAGCGTATAACGGGGGGGCCAATAGAATGAGGATTGTTTGAATTGAATAGATGGGCACGCTCTCGGTGTTCGCATGTGACAAAGCCCGTGCTATATATCCAATTATCTGGACTATCAGGGCATTATAGTTAGCTTGATACACTCCTTACTAGTCACCAATAACGAATCCCTTGTTCTTTGAAATACTGACATATTCCTCCCAGGATGAATGCAATGAAGTACCAAGAGCGGCTTCTGATAAGCTGCCAAAGATGGAAGACAGTCGTTATGATAAACAAGGCGATGAAGATCGCAGCGGCCGCGACAGAAGGTGTATATCGGTAAAGTTTAAAATCGATGTGTTGGCTAGAGTCGCTCATGGTGGATTTCGGAATTGGTCCACAGGGACAAAGGATATCCTAGTGAGAATAGTGGCGAAGAGGTACGAAGACTTGAAGAAGTATGAGTTTGGACTGAAGCTGGGAGTGTGCTGAGGGTGACTTTACTTAAATAGCAAAATATTTTCAAGACATGGGCATTGAACCCCGTGGGTACTAGAATCAATGACCTTCTGCTCGAGTGGGCTGTGCAAAGCGCGAGTGGATGGAATCTGCTGTATAGTAGGGGCCATACTCGGTCTATTCGGGCTTAGTGTACGACGATACGAGAGCCAATCACAGCCTGGTGGTGGGGCCATAGACTGTCAACCTATCAACCTCGCAGGTTTCCCAGGGTTACCTCTTTTCAATCGATCCCTGCACATATCAACGATATTTTTGTAACCTGGTATTTCAATCAGTTCTTGCTATGAGCTATCAGAGACTGGCTCAGGGGTAGGCTAACCGTATGGGATATGGCTCATGCAAAACAGAGTTCAACAATAGAATTGAAGAATGAAGATAAGGTAAAACTGATACCGAGCGCGTCTTTACATCATTAGTTTCGAAAATCCTCAGAGCTTGGATAATATCGATCTTAAGTCGGTCGCAGGCTCTACAGGGTTTTAGTGCGATGGCATTAAGGGTGGGAGGTAACATAGCACGCGCCAGGAGAAGTATTTAACATTATCGAATTCATGAAAACAGTTCATGCTCCTCCAGGTTGCTTTTACATTTAACGCGATGTTTCTTCAAAGATTCGTCGATAGACAGACTTCGGCACATCCGACAGACTCATTTGTGTCATTGATTCAGAGTGGTGTGGTTGTTCTTGAGAGACCACGGACCGTATGCTCCATATACTGAGGTCGCTGGGAAGAGAATATCACAAATCCAAGTCTTCAATAGTTAGGCCGGCGTGCCTGAACGGCCTCTAGCATTGCTTTCCTTTGCCACAATCTTGTCATTGCACCATTCGAGAAAGCAGCCAAACCCTTGATCAGGATTTTCTGCAAGATAGGTCCAATGACTTATAATAAAGCCCTTGAGCCCTTCTATAAATGCGTTTTAATTTCCACAAACTTCTATCTTCAAGCCTGAGTGTCGAAAATGACCTCTAGCACTCTCTTTCTTTACACCGCCTGTGTCAATACACCATGCGAGGAATGTATCAAAACCTTGATCGGGATCCACTTCGTAGTAACTCCAGTTACGTTTGATAAAGCTTTTCAGCTCAGCAAAAAACTCCTCGATTAGATTCAAGTCCGGTGAGTAAGGCGGCAGGTACGCTAATTTCACCCCAGCGTCCGTACACATCTGCGCAACCCGTTCTGAATGATGAAATGACGCATTGTCCATGACCACAACCGATTTAGGCTCAGGCCATCGTCCACAGTGCTCAAGTAGCTGAGCCAAAAAGTCTTCGAACACAACGGCGTCGGTTGAACCGCGGAATACACGTGAGAGAACGATCCCATCCTGAGAGTACGCGGGTAGTATCTGATATCGTCGGTCGCGATGGAACTACGATACTTACAAGGGGGCCACGCCAAGTGGTGACCAGCCGGTGCGCCTGAACCCGGCCCTCTTATCGCATCCAGATTCATCAACGTAAACTAGATGGTACGATTGAAAATCCGACAAATTATAGAGATAAAGTTCTCGTAGGTCGGCATTACGATCCTTTGTATGCTGCCGGGCCGTCTTTTTAGACCAACCCTTAGCAACAAGGGCTTTCTTAATGCTAGAGGTTATGATCATTATATGAAACTCATCCCAAAGAAAGACAGCCATCTCATCGAGGTATAGGCCCGGTTTTTTCGACAGGTGGTCGCAGAGTGCGTCGATCATAAGCGGTGTTACGGTTGGTTTCCGACCTATGCGAGTTAGGGGTGCGTGGACGCTGCCGAACTGCCGCAAGTTTCTGCGAATATTTATGATGGTGACCTTGCTGCATTCGGCTTCATTAGCCATTTGAGTTGTAGTTAGCGACTGGCTCTCTATCATATCGCGGATAAGAAGTAGCTTTGAGGGGAGAAGTCTTAGGGCCATGTTGCCAGCTTAACGTATAGTAGCGCTTGAGCGTTGTGCATAAAGGAAGGTCCTGGTTGCTGGGAGAGAAGAGGTAGAGTGGTATCATACGTATAGGAGTTTCGTGTAATTTATATCAAGGGAGATCCCGGCGCGTTATATAAAATACAGGTTCTATTTTGAGACCTAGGGGATCGACATAGTTACTATATCTGGATTAGCATGTTTCAACCTAGGGTTCGGGAATGAAGGTCTAAGAGTGTAGAGGTAAATCTGATTTCGAATACTACTGTATTAGAGATCAAGAGTTCGCTCCTAATTATGTGGACTTACTATACCTATAACAAACCAAATTCTTACTGTGTGGCCTTCTTTGGCCCCTATTCTTATGTCTTGAATAAGACATCTCAACGGGGTGAATCCATATGGTGGTAGGCATCTTCAGAGTTTGGCTCTGTTAGTAGGTGTAGGTATAGGTATTTCATTTACCAGGAGTGCCAAACTTGGGGTGTATGATTTAGAAACTGCGTTGAACACCCCATTGACCAGTCTTATATTTTGAAGAAATGAGGTAGTTCAACGTTTGATTGAGGAAAATGCATCCACTTATCTGAAATATCTGTAAATTATACACGGTGGGCAATCATGTTGAACATCTCCTTGGGCGAGTGGGAATGGAATTCCATTCTCGTAGTCAGCTACGAGGATTATTATTGGAAATTTGGCTTGGGCATCAATTCTACTCAGTTGTGTATTCAGTCTAACTGAAGGCAGTCTGAAGGGAGAGATATCGTAGTTTATACTTTAGCGTGAGGGTATTATGAATATGGAAGGAAGTAGATAAATAGAATATTGGAAAACGACTAACCTTAGTCAAATACCTCTCTTCACGAAATATCTGCATAATAGGCTTAACAGCCACCAAAAGACTACTTTTCGTAGGCAGACTTGCCCCTTGTCGCGCTTTATCAAGCAGGTTTCCAGCTCTGACTGGGATTATTGGTATTTCATAATGGCCGATCGGCCACATTCAAGTCTGTATAGCCGGTCCACTGGATCTGTGGAACTGCAGTTGGTGCCTGTTACCCATAAGCGAAACCGCTCAACCGTTACTTCAATTCCTGATCAACCCTTTGTCACTACTATCGACCATGAGATTCGAGACACGCTAGGGCATAGCTCCGCCATAGACGCTTCTGCTAGTCGTTTGCAGATTCTCAAAAGCACTCGCGATAGTCATTTACCCGCAGAGGAACGGATTAAGATTCGCAACTGGGAACTTAGTTGTATACGTCGGGAGAATGAATTTTACAAAACCTGCACACAAGTCTGTCGTGACTTAGAACGCGATTTGCGCTACATTTCGCAGGAGCTTGAATCAGAATACCAGACGAGGCTACTACAGCACTACTTCGAGCCGGAAGAGCCCATACCAAATGATGAGTTCTTGAATAAAGCCTGCGAGAGAATCGATGCATTACTTGTCAACGCAGTGGTCCAAGAAAGAACTGCGGCTGGAAAGTGGAAGGCATATTGGGAGAAACCTTGGGTCTAGATATATGACCGTTGAACATTTTGCATCCATTGAATTTATCATGTTTTTGCGTGCGACCTATTTTTTTGACTTAATTCCAACGTGGACTCATTTTGATTTAATCAACGTTTCTTATATAAATCATAATATGAGCTCAATCAGCGAGAGCTAAACAATAATCAGCTGCCGCATCTATGTCAAAAACCAATGCCAAAAGATCTAGCAATGAAAATGAAAAAAGAGGGCAGGAAAAAATAAGGAAACGTCGTCACAATCTCTTCAGGAGGCTCAAAGAATTCAATGATAGATACAACATCGAAATCTGGATGACTATGCGCATGCCAAGTGGGTGGATGTACACATTTAACACTAGTGACGAGCCTATGCCGACCGAGGACGATCTGGTATATTAAATATGACTACTATCCAATCCTATAAGATATATTAATTTATGACAGATAAACCATGACATGCCGGTGATCCGTAAGAGGCCGGCCGACTACGAAGTCGAGGAACATCCCAATATCTCAGTGCCCAGTCCCCCAGTCTTTAACTTGCGTCCACCGGTCTATAAAAGTTCACCAGAAATTCCGAACGACCATGTTTCTTGTAATACAAATCTGGAACGCAGGCCTGTGGAACGCGATTAAAATTCAAGTGCTATTGGGGGTAATGTAATAATCGTCATACATCGCGCCACAAATATATTGAGTCTATCGTAATTCTGGAACGGGGACAGTGTCACCTGAAACCTGGCTCACATTTCAAAGAGATTGATTGGATTTGAGTTCCATGATGCCAAGACCATACCACTTTATTTAAACTTATAGGAGGTATAGTAATCTGGGGTTTGGGGCTCAGCATTGAGGCAAAGGACAATCATTGGGAGTGTGGCGTAGCTAGGTACAGTTTAGTGTCCTAATTTACTTAAGAATATTAGATTTGTTGTTCTCGAAGGATCGCTAAGCTGAGCCATTTCCCGTTTGAGTTTAAATCAGGCTTCGAAACATTCTTTGCGTGAGGGATACTGATCTGAAGTGAAAATAATAGTGCATATGCAGTAGTCAAGAGATTTTCACTGGGACTGGGTTGTTATGGGTGGAGCAGTGGCATTCCTCTATTAGGATGGAGAAAGCTCCTTTGACTGAAGATATATATAGTACAGTACATGCATTATACCTAGTCCCTTTCGAAACACATATCTAATCTATATCACGTTCGCTGGAATTGAAGCTACCATTAGTTACCGATTCATGATTTTCTCTTACACAAATTCTGTTTCTTACGGCGACGTCTGGAGCCCCTGACCACGTCTGGTAATAGCTATGTTAAAGTCACCCAGATCGGCGAATAGAAAGTTCTCTCCGAGGGCTGGGATAACGAATTACGCAACATTACGGCTGCATAATTACCAAATTAGCTTATAATATGAATTTATAACTATGTTCTCGATTTTATGAAATGTAAGGCAGTCTTGACGGAGGAAGCTGATTTCGTTACTAACTGTATCATTCAAATAGCACACTGCTATTCTAATGTATATTTATAATTAATTTCCTCATATTTTACTAAGGAACTTGGTAGTACCCAATTTATAGCTACTTCACCCTGACCATTAAATCTATCTAAAACAAAATTACATGGCGTTGATAAGTTTACGCAAAGCCACAAATGTATTATATCAAGTGACCCAAGCGAACAATATTCTCATACTATCACTTAGCCAGCAATGACTATAGTAGGTAGATATCAGATTCATTCCAGTTTTCTATCACATCTTTCGTGATTCGAGAATACTCATACTGTAATATAAGATGTTCTGATGAACACGCACTGCCATAAAACATCTATGTTCTGAAATACGGCGAGTGGACATAACGCGACGAGCCGCCTCATCGAAATTAACTCCAAGATGTCCACACGAACGACTATGTTAACTTCTAATCAGGATAGCCTATTATTCTACACCTTGGCTAATGTTTTCCCCTAAAATCACAATCTCATCGATGCTTCTAAGCTGAAACATTCTTCAATCCATTACAGTGGAATTCGAAATCAGTTTTAACTTTAAACTCTTACGATTTAATTCCTGGACCCTAAGTGGAGACACGTTAAACTATTCTTAGCTCTTCCCCTGTCAACCCATGTAGGGCTGTATTGTATTCACTTGTAACCACAATGAGTCATGGTTATAGTACAGTACCGTAATTTCTTGCAGAAACCGATGGAATCCATCGTGCAAACAGATCAAACAAAAAGAGAATTTTAACGATCTGGCAAGATCTTCTTCACCCTCATACAGTCTTGGTCTATTTGTGACGCGCAGCCTTCGCCCACACTATTTTACATCCAAAAGAAGGCTGTAGTGACGCCATAGAGAACTTATCCTATTACGCAACTTCTATTATCCACAGCGATTCTCATTCGTTACCAAATCCGAAAAATATCCGGTACTCGGGGAAGCTGACATGGGCCCTCCAGGACTGCCATCGTACTGTAGAGATGACACAGAGCCCATATCATGACGATTTCATCACCCAGCCCGAAGAGCCTACAACATGGGAAAACAACACACAGTACGCTCCAACACCTAGATATTTCGGTAGGCCGAATGCAACACGGTTCAACTACGCCCTCCTCCTTACCCCAAACAACCCCCCTCCCCCAAGGTGTCAAAGGACACGGACGAAGACCTTGTTTTGGCCCCTAGTGTCTTTGGCAGCTTTTCTTGGCAAAGAAATAAGAGAAAGTTCTTCGACGAAAAATTGCCCGTCATCGTCAAGTGATGTATATTTTTCACCTAAGACATAAATAACGTCACAAAGCATCCCCTGGGCTTTTGACTGCCTTATCTTGTGATATCCGCTTGAAAACAAGTAGAAAATTATTTGGTCTTGAGCTCAAGAAGAACTAGTCAGTACCTTGGCATCTGCAAATGACATTTAGGGGACTTACCAGGGACTGCGACGACCTGCCAAATGCATGGGGACCGCTGGGGGTGATTGTGTTCTATATTTCCACATTTACAATGACTTGAATCTTTATTGAAATCCTGGAAAATGCAGGCTATCTTTGGAAGGGCAAAGTTTTTCTTTCCGCTATAAGTACTGTGTATACTGTATCAGAGTCTACCTGATGTTCTAATCTGTGCTACCCTTAAATGCGCATATTAACACTGATCAGCGCTGTAAGTCCTCCTGCCGTGCAACATAGACTCTGTATAGCAAGTCTCACCGTAATTTCAAGTTCTAGTCTGTGCTACCCACAAATGTGCATATTAACACTGATCAGCGCTGTAAGTCCTCCTGCCGTGCAACATAGACTCTGTATAGCAAGTCTCACCGTAATTTCAAGTTCTAGTCTGTGCTACCCACAAATGTGCATATTAACACTGATCAGCGCTGTAAGTCCTCCTGCCGTGCAACATAGACTCTGTATAGCAAGTCTCACCGTAATTTCAAGTTCTATTGTACCAGACTATATTGAAATGAAAATTTTGGAACAAGGTATAAAAGATCCTTGGTAGCATGTAATTTCTCAATATCATCTCTCATTTCAACGCAGCTAAAGTACATTTTTATACTCTTCAAACATCCCACAATTTCCACAAGAATGCCTCAGCAAATTCCTCCCGTTGGCTTTCCTTTCCGTATCTTCTTTGAGAAGAAAAACAAGTTTCTCGCCGCGGAAGATGATGTGGCTCTCGTGGATCCTGACGTTCAGTCGGATAACCAACTTTTTGTTCTTGGGGAATCGCCCAGCAAACAAACAAGCGACATGTTCATGATCGAAAGCTTCAAATGTGGCCGTGCCTTGCAACTGGATAAGAACTCCAAGAAGCTCACCCTTGCTGAGCTTCAACCGAGCTATGATGGCCAATGGTTTAGCCTGACTGGAGGAACTGGCAATTCGAAAGATTTACTTTCAGCTGGACCAAAATCTCCGGCTGCTATCGCAATAGGTGACGCCATATTCATTATCGACTTCAGTCGTGGGGATGTGGACGTCGCTGTAACTTACGATCTCAAGGTCGGCAAGATCTCCCAGACAACCCCTGCCTTCATCGCAAGCCAAACAGTTAAGAACGACAGCGATGCGACTCAAACGCCCTCGGTGAATCTGAGTGCCACAAAAACCGTGACAAAGTCGTTTACCTATTCAATGGGGTTTCAAATCACTATCGGAACTAAGTTCAGAGCCGGTGTGCCTTCCGTAGCTGAAGGTGAAATCAGCTCCGAGATTAGCCACCACCAGGACTTCGAATGGGGCACAGCGACAACTGAGGGAACCACAGTCGGATACTCTGTTCCTGTGACCGCGCCTCCGCATTCCAAAGTCAAAGCTACAGCCGTTGCGAAAACCTCCGTGATTGACGTTCCTGCCAAAATACGTTTCTCATCCCGAAGAAGCTCGACGTTTCTGGAGACCGATATTGTGTACCGCGGTACTACCTACTGGGATTTCAATGTCACCTATGAGAACGTCTGATAATTGCTACACCAGGGATTAGCAGCGCAGTTAAGTCGATTATCTGACTCCCTGCATACCTTGCTTATTCTTTGCAGTTCGTGATTATACAATTGTCTTATCTCTTTATTTGATTATCTTTCATTTAATCCAATCCCATCAAATTACAGAGCCGCTCGACATCAGTTCCATGCTTTTATTCTCTTCCATTCGTTCTTGAACTCTATTCTGAAATACGCTAGTCTATCTATGATTTAGATTATTACAAGATCATGAATTGTTTTGTAACAAGAAGCACGCAGTTGGTGGGTCGGTAATTATGCAGAACCACGAGCTTCATTGTCCTTTGTGGGTCACCTGATAGCGGGGCATAGTCTTAGCTCATGGATGCAAATGGCCTACTTGGAGTGGACGGTATGGCAGAGAATTACCATTGTATGGCATTTCGAGTAAGATACACAAGACAGGGTCCCGACCTGCGTCATCATAAATTACAATGTCTATTCTTGGAAACCATAGATCGACAACTATTCCAAATGTGAATTAGCGTGTTTCAGATTATTGTTCGCGAATCAAGTCGCAAGAGTGTGGAGTTAAAACTGATTTCGAATTCTACTGTATAATTACTCCCAAAATAAGATGCTGAGAAGAGTGGACAGAGGGCAAGGTACTGTAGTGCAAATTACTCATAATAAGGCAATACTGTTATTTACGATGATCGACCGCAGGTACGGAACCATACAAAGCCAGCGGAACCACGTCCTAATATGGACTAGTGTGCTGCAGGTGGGGCCTTGGGAGATAAAGAAAGAGAGTTCAAAGGTAAAGCTGATTTCGAACATTACTGTACAATTACTACCAGAATATGCTTTCTTTCCAACTGTGTGTATCGTTTTCTCTGGACTACTACCAAAACCATACTGCAGATTTTCATGAACGGCCCTTGGTAAAAAAAAATCCTGCATATCTAATACCATAGCCATCAACATATGCCGCCCAACATACGAGGACTGAACATAATATAGCTATGATAGATAAGACACCATGCACGGCATATTAATTAACAGTCCTCAATTTGATATACGACAGTCAATGAGATATCTACTGCTCATCTCATCCCATCTCTCTTTACTATGTATATGAGCAGCTGATAGAGCTAGTTTCCGTAGATGGAGTGGCAGTAGATGGAGTGGCAGTAGATGAAGTTTCCGTAGATGGAGTGGCAGTAGATGGAGTGGCAGTAGATGGAGTGGCAGTAGATGGAGTGGCAGTAGATGGAGTGGCAGTAAATAGAGTGGCAGTAGATGGAGTGGCAGTAGATGGAGTGGCAGTAGATGGAGTGGTAGACCGTGACTTATTGGTAGTAGATATTAAGGCAGTCGACAATGAGGAGGATGAGTGTAATTCTGTCGTGAATCCTTCTGATTCCGATACAGCGCACCAGCTTCCAGCCTTAAGTCCCTTGTTGAGTACGCAGGTTGAGCTATCTCCACCCTTATTGAAGAAGTTAACCAGACCCTTGTGGTTAAGCTGTATCCAAGCAGTGCCGCATACGTCGAAACTAAGTGTAGAGCTTTGCTCACTAAGGTCTAGTAAGTAAGCCGTTAGTATATTATTATGTTTTATTTAAGATATTCTATAAGTACTTGAACAATCATCTCCATCTAGTATCGCAAAGGATGCAGAGTAACCCGTGCAACCATAGTTGCCATTAGACCATATCAAACATTGGCGATCGTAATCTATGACCTCAAAGATTCCGGCCTTAGAAGTGCATGCGTGAATGATGAGTAGTGTTCCAACTAATAGAAAATGCATATTTGAGATATTAGAAATGGAGAATCAAACTCGATGAGTTGGGAACAATGATTAAATATCTTTAAGAAGCCAAAAGACCATAAGGAAAGGAAAGAGGAATCCTGGGGGGCAGGGTAATATATGTTTAATTTTTACGAAGCTCCAGCTACTAGACGGGATTGGAGTAATAGCACCAAATCACTTTATTGTTTCTTCACTCTAGTAAATAGTCAGTAGCAAAATCAGCTTCCTCCCTAAAGACAACTTTTCCGTTCTCGAGGCTTCGCGGAGATGGTGTATTGACTGGACCGCACTAAATGGGGGACCGCTGAAAAAAGCTCCTTATCGAGTACCGGAGCTACAGTATCAACGTTGACCAGCCAACATCCAAAGCACCAGTTATGGTATTACTGCAGAAGATACAGTACCATACACATTGCATATTACAATGGCCCTTAACTTGATATGGACGGTCAATGAGATATTTACTCGTAAGTCTTGGCAATTGATCCCGAGAAAAGAAAGGCACTCTATGAGGAGGCTGACCTCGCTACCGACTGTAAATAGAGTGAAGAAAGAAGAGCTAATACTGTATCGAACATCAGCCAGAGCCGACAGCATATTTCAACGCTCCGCGTTGATTTATTCCAGCTCTAAAATGGCAGGAATTTGCCTTTGTCTGGAGAGACATGTTGATCTCGAACAGTCACCTCCTCTTGGAAAGGCTTCTGGGTAAACATGGTGCCACCTGCAGTAGGCTCTGTGATAAAAGCGCGACCTCGGGCGAAGGCAAGAACGACAGACCAGTTGCTCGCTCTTATAGTCTAGCTGTGACTGATCGTACGTTGGTGGCTGACAGGAAATGTCGTGTACAGGGGGCTCAGGACCACGGAGACCTGTAGCTTTCATCCAAGCTGACTTTCTATATACATTTGTAAGCGCGATCTTGAAGGAGGGCTCTCGTGTCTAACTTTTCAAACAACCCTAGCCTAACTCCAAAGTACCACTTCATGTTGCCAGGTGACCAATAATGGCAAAAAGATGGAGATATAGACCGCATATTTCAATACGGGTCTTTTCATAGTTTATCATATACTGACTTGGATTAGATATTTTTTGAATGGTCAAAGTCTATTTGAGAGAATCGGTCAACACAAGCTATGTGCATATTCTTGTCACTACCGCCGATACATTGACGGACGTCTAGACAGGTCAACGTAAAGTTAGAGGTATTTGAGGTATAAGGTGTGTCAAGACCCCCAAGTCCCATTTCATACACAAGAAACCAACAGCAATATGTCTCAGCAAAGATCGCATCCCAAACGTCATCTTCGGAGAAGTCTGCGAAATGCTACATCCACCCCAGTGACTCTAGAGTCCACTGATCAAAAGTTGAGCGTCAGTGATTGCTCACGTCCATTGTTTAAATTTCTCATTGGTCATATGAGAAGTTCACCTTGCCGGTGCACGGTGACCGCAAAGTCCAACGACGGATACATGATTGAAATTCCAATGCCTGCAAGGCTTGAGGATTCTCCTGAGGCTATTAAGTTAATCGCCGCCTTTGAACGCCGTGCTAGTCTGAGATCCCATGCATCATGAACTTTCATTTCTAAACACCTTCAACGAGAATCGAAATTATTCGTTTGTTATAATTTCAATATTTCTATGATATCGAAAATTCAATAGACATGAAATTTGTAGATGTCAGGCTTCAGCCGAAAGGCCCTTCTTATTTTCATTTTGTTTTATCTATTTTCCGCAACTTACTACAATATTTCTATACTTCATTATTCCGAATTATTTTGAATTTAATTCCCAATGGCTGGATTCCTTTGCTGGCACGTACTGCCACGGCCTGGGCCTGGAACCTTAATTAACCTGACCACGCTAAGTTAAGGGCTGCCGTTGGATGCTACATACGTACTACTAGCGTTTAACGCCCAACATATAAAGCACTAAATATAATACGAGGACCAGAGATATAGCATCATACGCGGTTCATTATCTAGTTGCCCTCAACTTAGTGTGGAGAGAGATCAATGAAATGTCTACACTCAGCCCTCTTCGTGGGTTCCTAGAAAAGAAAAGCTGTCATTAGGGAGAAATCACATTTCGCTTATGACCGTAGCAAGCTCACCGACTGATCGTGCTCTAGTCTTATCCCTCGGCCTCTAGAACAGACATAATAGCATGGGTCTCTATCAACACATCGATCAGGGATGATAGCTATGGGTGCAAAATATGATTCACTAACATTGAACTTTCCTTCTCACAAAATTCCACCAACAATCAACAAAGACTATATCTTTATAGTAGCGATTGGTTGATATTTAATTTGCATGTGTGTTATTCCAGTCATAGGACTAAACCACTTCGTTTGTCAAAATCGCCAAACTGCACGAGAATATCATCCATAAGTAGTACATATCCCAATAACCACGCTCTTTGTTGGTGGCGCATTATGATGGAACTGCTCAAAATAGCCAAAGCGAACTAGGGAACTCAATATGTGGTACCATTGATTCTCAAAGTTTATGCCGATGTTGCACTAGCAAAGCGTGGTCCACCGAAGATTTTCGGATATAGTTCCGGACTATTATGCCGGTTATCTGGCCGGAAAATTATGTCCTGCAAGCCGCATCTAAACCAAACATATGATCAATCAGGATTGGTTCCGTATGAGATTTTTAAGTGACCTTTGATCATATAGCTCACCAATCATGAATCTAAATATTTTGTTTATATCGATTATTTGAATTTTGACTAAGGGTTCGGCACGTAAATGGTCATCGGTGACATAAGCCCTGTTGTCCACGTCGCTCGCTCCCCTATTTCTGAGGACGAGACCTATGCACCCCGGGAATCGAATGTTTTTAGTTAGTCATCGGTATGTGCAGCAATAGATACACAATTCACATACTGACCATGAAGCGTGTTTGGAATGTAACTACTGGTCTTACGTATCTCAATGCGATAAACCAAAATACTATGCGTCTACAGGGTTTCAAACACCATAAATATGAGGTCGGTGCAAAAATTTGTGTTAGAGTAGCTTATGTAAATTACTCGTCACTGCTTTTCACAACGCTGTAAGTCATATGATGGCCTTTTACTCTAAACTCGGTTTTAAGTTTATTCAGAATGACGGACATGTCCAGGTAGCGTGCGAGAAATTCATTCAGCCATTTGAGGCTATCGCTTCCAATTGCAACTTGTCAACCCTTTCGCAACTTGAGTGGTACGGTGGCGACCGTTGTTGCCTTCCATATCAGGAAATACATAGATGCTATTTCGAACCCTAATCAATTGATATACTAAGCCAGATTTCGTTATTCCTGTAACTAAAAACTAGAACGTCTTCATATGAAAACAGAATGAAAGTATAAAATCTTATAGACATATACTCTAAGCTACAATAGCGTAGTTCGTTTACCACCCTCCCAGCCCAGCACCTGGAGTTCTCCAAACCGCTAAATGAATAAATAGTATTCAATATCAATTCCTGGCAACGTGGAATAATTCTTTATACAATGCGGGCCGTTTTTGCCCTCTATATTCGGGAATTGAGAGATATTGTTTCAGACTTCTAGTATGTCGAGTCCCGTAAGCACTTTGAAGAGTTGACATCATCCTGATCGGGGCTAGCCCAACACAACAACAAGTTCAACAACGATGCCTAGTCATTATATCCATATATCGCTGACTAATTATGTGAGCCAAGCACCTTCGTGTTTCAATCAACATGGTCAATAATGCCTTTTTTTGTGAAGTTATTGCCATGAAAACACAGTCAAAACGATGCTGATTTTCCATAGACAAGGCGACATTTTAACAGACATCTGTGATTTCTCAATGGAACAACTGTCAGTTATTTAGACCTCTGCATAGTTACCGTCCAGTTCCACTGGCAATTCATAAACGAGCCGTCGAGACTTGATCCTCGTGTCTTGGTTACCATACATTTTCATTTCCCAGGATATTATAACCCCTCACCACTGCGAATTGAAGCAACTTCCTGTTCCCACAGTCTTTTTAATTGAGCGAACCCTCTGCCATATAGAAATGTAAAGAGCCCGGATATGACAGTGGATACCGAAGTTACTGAAACAGCAGCTTGAGCGGTAATGGACCAAGTTCCGTCTTTGCTGGAATAAACACTGATCAGTGTATTTATCAAGCCAATTGCAGAATTTTGCAAAATATTCCTTCCCGTGTCAGCACTTTGCTCCTCATCATAGAACTTAGTGACTCACGAGAAAATACTGCGATACAAAAATAGAACATTGCTCTGCCATTTCCACCATAGCCAAAGTTCACCACAAAGCCCAATTACACAAAAAACCCCAGCCAACCATAAAAGATCAATATTCTCGATTGCATGATAGACAACAGTCTCCGCACTATTGCTTGTGTCCTGTAGGGATGACTTCAAAGACGCAAAGGTGCTTGGCAAGACAAGGTAGCCAGCAAGCAAGAGCCATCCAAATCCCGATGACAAGAGATTATCCACTAGTGGGATCTTTTCATAATCAATTAGCATCTTTCCATAATCGGTTGCAGAAGCATGTGACACAGTGTTGCATCCCATAGAATGCAAGAATTCTACCCATCTTGCCTTCAGCCCTAGGGTACTTGTTTGGAAATTGATAAAGGAATATTGCACACCCAACATAGCGGTAAGTGTTCATGCGACTTTAGTGAAAGCTTTATTCATTAGATTGGTGAGTATATATATATACACAATGAGTAGATGAAATGATGACACCGTGTACTACCTATTATTGAAAAGAGCATTGAACAGAGATTGCGCCCAATAATAAAAGACATTGAATGAACGAAGAATGGGGGAAGAGAAACAAAAAGAAAGGAAAAGCAAACCTTGTTGGAGAATCCAGGGCATGATGCTGATTTTGATAGGTGGGCTAATAAGCCTTCATTGCTTTCTTAAAGACCACAAGATATATACACAGCATTCAAGGAACGGGTATCTCTACTTATGACAGTTCGTGCTAGATTGCTTGAGATCAGAAACCTTGTTCAGCTGATGGTTCAATAAATCCTTTAACTCCAAAGGTCAACATCTGGTGGTCTTTGCTGATGAGATGAAAGCAGTGTTTTGAGGAGCCTTGAAACATCTAGTTCCACGAAGTTTTTAATTAAGGAATTTCTATTTTCTGAATCTATCCGAAGAGTTATGATCTGCCCTCATATTTGAGCGGGTGAATGTTCATCTGAATACATTCTCATGTGCTACTATACAGTACGTCCCGAAACTGGTGCAACCGCCTGGACTCTTTGAGTGATTATTTAGTCCCACTGCCAAGAATCACTAGACTATATTAGGAATAGGTCCGGAATATCAATATTCCTGTACCAGTCTCGATACCGTGATTTACGTTCATTAAAATACGCTGTCTCGTCTCGTAACTGTATTGGCGACCCAAGGGAACTAGAATTTTCCATGGAAATGTAAACGAGTCAAACACTAGAGCTTAGGAGTCCCTCGAGAATCTAGCGACCTGTCACTTCCCTTCCGCTCCTATGTCCAAGTGACGGTCTGGGGGCTTACTCGGCACCCGACCTGCAAATATTGACTGGCATTACTTGCTTACTGTACCTGCAGACTACTCATGAATCTGCTTATCATAATACTCAGACTGTCAGCCACAGTTCTCGCTTCTTGACGCCCTGGAACACACTCGGTGGAAGCTGACACACAACCATGTTAATAGACTCCTGAGTGGTATCTTCTGCCTTGGGGGGATGACTCACACTCCTTTCAACGATGATGATGATGATGCTTACCGAGCTGAACTGCCTGATCTATGGGAACGGACTCCCTCGTATGCCCCCACCCCTGGTTACCTAGACCGCGAATGGACGCCATCAGTAATGTGCCCTTCACCCGATCCCGAGGACATAGTTGGTGAATGTTCACCTTCCTTGCATCAACATCTATCCGACCAGCTGAGTTTTGATCCTATGATTGAACGTATAGATGGAAGTGCATGGGATGAACAATCTCCGAACTGTATCCACTACTAGATCGAGTGGAGGGTTAAATTAAACAATCGAGTTGTGGTCAAGGATATAAAACAAGACCTTATTAAACCACCTAGATCCTACTAGGAACAGATAAAAGAGGATGCTTGTAATATTCTAGGACGGAAGACAGCCCGTGGCCGACGGGTGCGAATAGATGATACTGACATGCTGTTATCGGTGAACTCCCAACGGATTATTGACAAACACTTTAAAGGTACTAGTGTTAATTAGATAGCGGTGGAGAAACAGCTACTAGCGTGGGCCCATCTAGCTCGTCGTGGCAAGAAGATCCGGCTTTGGATATCGATCAACTATATAGAGGATAGCGGGCCTTTGCCTTCTAGAACCGAGAAGAGAGGAAAGTCATCGGTGACAACACGAATACTCGCCGACCGAGACGCTCAGATTGACGCAGAGCAGATCTCTAGTCATTATTCTATCTGGCGCGATGTGTATTGTATTATGCGATGCCCCGGGCCTCTATGTCGCCACGAAGGATAATATTGCTAGTAAGAGCTAGAGAGAAGAAGGCATCAGATTGAAAACACACCATCTAAAGGCCCTCGTTAAATATGTGGAGTAAGGTGGAGTCCTCGAGACGCACGATGACGTTTCTGATAGTATTCGCGAGCAGCTATATGCCAAGGAGAACCACTAACTGGACAAAAAAAGGAAGCTGTGGATAACTCTATAATAGGTTTAACGTGCCCTCTAATAAATATCAATGTCCTCCCGGCAGGATCATCTCAACAACCGATACATACTTCTGCTAATGATGCCACGCCCACTACGCCCGGCTATACAGAATCGATCATGGTCGACGGCCTGCTAGAACGAAAGTCTATGCAGTAGTACAGTATATCACCTATGTAAGAGGTTTGCGGGTTGTTACACAAGTTTTTCGATAGCTCACCGCAACCAGTTACTGGAGTTCCAAATAATGGCGATCAGTTAAGGAAGGGTACGCCGCGACCCCTTTAAACTGCAGATCATAAGCGGTGTAGATAATTACTAATTCCAGATGCCAAGAGCTGGTATTTAGCATACTAATTAAAGGTAAGATATGCAGGCGACATGGCACTATATCCCTATCTATACTAGACTATGTGATACGTGATATATGATACATGATTTATGATATGTTGAGGAGGGAATGCATGCGTCATCTTACATCTGTTATTTTGATGAGTGGGAGACTTTGGCTGACTAGATTAATATCTCAAATGTTGTTTATAGCAGCCCTCTGCCAAGTTTATAAGCATAAGTCCGTTACAGTCTTGCAATTATTACGTAACCGACCTTATTTAATCCTTTCTAAACCACGGAAAAGCAAGAGTTATATCGACAATATGAAGGTTCTCACTATCCTCTCTGCAGTTATGTTTGCCACATTTGCGGTGGTAGGGGCTGTGAATGTTGATGATGGTCAACCTGAAAAAAGACAGGTATGGGAATGAAGATCAAAGTCGGAGTGATTGAAGGCGACTATCTGAATACTAGGCTGACTGAGATGGGGTGTGGATAGGGTGTAAGTGATTATCCTGGTGTTGAGAAGTGGCTATCTGAATACCAGGCTGACTGAGATGGGGTGTGGATAGCTTGTAAGTGATTATCCTGATATTGAGAAGTGGCTATCTGAGTACCAGGCTGACTGAGATGGGGTGTGGATAGGATGTAAGTGATTGTCTGATTGTCCTGATATTAAGGAGTGGCTATCTGAATACTAGGCTGACTGAGATGGGGTGTGTATAGCTTGTAAGTGATTATCCTGATATTGCGAAGTGGCTATTAGGATACCAGGCTGACTGAGATGGGGTATGGATAGGGGGTAAGTCATTGTCCTGATTTCGAGAAGTGGCTATCTGAATACTAGGCTGACTAAGATGGGGTGTGGATAGAGTGTAAGTGATTGTCCTGATATTAAGGAGTTGCTATCTGAATACCAGGCTGACTGAGATGGGGTGTGGATAGCTTGTAAGTGATTGTCCTGATATTGAGGAGTGGCTTTCTGAATACCAGGCTGACTGAGATGGGGTGTGGATAGGATGTAAGTGACTGTCCTGATGCTGAGAAGTGGCATTCTGAATACTAGGCTGACTGAGATGGGGTGTGGATAGCTTGTAAGTGATTGTCCTGATGTTGAGGAGTGGCTATCTGGATACTAGGCTGAATGAGATGGGGTGTGTATAGGTTGTAAGTGATCATCCTGATTTTGAGATATGGCTATCTGAATACCAGGCTGACTGAGATGGGATGTGGATAGAATGTAAGTGATTATCCTGATGTTGAGAAGTGGCTATCTGAATACCAGGCTGACTGAGATGGGGGTGTGGATAGGATGTAGGTGATTGTCCTGATATTGAGATGTGGCTATCTGAATACCAGGCTGACTGAGATGGGGTGTGGATAGCCTGTAAGTGATTATCCTGATTTTGAGGAGTGGCTTTCTGAATACTAGGCTGACTGAGATGGGGTGTGGATAGCTTGTAAGTGATTGTCCTGATGTTGAGGAGTGGCTATCTGAATACGAGACTGACTGAGATGGGGTGTGGATAGGCTGTAAGTGATTATCCTGATGCTGAGAAGTGGCTTTCTGAATACCAGGCTGACTGAGTTGGGGTGTGTATAGTATGTAAGTGATTCTCCTGATATTGAGATATGGCTATCTGAATACCAGGCTGACTGAGGTGGGGTGTGTATAGGTTGTAAGTGATTATCCTGATGCTGAGGAGTGGCTATCTGAATACCAGGCTGACTGAGATGGGGTGTGAATAGCTTGTAAGTGATTGTCCTGATGCTAAGATGTGGCTATCTGAATACCAGGCTGACTGAGATGGGGTGTGGATAGGATGTAGGTGATTGTCCTGATATTGAGATGTGGCTATCTGAATACCAGGCTGACTGAGATGGGGTGTGGATAGCCTGTAAGTGATTATCCTGATGTTGAGGAGTGGCTTTCTGAATACTAGGCTGACTGAGATGGGGTGTGGATAGCTTGTAAGTGATTGTCCTGATGTTGAGGAGTGGCTATCTGAATACCAGGCTGACTGAGGTGGGGTGTGGATAGGTTGTAAGTGATTATCCTGATATTGGAGTGGCTACTTGAAAGCTAGGATGACTGAGATGGGGTATGTATAGGGTGTAAGTGATTATCCTGATGCTGAGAAGTGGCTATCTGAATACCAGGCTGACTTACGGGTCTTCAGTAAGATAACTACATGCGCGCGAGACTGTTGGTTTGAGAAAAACCCCACCAATGTGAGAACTGAGGACTACGCCATGGCTGCATCATGCATTTCTTGCTAATAGGCCTATCCAGGTGTCATGCACTTCGAGTCCATGGATTCGTTTCGAACTATTTGGACTTTTCAACAATTGTTTTTCCCTGCCTTAGTATAGGTTTTCCCTATTCGGTTAGGTTTCCCTGTACTGTTATGTGAATGCAAAGGCTCAGTATTAAAATCTATCAGAACAAACTAAAAGTGTATGAACCAGTATGCATTCAGGGCCAATGGGATCATGAGTTGTAATTTTTCGCATTTACTATGGTGTTCCAGCTGCGCAGCTGGCTTACATGCGCAGCTCGCTTACCGGTTACGTTAACTAGATCACATGGTATTATTAAGCACACATATAAGATGCGTGCGCACAGATAGCAGAATGGACAGGCAGATGCATATACTCGAAGGGACATCCATTGGTCGCTGTTCCACCGCCTGATTACGTGTACGGACATGACATCGAAGTCACGTGCTCACTTTCACGGAAATTTGATTCAGAGAAATATACACTACGGTATTTTGAACCACAATGGATTCTCCCACCAGGCTTCCATGGTTTTCTAATACCACCCTCAAGTTAATTTGAATGGGTTGAACAAAAAGTCAACATGCTACTAGCCGAATAGAATTGTTGGAGAACAACGACATGATTATTAATAGGACGGTGATCAGGACTCCAGGAGAGAAAACCCCTTTTAGCTGATATTATGTAGTTGAACCTTTTTGGTTGAATTTAAGAGTAAACCTTCCTAACTTCTGTCAATTTTTGTGCGTCATGTCTATATTGGCCCATGCTAGTGACCAGGTCAGTTTGACATTGTAAGTCATGGTTCTTGGAAGAAGAGGGGAACCCTGTAGTCCAGATTGCGCGATCATTACATCCATACGTCGCTACCTAGTTTACACGGATTTACCGCAAGCTTGCCTTTCCAGACAGTCAAACAAGGGGGCGGATTCGCATTGTCCCCAAGACAAATTATTCCATTTATCAGCGATCAGAAACGGAAGACATTCGAAAATTGTACTGTACCTCAAACCGTAGATCCACTTTCTTGAAGCCCTCATCATGTGACTGGATGCGTGTCTGCTATCAATCCTTGAGGCAACCAAATTCTCTACCGTACCTGCAGCAAGGGAGCCGTAGCAATCACGGGATCAGTGCGCAGTCACTCCTTCATCCGCTATTGGCGATGGATTCATGGTGAAAAAACAGCATCTAGCGTACGTTCAACGCCGCCTGAACTTTATTTGTTTACACGCACTTCATCTCATTGGTATTGCACCCTTGTTGTTTTTTCATGGTCGTTCATTTGTTATGCCGGGCCCAATTTGACATCATCGTCGACCTTACCATATGTATTAAGCGCCGTTGAGTGTGATGAGCAATTCTATTCGCTCATTGAATTTTGAAGGTTCTTGGCCATAGATAAGGCCCATTCTAGCTCTCATTGAGTCATTGTACCTTGTTCAACGCCGATCATGCGGAGCAAATAAACCAAGCGCGTGCAATTGCGTGCCCTAGGCTAGGGCCATGAGTTAAACCCGTTTAATTATTAGAAGCCTCATCCTCCGATTTCAATCCAACCATAATTATTTCGATCAACGAACAGAAAAGTCAAGAAATAATTGCCCACGAGAACTTCATAATGAAATGGGAGCTTGAGGAGATAGAGGCCTTGCCACAGTTCATCAAGAATATGCCAAATAAATCATGGGATGAAATGGCAGGTCAGTGGAATTCTCTCTTCCCTAAAAATCGATCAGGGGAATCACTTCGGGGGAAGTTCAATCAGCTTCGCTGGGGCTGGAGACCTCAGAAAGTTTCCAAAGCATCTCGCAAACGCAAAAAGCCCCGGAAAAGGAGTTTTATGATCAAGTCATCCGACTTGAAGCTGGAGGGACGTATTTCGTCCCTCTCACTGTCTCCAAAGTCTGAAGAACTTTCTTCCCCTTCTGATGATTTTACTGGCGACATTGATGAAAGACACATGCTCCGTTCTCATGAGTGCAATGGACAATTTGAACCCACTGGGTCGATAGAGGAAGAGAAAGAATCGTCTATTCCTAGCTCGTTGGACTTTCCTGATGGTCCAGTGGGCCTACAAGAATCCACGAGAGAGCCTATGCTCTCTTCAAGCCTCATGTCCTTTCTTGTGGGATTAGTCATCTGTAAGTGCACTCTCCACTCTCGTGCAATTTATCTGACTGATATAGTGCTTCAACCATAGAGCCATCCAGAGACCTCTTGTCCAATCCTTCTGCCACGAGTTCCAACTAGGCCAGAAAATGCCGGAATATATGCGTACTATGCGTACTCAATTGGGAAACAAAAGGGTTCTAAGAGGAGTGAAAGGGCAGAATCTTCGTTTTTGATAGCCTAGCGCACCTGGAAATGCCCTTATGCCATTTGGAGGCAGGTGTACCTTTTCCAAACAACCTTTTCAATCCTTCTTCTCACTCTTCCTTGGGAACCCCTTGATCGATTATTGAATGGTTTCTTTTTTCTCTTGTTTTTGAGGCTTCTCATTCCAATGGCTTCTACAAACCTCACAGTTTCATCATCTTCATTTGATCAGCGCAATTTGATCATGGACACCCCCTGTGACTCGAGAGATGAATGCAGTCTATCGTCTGTCTATTAGAATCGTAATTGATTTCCAAATGCAAACAAGACCTTATCTTTCCCCTTCCTTCTTCCTCATCTGACACCTCTCTACTTACCACCGTCTCTTACCGCCTCATCATTCCTACGAATTCTTCCCTAGTATGCTTATGATATGGAACCACTACGAAGATAAATTACTCTTAGGAGATCATCGTTTCCCCTTGACCGCAAAAACCTAATCCTCTTAACCAATTTAGAGAGATATATTGAATGTCGAAGGCTTTTCCGGTCAAGTCTCCGCTGTTGGCATGTTTTCTCGCACATAGTAGTTTATAAGCAAAGCCAACCACCACAGAGTCTATCGATTTGACATTAAAATTCAGAAGCTCAAAAATGTATTCCGTGTCCTAGTGTAGCAAATCAAGTGGCTTGCAAGATGACAGGCAGATGGTACTGTAGATGACAAACAGCATCGCAATATGGAGTCGGGTCGTCCTTTTAAATTTTACATTCATGGAAGCCTTGCGGCTACATACACGTTTTTATACCAGAATAGCATTGATCATGACTGAAAAATCCAGAACAATAACAAGCAACAAAAGCCAGGGAGAGAAAAGCAGACACGAAAAGAGAGATCATCGTTGGAAAACAGCATTCATAGAAACAGCGTGCACCATAGTTGGCGTAAAGAGGGAGGGCATTTTCTGTGTTCTCTACCCTACCGATACATCTCATTTTGGCTGATAAATAGACAAAATATGCTGGATCTGGTCTTCAGAAAGATTGCCGGTCCGAATGAGGTGCTCTAAGGAGCTAGAGCCATCATTTCTACCAGGTCCAGGGCCCACTCTATTATTCATGGAATCATTTGGTGGGACAACTCGAGACAGGTTACCCGGATTCAAAGCACCTGTTGACGACTCAATAAAGCTATGACTATTGAAGTCTAGCGTCGGCAGCAGGTTCTGTAACGGCAGACGGCTTGTGGTAGATTCTTCGGGCAGATAAGGAGGCATACCACCGGACTGAGGCCCAGTCGGAACAAATTCTTGGTCCCGTGGCATGCATACATTATGTTGATGAATGTTGAACACGCGCGGTCTCAGACCATGTTTACTCAACGAGTTCTTGATCTCGGGGTTCATCTGTAGATCGGCTATAACTTGCTCGATAACCCCGAGGAGGCTTTCACAAAGCTGTCGAAGCTGAGTGTTCATCTCAATGCAAGCGGTGTGGTCACGGAGTGCATGTAACTATGTGTGTATTAGATATTAAGTCTCTCAGTAAATGAAATCGGCACTCACCACACCCCTCGCGTCGTTTGGACCGACGCTTGCCATCAGTTGTTGTAGGAAAGCACGTGTGTTGGGCGAAATGGATCGTGTTGATGAGGCCGGCGATTTCCTTTGTCCTTCAACAGGGTTAGAATGATGATTGGGATTCATGGTTAACAGATTGACCGGAGAAATTGATACTTTCGTAGAAGTGGGAAAAGCCCGGGAGGGTTGTCATAAGTCATCACAAGAATGATATCACATGAAGCTAACCTTCTTTTAGCTAAATTCGTTCAACGCCGTTGTTGTAGATTCTTTCTTGATTGACGTCATGTTGGTTGACAAATAAGTTGAACATTAGTCTGTTGGGCCGCGCAAGAAGAGGGGAACCCTGCATTTCACATGAGCGCATCGCCTTTCGCTCTCGTTAGGTTGATACCTTCCAAGAGGCAGCCTAAATTCTCCGTTGTCGGCTTTGAAGGTTGAGCTAGGTGGCTTCACATCATACCTCAAGACGAGAAATTTTATCTATCCATGATGAGATATAACTGCTCGTACAATCAGAAGCAACAGCCACACTATTAGGTATATATCATCATTAAAAGTAGTAGTAATATAGATTGGTCTACGATGGGGGTGACAGAAATCACCTTCCATGGTTTCAAAAGTCAGGACGATGAAGATCATCATCTTTCGTAGTGAGGGAAATAATGGTTTTTCTTTTCTTTTTTCCTTTTTGGACTTATCAACATCCCTTTTTATTGGTGTATATTGTTTTTGGTTTGGTACCTATTGCATCCCAGGGTTTGCATTACTGGTCCATCTGCAGGGGAGATGAACATTATCGCTCATAGCTAAAATTACTAAATGAAAGTTCACTCGAAGCCACGATCTGGGCCTTCCTCGAGCGGACCTTAAGCAGGTTCAACTGCTTCATTTGCATGGTTACTACTTTGCTTTGGAGCTAATCCAGAAAAGGTAGACGCTAATCTACAGGTGGTAATAATGCCGAGGAATTGGGAAGTCAATATCTCATCTAGACGCCCTGGCAGGGATACTAGGCGCTGTTGGATGCCACAAAGAATTTGATTTGCCGGCTGATCCGTTTCGGGTGCATTGACATTGGTTCGTTGGATTCTGTCCGTCAAGTCACACTCTAGCCATAGTCCATCACCGTTCAACGGTCGGCAGCAAGTCATTCATTCCGGATTGGATTGACCCCTCATTTTGCCCAAATATTCAGATTTATTTTTGATTAAGAATTGAATTTAAAATAAGATTCTAGTAATATTCTTATCCCCAAAGCTTCAACATAAAATGGGACCAAGAAGAGGCGGATGCGCTACGCCTATCGTTCGAGCGAATATCAGACACATCGTGAAAGTACTTCGGAGATCGATGGTAGAGAGATGTTCAATGAATAACGCTCAGTGTAATCACTTGGTGGGAGGTATCCGCATTTTGTTGATCTAAATTGCTTTTTGATGTAACCCTAAAGATGCTGGAAGTCATAAAACGGGAGCCCCGAGAGGAAGGCTTGGAATTTACAGCTGGGGAAGCTGAGGTCGTCGGTGTCGCTTTTTCCAAAGATTGAGGGCTCTTCTCACCTCCTGATAAGCATAGAGAATATTCCTCCAATCAAGACTGAGTTGCTTTAGGCAAAAAATGCGACGAGCTTGAAATGGCTTGTTTAGCAGACTAAGGAAAGGAATAATCAGTACTTAGAAAGTGTACTTGCCTTCTCCTATCTCTGGTGGTGGTTTGTGCCCTTGAAATCAGTAGAGCGACAAATATTTCCCTCAAGTCGTTTCTTCCCTTGCGGGCCTCTTTATTTAGAAATCAGTCTACAAACCAGTCCACCTCTATAGGAGGCACCTGACTGACGTCAACATGAGACTGCATTTGACCTACTTTCCAGATCCCCGTGCTACGAATTTCAACGAATACAACGAAGCACGATACTGGAGGGATAAATGCTTACATATTAAAAACTTTCTCTCATGAAGATTAGGTCATCCGTTTTATTCCCGATGTCCTAACACATTTGGCATCAGGCTTATCACTATCCTAAATGTCTTTCCGGCTAATTTCCACTTTATTGGATCTTTCTTTGCCCCTTGTGACCTACTGTCATTCTTTTCCTTTGAAGTTCCTTCTCAAAGTGACTGGAACGTTTTTCTTCTTTTTGTTCTCTTCATAACTTTGGATGATCTCTTCTGCTGTTCATTGTCTGTACCCTGTGAAAATAGTGTTGATGAGATTCTCCCTGTAATTTTACGTCCTCAATTCAATAAGGTCTGACAATTTGAATTCGCGATCCCCTTGTTTGGGGACGATTATGCTATTTAAGAAGGCAAATCCGTTCCCTGTTGTATATCAAGTACCAAGAGATGTCTAACTGGCTTGATATAGTGCCGAGTCATCAGGGGTGGACATTGCTAGATACTGGACAATTAGTCCGAATTGTGGACGAGCTCCCTGGCCCCGACAAACAATACCCCTCTTTACTTGTCTTCGTTGGATCAAGTGATAAGACGAACGCTTTGAAGGCTCTTTTTCCACATAATAACATCCAACGACGTGGCTTACACGGGATTGCGAAACTTCATATTGATTCAAATACGACAGAATCACTCAATCCCGTTCTCTTCGCAGACGTGAATCTGACCAATCCCAGGCAGTCTCACTATGACGATTATCTCAGAAATAACACGTTCATCAAATTGGAAGTGCGTTACACGGGCCACCTCTCATTTGCCCAGGCTCGGCTCGACATAATAGGTCGACTTATAGTTCCATTCTCTCATATGATATACATATTTGCAGATGATATTGGTGGTCTGAGTGAAGTTTATGCCCTTCTTTGGAGATGGGTTGAGGCAATGGGAGATGAGTCTTCTACATGCCATGCGCTTCCTGGACTTGTGATTATCTTTTCGAATGGGACCAAACCTGGCGACATTGAGCCTATTAATGAACAGTTGCGTGCTGCACTCTTAAAATATGTTATATCATCACTCAAAACCCTTGACCTCCGTGGTCGGAACGATTTATCAGCGGCCGCTAGGTACGAGCCACTGAAAAGCATGACATCCAAAGATATTCAACTTAGTCGGGAATTACATGCTGCAGATTATGAACTTTATTCAGCAAAACATTTAGAAGCACTCTTTTGCAAAGCTTTCGTCAGTGTCACTCAGTACCCGGATGTAGCATTCTCGGCGTGCCAAACTGCACGCCAAGATAATCCTGTTCCCCAAAGCGCTGCTCAACATCTAGAGCACTTTGTCAAGCACGCCGGACAGATATCTGCATCCACTGAAGACATCGCAAGATTCATTGCCTCTGCCCTCATAATGGATGCTTATCCACCTCATATGCATAGTAAGCGATGTATCCGAGATCTTATGATATTAGCTAAAAACGTCAAGGATTCAACCCACATATCATGTTCTCGATCCATTATAGATCTCTTTGTCTACTAGCTTGGAGACAAACGTGCCTAACCGATATAAAAAAGGGATGTGAGGAGGTTGAGTTAGAGTTTTGCCGGATGTTCACCAAGCTTCACGCGTGTGAGGATACGTCGGCACATAGGTGGCATGTGGCTAAAAAAACCGCCATCTGGGCTAAACTTACCACTAACGATGTATGCCCGGTTTGCCTCCTTCGCGGGGCAGATTTTGTTCTACCCTGCGGCCATGCGATTTGCTCGAATTGTGCCTGCATGCGAGGTAGTGTGAGGGATAGGGGAGGGGCCGAACATGCATTCGTGATCACGCAGTGCATCTTATGTGATGAAAAGTTTCATTATATTGTGAACTTACTTCCCCCAACAGCAAGGCCATTGCTATTCGTCTTAGACGGTGGAGGGGTCCGTGGGGCTATCACATTAGGATTCCTTAGAGAATTAGAGGCTAGGTTAGGCATACCACTCTGGAAGCTACCTCACCTAACAGTTGGGACTAGTGCAGGTTAGTTCATCTACTCCTCCCAGGGCTGAGTCATTGGTAATTCTTAATTCACAGGCGGATTAATCGCCATGGAAGTTATTTGCCGGCGATCTTCGGCATTGATCGCGCAGGAAAAGTTCCAAGACCTGGCGCGGCATATTTTCCCTTCTAACTCTTGTCGGAAGACATCTTTTGGATGCGTATGGAATGGCTTTCGATCTTGGATAAGAGATGGGCGGTATAATTCTGACGTGTTGGATGATACATTACGCGACGCATTCGGGACATCCTATCGCCTTTTTGGCTCGTCACCATCTGGTTGTTCCGATGGCTATATTGGATTAACAACCAGCCAGGTAGATAAGGACGGTAAACTTGGCATTTTCTCCAACTATCGCCGCCTTCCTGAAGAGAATGTCGATCCATCCTATTCAGTCCTGATACCACCAAGTAAAGATGAGGAGCCACTTGGCTGGGAAGTGTACGCCCCATGAGATCAAACAAGATATTTCTATACAAAACTAATACCTCATTAGGGCTCGGTGCATCATCGCCGCTTTAGGGCAAGTATTGATCTTCATGTTTACTACAATGACTAATCGGTCACTAGGTACTTTACGCCTTATCATATTCAGGGTATAGGCACAATGCAAGACGGTGGGATCTGTGCAAACTGCCCGCTTCGGGTCGCTATCAGAGAAAGTCATTCCATCTGGCCAAATGCAGGTCGACCCGATCTTATTCTGAGTATAGGCACTGGGATTTCAAGACCTATTATTCAGCCCGGTGATGCCAAGCGCTCTAGTGGATTTCTTGCAAGAGGCATACGCACATTTCTTTATTCGCCAGCGGTAGATCCGAATGAGGGCTTCCAGGATACTTTCAATAGCCTATCTGAAGATCTCCAAAAAGATGTTCTTCGGCTCAACCTAGATATTGAAGGCCATGTGCCGGACCTAGATGACACTACATGTATGAAAGGCTTCATAGAGGCTCCTTATACTATACCTGATGACTATATTCAGCTGATGCTTGCGACATCCTTCTTCTTCGAGCTTGATGAAAAACCTGAAAGGAGAGGCAATCATTATCATTGCATGGGGTCGATTCTAT